TGAAAATTCGGTGATATTTAATAAGTGAGTAAGAGCATGAAAAATATATACGTTCGAACTGCTGTATTTCCTATCATTGCTTTAATCGGCAACACCGTGTCACGCTGCCATCTCTTGCCACCGACATATAGTTTCCCGATCTACAGATCTGCATATGAGCTGTTAACCAAAGTTGTCTGCCACTTATGAATATTGCCAACACGCTCGTTGTTATGTCGACTCGATTTAGTTTCACTCTAGTTTTCCTTTCGGAGTTCCTTGCGGCTATCGGGTATCCAAAATCGAAACCCGAAAGACTTAGGCAACAAACTCGTCAGTTGGGGGTTGTGTCGTCCGCGAAAACCGAAAAATATATATATCGTTGAATATATATTCAGGGTGGGGTATCTATAGCAATTTGCAAAACTATTTTGCATTAATTTCGCTCCGGCCAAAACTCATTGCACAATGACCAGAGCCGGATCAAGTGGCTTGAAAGTTTCGGCTTTAATCAGCCAAAAGTCGAAGCGAATATAGCCATCAAATTGTATAACATTTGTAAATGTCGCTGGCGCATAAATTGCAATTCTCCCGCCTGAATGTCAGGCCGACTTTGGCCCATAAATTGTGCAATTTTAACACTTGATGATGATGCTGCTGCTGTTGCGGCAAATGCAAATCAAATCAGCGGTCAGCCAAGTATTCAGATATAGAATTTCCCGCCAAGAAGAGCAACTATCGAACATTTATTCATAGGTACATACGCAGTGAACTCTTTGTAAATATCAAGGCTAGCAATTAGTTGGGAAGGTGAGAAGACTTTGGTTGAGCGAGAAGAAGAAGCTCTCTTGAGACGAATAAAAACTTGTTTGGCACTTTGGACATGAACGTTGCTTAATGATGACGCCGCGATTGCCGTCTAATAGAGTTGGCCAAAATGCTGCGAGCCGTGTCCAAATGTCGCCTGTGCTACCTAATAATTCAGCATGTTGTTTCCATTGTTGTTGCCAAACCGTTTACAGAATTCTGTTTTCTGTTTGTTCAAATGGCAGTGCACATATTGATATTTCCAGTGCTGTCAAATGTCAAGTGGCTTGAAAAAAGGGCAAATCGCATTAGCGGGGAGTGTGGCTGAGGTGTGACTGATAAAGTTCAGAAGGGGTTAAAAACCAGAAGATAATATCTAAATATTATTACTATTTAGCAATTGTGTAGTATCTAAAGACGATTTACTAAAAAAACACTAAAGGTTAATACAGCACTGGGATCAAAATACCATTACTAGAGATGTCTTTTTTTAACTGAGGACTTAATAAACAAAAGACTTAAGGTGCGAACTTGGAATGTTTCATGGCATGCTAAAATCGTCTTTTGACAGAAACTAGTGTATTAAAAAGTTTTTTTTTTTAAGACTTTTTTAACGACTAACCTACTTTAGAAACTTTATTTTACTTAAGAATGCAATGGCATTTTTATTGAATATTTTCCATAATTAATCACAATTTTATATCGAATTCCCTCTAACAGCTACATTTCTTTCAACTAACTAAAGATACTTTTACTTTATCTGTGCACCTTACACAAAGGTTTTTGGAAGCCCATTAATAGAGAGATGCATATCACGAGTGCTGCATAATTGCCCTTACGTAAGCCGCTCTCTCGTTATGAAAGGTGCCTGAAATGCACTCCATGGCTTTCGTGGATTTGTTTTCCGATTCAGGGCCAAACTTTTCAGAGCAGCGGGTAATTAGCAGTCGAGACCCAGGCATCAACTGCATACATCACCTGCATCCAATTCATCAGCGGCCGCACGCATCGCCTTTTTTTTTTGGATTTGACTGACGTTGGCCGCAATTAGCATTAATCAAGCTTGGTTACCGAAAGACCCTCGTAAAAAATACTTTATTTATTCAAGTGCATAAACAAATGACCGTAAACACTGAAGGCAAAGAAGAGTAAGACAAAACGCAGTGTTATTAGTACAATTTGTTTAGCTCGTCTGGTTCTGCCTTGAGCTCGTTTCGTTTTGATAAATTTCCAGAAGGGGAGGCTAGGGTAATTGTCTAAGTCTAATTAGCCATCTCCAAAATGGATGTCATCAATTTTTGGAACTATTCGCAGGGCAAAGAAACAAGCCTCAAATGCCGAGAGTAATTGGCCGTGAAATTAATATTCGCATGTAAATGTTTCTCTGTGCGGGATTACGAGTCAATGTCAACATTGATTGGGTCAAAAGTGGATACATTACCGCGTCTGCCAGTGGGTGGCACAAATAATGTTCAAGTCCAGGTTGTCTAAGGGCATTCGGGGTGACCTTCAACCTCTGACATGTACACATTAAATCACATTCGATTTTCGGTTTTCGTTTCCCACACAATCTTTGATGATGAATATCTTTGGTTATGGGATGCATAATATGATATCGTTTGTCAGCTGATGGTGGGAATTGTTTTGATCGAGGCTCGTGAAGAACCTTTAAATTCCAAGCTCACTAATGAAGTTTATTTAGAAAATAGTAACATTGGACCACGTTCAACTTTTTGTGCTGGCAGGCCATTGTAGAAACAACAAAAGTTGGAATATCTGATCAAATAGTGCGTGTAAGTCCACTCTTGGGTAAGCTGTAATTAAATTAAATCGCCGACAAAAAACAACGTGGGTTTGAAATTTCCTTTGAAAATGTTTTGCAATGGGCTAAAAGCAGTTCGTGTCTTAAGTCTTTCATACAGTGGATTGGCAAAAGCTCTGTTGGAAATAAGTAAATAATTTTATGGGTGACTCCAAGTGGCAGTTTTCCTGGGATTACATTTTTTGAAGCCATTACAGCCTATAAATTAAATCTATCTTTATGGATCTGTTCTTTGATATAGCTGGTTTTCCAAAGCCTTTAACAACATTTCAGTTTCAGTCCACTGTGGCCAAATAGTTTGAATACTTCCATCTGGTTTTGTCATCGCCAACAATTATTTTAAGTAAGACGCACATTTTTATGGTCGAAAAGCCTTTTGGTGGGCCTAATTAAGTGGCCATAAACGCGGCGATGGAGGTGGAGGTGTCAGCCTCTCAATTTGTCGGCATTGTTTGAATGGCGAACCGAACAAACGGGCCAGAAGTCTTGCGTAATCCAGCCATCTTCGACTTCTTGTTAATTACAAGTTGGCAGCGGCATCTTGATGGCGAGATGTTTGAGAGCCCGTCCGTTTAAGGTCAAAACCGAAGCCGGAAGCCCCATTGGATTTGGTCAGCACAGCTGCGTCTCTCTGCTTTTTGGCCAATTGCGAAACTTTTCGCCGGCTTTTGCGCTTCGAAATGTCAGCCAGCAAACATTTTTCATGCTCACATGTGTGCCGAGTATTTTCTACATATTATTTATGAATTTTTCTGTTTGTCGGCCGGTGCAGCGGCGCACTTGGCCATAACAAGTCGGTCAAGTCGGACCGGGCCAGCCAGACATTGCTGTTTGACCTTTTATTGGCTTTGGTCTGTAATTATTATCAAAAATACATTTTTGTTTTTTCCTATCCAACTTTTTGCTTAACAAATTAAATCCAAGCAGACGTCAGCGAAGCTCAAAAGATTGCCAAAAATAAAGACCCCGAATGAAGTGGAGGGGCACCAAGACTTTTGTCTATGATGGTTGTTTATTGACCTTATTGTCTGCCAATATTTGTTGGCCATTTTTCGATTCCGCCGCTTATTTGTTTGTCCGTTTGACTGGCTGATTATTAATTTGCTTGAATTGTGACATTTGGTTGTGCAATTCTTCATGCAGGCAAAGCTCAAAAGGTTTCATTCTTTCGGTTCTTTTTCCCACAAGACCAACCTGATCTCAATTTCAATTTCCACCGCCGTGAAAAAGAAAAGACCCCACACACAATGGCCGGTAATTAAGGCAGACTTCCTCCATGCCAAAACTTGTTCCTGCATATTGAGTTCCATTTCCGCCCGCGTAATGTTAATTGCCAATTGTCTTTAAATTAAACGTCATAAGAATTTATCTGATGCTAGTTAAATAGCAAATGCCGAATAAAAATTGGATATTAAATTAAAGCATAAACTGAAATGCCCGAGAATTATGGCAACCTTGATTATTGGCGGTGAGGAAATGCCATGATAATTGCCATTTTGCTGTTTTAATGAATGAAAAGAGGTGTACTAAATTCAGCGGGTTAAGAATATTCTCTTTACTCTTGCGGTCTGAGGTTAAACAAACCATTTGCCAAGGTCTCTAGTTTTTTAAGCATATCTGAGCTTCTAAACGATTGTATTTGTTCTAACAACATGAACATTTATGGTCTAATGCAATATATCTTGGAATTATCGCCCATACGCCATCACAATTTTCACTCCTGTCAAATTGGTCCAAGGTGCTCGACGACGATAAAGGTGTGAGATTTATTGAAAGGGTATATAGGACTGTTAATAAATATGAGAGCTAACAAAGGATATCGATGGAAAAATAATTTATTCCCTGACGCTTTACAACTGCTAGAAAATTATACGAATTAACCAAAATTCTTGAAACACATTGTGCAAATCAAATAGGTATCAATTAGTCGACCCTGAATTTTCCTACAGCTTTTCGCGTTGACCATTTACATTTACAGCTGCCGATTTTGCGGCGATAAATTAATGCTTAATCAGCAGAAATTGTCTAAATCCGCAAATTATCCGCCATCGTTCTGAATATCCGATCACGGGCGTTTAATTGTAATGCCCGGCACACCGACACACGGACACACAAATTGAAATGTGCGACAGGCAGCAGTTAACATGGCCGGCATGTCCAACTCCAAAACTGACCATAACAATGGCCGTCTGTCATAACAAAAAAAACGAGCAATAGAACAAGAACTCAAACAATCAGAATGAGAAACGGTAACAGAACAACGCCAAGAACAAGCATTAATGGTCTGTGCTAATTGAAATTCTTGGGGCACGTTCATTGATTGCAGTACAACGCGGCGACCTTGCAAGGTGGGTGGAGGTGGGGCTATTGATCTCAGATTTGGACCACTTACCATTATCAGGTCACCAGTTTCCATGTGGCGCCGCATCAAGATCGCAGCCATATTTTTCTCGTCCTGAAAGACTTCCCCCACTTCGTTTTTGTGGTGCTGTAAAAGACGAAAACAAATTATGTTAGATACTATAAATTATAAACCAACTAATTATATTCCCAAAGTAATCCAATAATAAATAGGTTTAATTATAGAGGTATAAAAATTAAGAGCTAAATATTTCTTATTACTAATTTAGCGATAAGCTAATAAAGTAGTATTAATGACGTTGTCTGGGAATTTGTCGAAAAAGTTATTAAACTAGAAGCATTTGACGAGATTTATGTTGATAATTAAAAATAAATTGAAAATGAGCAATAGGTATCAAAATACCCGTAACTAATTTTTAAACAAACTAATAACTTCTTTTAATCATAATCTATGCTCGCAGTGCCTTTAATAAATGTAAGACAGCTCCGCGGTGATAAAATATAATTTGTTTAAAAATGCAATTAAATAGCCATTTTACATTTTTACGGGTCTAAATTCCGCACATTCTACGAGATGTAAAACAAATACGAGTGTCCAAAACCGCAGCTGGCCATAACTAAAAATGTAAAGCAATTTTCGTTTTGCTTTTTGTTGTTTTGTATAACAAATGTATATTTTGTGGCCACCGCAGCTGAGTTGACCAAGACAAAACGCGTGGTTAGCGGGTAAATTTAATTAAATGCAACTACGGTTTGGCCAGAAAAAGGTGGCAGAGGTAGGAGGACTCGGGCACTTAGTGAGGAACTTGAGGAGCGTGGGGCAGTCGAAGCTGTAGCGGTAAACTGAGCTTTGATTTATGCCCGTTGTGGGCCAAAGTGACGCCTCAGCATGCACGTCACTCATACGCCGTGTGTGCCGCGGCAGACTTTAGACTGACCATGAAAACAGTGCTGCTGGCCCGGCTTAAAGCTTAAGCTTCTGACATTTGGCCAACTGCTCTAGTTTCGATTTAGTTTCTTAGTTTCTCAGTCTTTTGCGTTTCAGTGTCCAACCGTTTTTCAGTCCTGTGACATAGACATTCGTTTCGGATTTTTCTTGTGCTCGCAATTCAAGGCAGCCGTTGTCCAAATACCCCGGGGATATTAGTCTCGAATTAGCATAAGTTTTAATTTCAACGGCTTATCTTTGGTCCCGCTTTGGTCAAACTAATTAAATTAATTGCCGCTGCGTAACCTGACCATTCAATCCAATTCAATTCACTTCCATTCAATTGGATTGAGTTCTGTAATAAATATCGAAATAAATGTAATCTGACACTTGACATCGGCCATAGCATTTGGCATTGGACCGCGTCCGAAGCTCAAAAAAAAAAAACTTGTCGTGCCGGCACTCTATCAAATTACAAGCATAAATCATAACTGCCCGCGTCCAAATATACAGTTACTAATCGCAGTACGCCTGATCGGAGCAATAAATGGCAGTACGTATATGTAGTCGTATGCATCAAACTGAGTCAAGTGCCAAAATCCATTGGCCTTTGGCTTGATGAGAGCTGTCGGCCAAAAGTTAATCTAGATATGTTTGCTTCATGTGGCCTTATTAAAATAATTTGATTGGTCTTAAAAGAACCAAGTTCAGGAGATCTATAAAAATAAGTTTCATGACAGTCTTGCCTTTAAAATAAATGGTTACGAAATATTTGTTTAATAATAATTGTCATGTGCATATTAATATTAATTATAATTTAACTAAATCTGAAAGAATAATCCTAATATTATTGTTTTAAATATTATTAAAATATTCCATATATTAAATATTATTATTCCATTATTAAATATTTTCCATATATTAATTGCAAACTTTATTATAATAAAATCTTTTAAGTTCTTAAACATCCTTTCCCTAGTGAAAACTCCCAAAAATTTATTATAACCGAGCAATTATTTATCGCTCTGATCGAATTACTGAGCTGTCCAGAATGGGGCGGGGTTTTAGTTAGGTTTTTTAAGTTGGTTAGCTGACCGCCAAGCGTGCGGACACGCAAAAGCAACAACAGACAGCAGACTCAAATTTTTCATGTGCAGCAGGCATTTATGGCTTAATTCGTTGTTGCTGTCGTTGTCGCTAGTTGGTTGTTGTAGCTTTGTTGTTGTATTCGCTAGTCGGACACGGCGACCTTGTGGAAAAATAAGTTCAAAGCAACAAGTGGCAAGTGGCGACCCCCACGCCACCACACGTATTTCGGCTACCATGAATCCGAGAGCCCGAATCCAAATCCAAGTCCAAATCCGAATCTGAATCCGATTCAGAGACTCGAGTTGTCAACGCTTGGAGCCTGGCCAAGTGTTTTGGCCATATAGTATTTATGAACTGTCAGTTGGCCACTTATTCCACCGCTCTGTTTGCTCTTGACTCCACTTTGCATGGACATGGACCCATTGACAATTGCTGTTCTCATTTCGACTCACTTTGTTCTCTCTTATTCCCTCTCTCGAATGCAATTTTAATTAGTTGACTTGCAAATTGTAAATTGTTAGCTGTCGCGCATTTTTTTCTTCGACTTTTTCACTTCGATATATATATAAATTTTTTATTTATGTCGCCGTAAATTTTTTAATTACAAATGGCTACAAGACATTATGCAGATCTCTTTGCTGAGATTAGGCTCTGATCGGAATGTTTTGTGTCTTTTTATTGTTTGGCTGCAACTTTGGTCTTACGTAAGCCACGAATTTCTCGGTTGCCCCAAAGGTTTTGCTTTGATTTTTGCCTATATTTGTTTTCTTACTCAGCCTAAAATGTTTTAAGATGAATGGTTTTGGTTTGACCACAGAAAGGTCGAAGAAAGGAGACTGTTTTTGCCTTAGTATCTGTAAAATTGTGTACACACAAAAAAAATACGTCGCGGTCAAAGTGATATGCGCATGGTAAATTTCTGGCATATTATTTTTTCCGTGCAATACCGATTTGTCTCTCACGGAGATTTTTTCACTTCGAAAAAGAGAGGAAGAAATAATGTGACAACTTAAATTACATTTCGAGCATATCAAGTCAAAATTGATACCACTAACGTAAAATCTATCTTTGTTTCATATTAATTTTTTTTTGGGTGTAGAGGAGGAAAAAGAGTTTTGCTTAAGGATCGCAAAAAAAAAAGTGTGGAAAACCCTTTCCATTTAAAAACAAGCCCCTCAAATGCCTTACTTCAACGCTTTGCCACCTAAATATCCAAAAACGAAAGTAAAAGCCCCAAGACTTAACAACTTCCTGGCTGAAACTTTTTAGCCCATTTTCTTTGGCTCTTTCTTTGGCAATTTTGTTATGCAAATTAAGCCGAAAAGTTGAAAGAAGAAAGACACAAATGACCCGGAGCGGCGAACTTGGCAAAGTGAAAATTAGCCTCTGAACTCTATTGGTGTTGCTTTTTTTTGGTAGTTTCGTTGATGCCGAAGCGAGAAAAAGGTTAAGGCATTAGTCTCAGGCCCTTAACCTGGCGAAAAGACGATAATTTGCCATTGTTCGAACTGCCGGGCAAACGAAAGTGGCACTTTTTAAATGGAATACGAGCGTAAATCCCACACAATCTTTCAGTTTTGTACGCACCGTAAATCCACGAGCCATTTAGCCAAGTTAACCGACAATTAACGCATTAGACGACGTGTGGGCGTCGCTTTGTGTTGGTTCGTTCCATTTGCTGGTTTGTTTGCCCGCTGATTTGTTTGGCGTCGTTACGCATACGCCGCATTGGCCGCCTTCGAGCTGCGCATAATAATAACTTCGGATTTGCTTTGGCAGTTAGCTTGTTTATTACGCACCATTATGCATTGTATATGAGTCGCGGCGAACTGGATTTGTTGTTAGCAGTTCGCCTTTGCCATCGAGACAATGCCAAGGCTGGATCTGGCCATTATTTGTCCATTATTCCGCCAATTATGCGACCCATTGAGTTGTTAGGGGATTGATTCTTTGATAGGCCAGCTTGTTCCTCGTTTTTAGGCCCTAATGACGACTATCTTGTGGCTGGCTACAAAGCAACAAGCCGCTCGGCGTTAACAATAACTGCAACATGAGCGTAACAACAACCACAGAAACTGTCAGGCCGTGGCAACAACTTTGCGGCATTATGCAACCGATTGCAGCCGCGAAAAGAAAAAAAGCGGGAGAGCCAGCGAAATGCAGCCCGAACTGCTTTCTAAGCCGCAACGTTTTCCTGCTACCCCTCGTGGCTTTTTTATTTTTCTGAATTTTTGCGGAATTGCAACTTGCATCGCCCGCGCTTTAAAAAACATAGATAGATAGAGAGAGTGGGACACACTGAGCTAATTTCGAATTCATTCAGCTGCCAAATCGGCCAGCTCATTAATCATGCTTCTCCACCGCCGCCGACAACAAGTTGGAATCGTTTTGCAATGACAAGATACAATTTTGCGTCTTGTGAAACGAGTGCAGCAGCGGCAGTGTGGCATATATGTGTGGCATGCAGCAAATGCTTTTACAGTTTCATTACTGCACACACACAATATTTTTTAATTATGCACTTTGCGTTAGCACCCATCAAAAATGCATTTTGAAAACTTAATTAGTTTGCTTTCAGTTTTTCCTGCACTTCGGCTAGTGGGAGATATTGAAAGCGACTGGGGGGGTGGAATCGCTAATGCGCGTTCGTTGCCTAAGTCTTTCGTTTTGCGGCCCCATTTTATGTTAATTGTCGAGCCAGCGAGTCCCAAACGGGCAGGTGGCCAAGCCTCCGCCAAAGGGGATTGTTCTTCTCACCACAGTCATGATCCACGAGCAATTGGTCACAGTCCACTGTCTGGAGATTGCTATCAAACTACCTTGGGTACTTCAAGTAAACCCGGATCAGTTGCCTTCTGTTTTTTTGATACCCAAACCAATAGGGAAGTTAGGCGAAAACATTTGTATTTTTTTATACCTAATTGTTATTATAATTTAATTGAAATTGAAAAGGATAGCTAATATGTTTTTTTCACTTGTAAGTGTTTATATTTGGTTAGGCGCAACCCTTTTCTCTTCTTCTATTAAATTAAATATTGTATTAAAAATTTCAATAAATTTTCCCATTTTTTCTAGCCACAACATCTGGTACAAAAGTCCCATTTACTTGACTTAGCGCTCCCCTTTTCGGCCGTTTCCATTTTTTCAGAGACCTGCGCGACTTTTGTTTTCATTTCGCCTTATTTCTGGTATTTTGCGGCTGCACTGACCTTTGAGTGGGGCCTATCGCCTTCATCGATTGAATGCGGCAGTGGGAGTGCCGAGCAACGCCTTGTGTTTGCCTTTTAATTCCTTGGCATGCCTTGGATTTATTATAAAACTCTCGGAGTATCGGGGTGGAAAAAACAGCGCGAAACAAGGTTTCCACCTTCATCGTGGGTAAACAGAGAAATTTTCACCGCAAAGCAAAAAGAGATTGCACTTTACTCATTTATTTTAAAATTAATTTTTAGCTTTCAATCAGAAAATAAAAAACGCAACATTTTCCCTCGGCCTCAACGGTTTTTGTTTAAACAAAAAACCGAACGGGGTCAATTCTTCGGTCCAGCTATCAATGGAAAATTATTTTTCGGTACTTTTGCGGTTGCCAAACAATAAAGCACAAAAAAGATACAGAATGTCGGAAATTAGAATAAATGTTTTTTCATGGCATTTTTCGTTTCCTTTGACTGCTGCTGGAAGGTCTCTGACAAAGTGCCGCCATTACCAAAAAAAAAAAATAAATAAAAATCCGACATAGAAAACATTGAAATTGTTGTAGTTATGTGGTCTATATCTTGAGGCCATTTGTTTGTGGCATGAGTCCAAATCCGAAAAAAACTAAAACTGAACTGAAAATAATTGCCAAGTCACAAGATCCAAAGGGGAAAATGCCTTCGCGTGGGTTACTCAATCTTGCGCAGAAAATGCCCAAAAATGCTGCAGCAGCTTATTCCATTTTTAATTAAAAGTGAAGACAAAATCCCCCAAGAAATGAAGGAAAAGTCAAACGAATCTTTCCGCATTTCGTAGAGCCGGGCTTAAAAACTAAAGTTATCACACATAAATCACAAAAAAGGCAAAAACACAGTTGGCAAAGTCCAAAGCCATAAGAGTTCGCATCGCCGAGTTCATTTCTTTTTCGGCTGTCGTCTGACATGACATTTCACTTTCATTTCCGAAGTGCTGTGTCTTGCATTCAAAATTATGCCGTGTTTGCCCACCGCACTCCCCCGCCAACGTTAATATCCGCCGAATATAAAACTCGTAATTTAAAGTGCGATCAATTGATTGTACTTCGTAGGAAAGCAACACGCCCACCGCAAAAAAAAGCAACGTGAATAATGGGTAAATGGGAAAATTAAATTATACATACAAACAAGCCATGAAAAGGCGTTCGACGCCAAAAGAAAGTGAACCTTATCGGTAATTACAAAGAAGTCACGTTCATGGCTCAACTCAACTAACTGAATTTTATTGGAACTTGTGGGTGGAAAGAGTAAATATTAATACCTTTATTGTATCTGCATTTCAAGCTAATCCAAACACGAACTTCGAAATTGCTTAGCATTATGATAAGTAAGAAATAGAAAATAAATAAGGTTAAGCCTTTAAACCTGTTACGTACTGGAGTCAATCTGTTAAGCCGATTTCCGTCCGTCCTTGACTTCAAGCCAGATTTTCCAACGTGTTCGTGATTATTTTTCTTATGATCGAGCATAACAAAGAAATGTAATCAAATGCGAGCACACAAGTGCTGGTATAAATAAAAGAAAATCTTTTTATCACGTGGCCAATTAACTTTGATTAGATACGAATAAAAGCGGTCTTACAAGCAAAGGCAGTAACAATTAAATGCCAGAAAAATAAGACATTGCAAAGCATTTTAAAATGAAAATAAAAACAAAACAATATATAAAAGCGCGATAAAAGCTGAAACAAAATATCTGCCTACCTCAAGCGGAAGTGTGGCGAATCAACAAATCAGAAAACGTACAAAGGCAAAACGCAACAAAAACCATAGTAGTAATTTTTTCGCGATACCCGCCATGATGTAACCAACGAAAGTGCAGTAAAAGATAGACTTATAAGGAAAATGTGTAAGGCAAAACACCAATTTAGGGCAGGAAAACATGTGACATAAATACAAGGGCCAATCAAACATTAAAATGGAATATGTAATATTAACTAAAATGGGCATGAAGGAGGGTTACGTTGTTTTAGATTACGTATAAGATGCAGTTGGAACCAATTTTTAAAACAAGATTGCTAAAAGCTTTGTAAATAGGTGCGCTGCTTTAAATAATTGCTTAATATTGCATTTATGGTTATTATTAGCATTTTGTCTTTTTGATTCGATTGAATAAAGCAAGAATTAAGCCTCCTACATTTTAAAGTCTTTTATTCTTTTAAATTAAATTTAAAATTTTTAAAATTTGTTTCTTAATTTTTATTTTTTTAATCAAAGTGATCCTAACTATTCTTTTCATGTTCTAGTTATAAACATTCTTACATTTTAGTTCGTTTTAAATTTACGGATCATCATTTCTAAGTAAACTAAAGGATTAACAAAACTTACCTCTTGGTGGGCGATCTCCTGGAGGTCAAGACCGTGGGTAGCGTTGGGTTCGCTACCCACCGTCCACATGCGCAGCTGGTGGGGCGCGCCCTTGAAGAGTCCTTGGGTGGCGCGCAGGCTGAGGTTCAGGTGCTGGCCGAAGGCGCTGAAGGACACGTTGTGCGACTTTATGGCACTCACTTCCGGCCCGAACAGGTGGTTGCCACCCGACGCCATGGCCTCGTGCTTGAGCTCGCTGTAGTAGGCATTCTTGCTGAGATCCTTCTTCACGTGGTGGGGCGGCAGGGCGGCGTTGACCTTTGGCCCCGCGCCAATGCTCCGCCGCCGCCGTTGGTGGTCATAGTTGTGGTTTTCATGGTGCAAGAGCTGGACGAGCTCATAGCTGGGCACTGCGTCGTGGGTGTCTACGTGGAAGATTGACTGCAGCTGCTCCGGCGACATTCGTTTGTGCAACTGGAAAAAGGGGAGAGAGCAAAGCAATTCAGGTTAGTTGCCCATGGGCAATGACAACAAATTGTAACAATTGTCAGATGGATAGTGGATAATTGAAAAATTATCAATAATTCAATGCAATAATCGAGTGTTTGCCCGGTTCGTGTTTGCATTGGACCCCTCAAGAGCTGCCTGGAGATTAACGACTAAGCCAGAGCCAAAGCCAAAGCCAAATCCAAACTCGGCTGGGTTTTGAGTATCTTCGCCAACTGGGTCAGGGTCAATTCGGCGTTTGATAGATTTATTTATTGTGCGCAGACGCAGACACACATGTATTTAAGTATTTCCGAATGAAACGAAACGAAACGAATCGAACAAGAAGCAGAAACAAATATCGAATAGCAATCTTATCCGAGTTGCGTGTAAACTTTTTTTTTATAAACATATTGTGTGTTGGCCATAATTGCGAATTTCAATTAAAATCAAATTAATTTTATATTGTTATTAATGGACTTTTAATCTGTGTGCTATTGTCAGAGCTTATAAATAGTTGTATTCTTCTATTCAGCCTGCCTAGCCTCAAAGATAGGATTGGAAATTCCAACTTGAGTTTATTTTTATAAATGAAACAGCTTAAATTCATTCACGAACCGTTTTAAAGTTTAAACATGCATCTGAATGACATTCTACATCAATCAATCTGAAGTTCTTTGTTTTTTTGTTGGCACTTCCACTGCATTTCCGTTTTATTTATCTCCTAAGTCTGCATCTCACTTGCAATCCAATCAGCAGCAGCAGCAACAACCAACAAGATCTGTTACAGGGTCAAAGCTAGAGTAGAATTTCCTTAAACAACGTCTAAGATGCAGGCGCAAAAACAAAAGACTCAGGCAACGAACTTGCTGCCAGTGGTCTGCAATTTAGGCAAATTTCTTGAATTTATTTTACCCAAAATGGTCTAAAATGAGTCAGAAATGGAATTACAGCAAATGACGACAGCGCCGGACAAAAAAAAAAACATCCAAAAAAGAAGCAAGAAACAGAAAAAAACCAGACCAAGACGAAGGTAAACAAGCTGGCCAGTTGTCTTGGCCAAAGTACAAGATTCACTTTTACAGTTAAGCGAGGCAAAGAAGTGCCGAATGATGATGATGACACTGCCGGGCATAACCGTAAGTCGAGCTCAATAATTCTTTTATAATTGAAATCCAAGCGGAAAGTCGGCAGGTGAACAAACGCCAGAAGGAAAACCAGACAGACGATCGGCTCAGACGCTCGGCACAATGCCAAAGAGTTTTTACTTTCATTTGAAACGTGTTTTTTCAACAGGAGCCAGCTGTTTGGGGTCGCATTGAGCAACTTTTGCCATCGCCGTCGTCGTCGTCGCCCCATTGAAAGTGAAACTGAGGCTTGAGAAAGGAAAACAGACGCAAAGCGGCTACTCTTTCGATGAGGCGTTGAGTTTGCCACTCGAGTGCAATTGTGGCGAGCTTAAGCGAGTTGATTTGAGTGCAATCCCTGGCTTTAGGGCTCTTGGCCGGCCACATTTGGAAAGTTTTGCACCTGCAGCAAATTATAATTATTCTTGCTCTCGCTCTCTGTATGCAAATCTCCTGGCCTAGCGACCACACCCAAACACCAATCAACACTTAACTCTCCGGCCCTTGTGGCCAATTAATCGCAATTAAAAACAAATGAGCGAGAAAAAACTACGATCGGCAATTACGAATTATGCAAAAAAGGCGGCATCCAATGAACAAGATCACCAGCGGCGATTAGAGAACCAGGGTTGCCAAGGGTTCATAGCTTTTTGGCCGGAAAAGCTCTTTAAAAGACCAAAAATGGCTAAAACATTATGTAAATCATTGATAAGCATCGGAAATTACAACTTAAAGGTGTTGAAAGAAGTGAAAAATTGAACAAAAATAACACAATTGCGGGGAGTTAATTGTAGATAATCAGCCAGGCTTAAAAGTTGGCAGAATAATTATGAGTTTGATTTTAAAAGTAATTTTAAAATATTTTTAAATGAATTGAAGAATAGCTACTAATCGTTTTTATTATTAATTTGAAAAAAAAAATTTATAATTATTTTTATTTATTGCCAATCAAAAGTTCAATGATTTTCCATGGTGTTATTTTTATTACGAACTTTAGTTCAAAAATAGTCATTATTCCTTCTGGGTTATTAGTCATTTTATTGAATCATTAAATCATAATGCATTAATGATTCTCTGTAGTTAGTTTCGTATTTCTAAAGACTCTTAGAAAATTATAGATTTTTTAGAACATCTAGATATCCACCGAAGCAAATCCAGCCCTGGCTAAAATTGTCATTTGATTCGATTGGTCGGCAGTTTGCCATTAAGTTGCTGTTTACCCAGCTATTTGTCCAAGCTTAAGTTTGATTTTATTTTCGGTTTTCGCCGAGTGCAATGACGGATATTGTGAAATTGGCGCTGCTCGTAATTTGTATGGCTATTTGGCTAGCTGGGTTGCTGGTTGATATTTACTGGGGCTGCTGGTGCGCGGGCAATTACTGAAATTGTGCGAGATTACTCATACGCCCGGTGTGCGGTGTACAATACTACGCTATAACCGGCATGACGACGATCCGACTTCGATGGTGGCGATGGCGATGTCGGTGGCGACCAAGTGCAATCAGAGTCAAGTCAAAGTAAAAGGTGTAGCCGCCATATTAACGCAAAAAGTGTGCTTCAAATTGGCTCTGGTTGAGGCCAATACACTGTTTATGGCCAACAGTGTTTGTTGTGCAATTGTTTTCCCCTCTTTTCCCAGCCGGTCAAAGTCAACAGCGCGGCAGACGCTCGAAAGAGTGTCACTCGACCTTTCGCGCAGTCAGTCAAACACAAAGAAATTATTCACTTGCCAAAGTTAAGATTTTCAAAGCTTGGTTTTTGGTTTCTGGGCTTGGGTTGCGGATTGTTAAATATTCACCAAATTGCAAACTCGTCGGCGTTCGTCTCTTTTCCTTCCATTTCCTTGGATTCGGATTTGGATTTGGGTGTGTTGACCTTGTCGCCACGGCTGACAGGCGGCGGAAATTAGCAACCGCTTCTGTCGGCGTTAAATTTTCAGGTTTTTACTTTACTCATTTTTGGAATTTTGTGTTTATTAACAAAGTGTGAAAAGTTCAGGGTGTTACGACACCTTCGACATGGGTTGTGTCTAATGCGAATGGCGAATAGGGGTGATTTTTTTTCGTTCCCAAATAGCGGTGAGTATGGCAAAGAGAATATTGACAAAAATATCAAGTTTAAAGATATTTCATAATCCTGGCGGCGTCTGACAAGCGCACCAGGAGAGTGTGCGAAGGCGACTACTATTATATAGCCGCAAAATTGAAAATCTGCTTGATAGTCCGATCGTAATGGTAATACACCAATCGAAGGTATTGCAAAACTTAAAGGATTGCATACCAAGACTATAAGAAAATCAATTGGCTTGGGGGTAAGTGAAGTGAAAATTTTGAAATTTGGAGCTGTTGGGGCCGGTGGGGATAAATGCCCCCTCGCAATGTTTTAGTTGTATTCCTTTTGAAAATACCCGTGAATGAGGGGTCTTTGTAAATCCGACGCTCCGTTAAAGTTATTGCCAAATAAGATTTTCTCTCCCAAATGAATTTAATTCTGTTTGTGTTTGTGTTTGTGTTTGTGTTTGTCCAAACATGTTTCCTAGTTTTGAAAATTTAATATGACGTTCATCCCATCGATATAAAAACTTTTGTTCTACCACTTGAAAACTCGCTGTTTAGGGGAAACAGCTATAAATAGCTAAATTCGAAGCCTTACTCTATACTACTAGCTACAGACTTGTGCTGCATCTTGTTTGAAGGTATTTTTAAATGTATAACGCCATCTATATGATTTGTAAATGTAATAATTAAAAGATATGAAAAAGACAATTTTTTAAAACTTTTTTTAGTTTTTTATTTTTTCAAAACGGCTCTACGATTTCCTTGAAAACTTTAAACTGTATAGCCCTTGGATTCCTTAAATTTTGGTATATAAATTACTGTAAGTCACGTTTAAAGTTATTTTTATACAAATAGCCACTTGCGCCGAACAACTAAGCTTCCTGAGTATTGAATTTGTGTGAGGGTTCCGAACTGTATTTTAGGTCATGGAATCGTAATTTGACTTAGAGTTCCATATGGAATCTTTTGTTCTACGACTTTTGGAAAGCCGCACTTTAGCGGGAAAAGTAAAATGACTAATTTCGTTAGTTTGTAGTTCTACACTACTAAGGTACGACATGTGCCATACCTCGTTTAAAGGTATTTTGAAATACTTTTAACTTAATTTGTTTAAATACAATGGCTTACAAATTATGATTGACCAATTTAAATTTAAATGTATATATTAGCTCCTATGAGAGCAAATGTAACAAACAAACTTCTGATATCAAACACCTTTAACGAGGACACATCGTAATATGATATCAAACAATTAACTCGTAATAGACTTTCTATTTTTCATTCGCACGCTGCAATAGAAATGCCTGTGAGGGGCTGGAAGTCTTGCGGCCGAATGAAATATTAAGTTTTTAATGACGTTTATTTTCGTAATGTTGATATCCTTTTTTTTTTTTCCCGTTTTTTTTGATTTACATAAAAGAGGAAATTAGTAAAAATGGCCAAGAAAACGAAATAAATTTCCATAAAAATATAGAACTACAGAAAAATTTAAATAAAAAATTCTTAAAACTGTTTAATGACAACCCAGTCTATACTTATTTTCCCTCTTCAATACATAATTTATTTATTTCGTTTGCATAATCTTTTTATCAACCAGCAATTACTCATTCATTGACATTCCCCTGATTTTCCTATAGCCCCACGCACTCACCAATACACAAAGAAAAACAGCGGGGAGAACGTGACCCGAGAACACAAGCTCCAAAATGATTACAAATAAAATAAAACCAAAACCCAAGCCGTGACAAAGAACAGGAAAATCCGTAGCCAACAGCCGAAAGAGTAGATCAGTAGCAAACAAAAAAATTCGACAACGATCCATGGAAACAACAACAAATCGTGCCACAGACCATTCTTGATTTCACAATTAAAGGCTTAATTTATTTGGCCGGCAATTGATAGGCCAGCAAACATTTGGATATCTCATATTTTTTCTGCATTTCTGACAGCACATAAAAAACAAAACCAAAAATATAAAGGTAAAAACAAAACCAGCCATCGCTGCTGACTCATTCGAATCCGAATCGATATTCTCGTGGTGTTTTGCATGTCTCGAGTTGGTTTTTTACATCACTTTTTTCATGCTCGGCTGGGATTTGAAGGGCCTCGTCAAAGTTGTTGCTGTGTTTCTTAACGTTGTTGTTGTTCTTGTTGCTGTTGGTGTAGCGTGTCAACTTTAATTGCAGTGGAAAACGGAGACGAAGTCGTTTATGGGGCACATTTTGTACGCCAGCGCCATTTATGCGACTAAGGCAAGGCTAAGGGGTCGATGTCTTCGCCAACACGAACTTGCTCCAAAATCAACCCGAAAAAATCATGATCTAATTTTAAAGTAACCAAAATAATTTAAGGAAATTTTGAATAAAATCGTTCTTTGAGTTTTTTTTAAATTTTTTTGTGGTAGCAAGATTATATATTTTCCAAAGATTTAAAAAATAAATAAATAAAATATATTATTTGAGTTTTATAAATATTTTTAATAATGCAGCTCACTAAGTTAAACGTTAAAAAGATTTGATAGTTTGACTCTGAAATTTATTGCTTTGTAATAATACATTTTGTCTCTGATATTTTGATATTTGTATTATGTATTCAGATGTGTCTTGTATTTTCATGTTTGATTAAATTTCCGAAATAATAAATACAGCCCTGACTAGATCACAGATTGAATGTGAATCTGAATTGATTTCTGAATCGTTATGATAACCAAACTGGTATTAATAAATTTTTCATTTGAAATAAATCAAAGGTGAATTTAGTATTCTTCAAAGGGCTGTTCAGTAAAGACGGTCTGGCACTCGATCGAAGATGGGATCTTCTTAGAACATTTGCTGAACTGGGCCACCGGCTCCCGATTGCTGTGGAAAACTAGTTTCTGGGCACACAGCTTGTACAGCCAACGGATGTCCAGATAATTGGAGCCCTCCATCAGATCGTAAACGTTTTTGATCTCTACCCGCAGGAACTCCTTGTCCCAGTCGGAAGTTTGGAGCTCGATCTCCTCGGCCGGAAGAGGTCCATCTTTGGCCACCCAGGCGGGTTCCTCATGGCCCTTGTGGTACTCAGCCCACAGGAGGATCTTCAGCAGGACACCGCTGTGAATGCCGTGCAGCGGGAGAATGAAATCCTCGCCCTCGGAGTCCTGGCCAAAACGGCACATTTCACTGATTACCAAGGATCGCTCAAGCAGAGCCAGGTTCACCCTAATTATCCGGCCATCTCTGGTCTCCAGGCGCACCATTCTCGAAACGAATCTGCAGTCGATTCGGTCTTTAATAAATATGAACTTCAACTGGGAAAGTCAGGGCCTTCTTTAATCTATTAAAAAGTCTGAGATAATTTAACTAGCTTTTTCGAAAACAAAAAAATTATCGGTAATAATTGTTTTGTTAATTTTTATTGTTTTTATTTACAGCCCGTGAAGGTTTTTCAAAGCGGAGTTGAAATTAAATGTAATCTACCTTGGATTAGCTTTAATCATGACATTTTCTCAGTCAAAGTTAAACCATAACCTCCGCAACAACGGAATAGAGTGGCAATGAAAGAGAAAGAGAGTCGCCTTCCGACTTACAATTAACCAACGACAGCAAAAAGTGTTGGCCATAAAAAATATAAATAAACAAAAAGGGGGGGAGACAGACTGAAATTCACTTGGAATAATTACAAGAACTTTTTACGTCTGACCTTGGCCATAATTTTGCTGGCCGAGCTTTTTCTTCAAAACAAAACCGAGCGCAAGAAAACAAACAAAAGCTGTGCTGTATTTCAATGAGATAGACCCATACAATTGCACTCAGAAACCCGGGCCCCAGCACAATGCCAATGTTTTATTTCTAACGTCGACTCTCTTCGACTCTGCGCTCTGTTTTGTAATTTAATTAATATACAAAAAATGTTTTTGTATTTCTTGAAATGCTAATTACGCACAATGCGAACGACAATGAAACCGCTGACTGGTTGGGTTTTTTATTTAAACCGTTAACAGCTGGCTTTAAGTACTACGATAGGGGCCCAAAGGTTATTTATATCGCATTGAATTGATTGATGAGTTCTTGGTGTCCGATTGAACGTGATCCGAAACCACTGGCATTGGAGGTTTTCAGGGGTACTTACATCTGGCAGTGCCTGGCATATTGTCCTGGCCAAGAGGAGCGCTGTGATAAGGACCAATGTTGAGGACATCTTACTGAACCGCTCGCCTAGGGTGATAATATTATCCTTAAAAATGCTTAAACTGTAAAGAAATAATTAAGGGAATAAAAGTGTTAATAAGGTGGTATAAAATAAATGTAACTTAAGTATAAATTAATACAGGACTATCGACTATCAAATACCCGTTAAATTAATAGGGAGGTGGATATACATGAGTAAAATTTAAATAAATAAATTGGGAGGTAGATGCTATACATGCAGCTAAGCGACTGCTTGCATTTCGATATTTTAATTTACCTTTTAATAATGGCCCGATTCAAAAATTTTTTGAATTTATAGTAGGGGGGAGAGTGGGGGAATTTCGCAGCATTTTTTAAAGCTATTTTTTGTCCATTTGAGACACGTTATCATATTTCTTTTTTATTGTTGAATGGGTTAGCAGCCAAGCTTTAAAATGTTTGACATTTCCTATTTTTTTTAATTAGCTTGGTGATTTATAAAAAATAAAATGTAAACAATATATGGGGCAACCCACACGGGGGTAAATCCCAACACTGGATTTCGTCCTGAAATGTGGGAGTTTGCCTGAAATATGCTACACTGATCGCGACCATTTTTGTTGTCCTTATTTGTTGTGCGGGTGTTGTGTGGGAAAAAAAATTGTATTTAATAATAGGTGGTTTACCCTACGTAGTTCTTTTAGAAATAATTATTTTTCTTGCGAAATTAGGCGCGAAGTTAAAAAATTGCTCAGATATGAATATAGCACTGTGTATTATATAAAAAGTTTTATTCCTTTTGTTGTGGTGAAAAGAACTAAATGGCTTTTGAACTGTTAAAACACATTTATATTATAGTTAATTATCTTGGCCCTGTCAAAAAAATTTTTTGGACTTATGGATTCGAATTGGGTAGCCGCCCCCCCCCCTACTAATAAACACAACAAAATGTAATTTATAATTTTTCGAAATCTTTAAGGAAGTGGGCGCCCGACCTTTTTACTTTAACTTTTTAATATAATATTATTCATTAACCTTCTGTTAACACAGTAAAATCCTACACCATATCCCCTTGCTTTCCCAATATCTCTACGCAATTGCAGCATGCAAAATATTTATTTCCAAAATAATAGTTTTACCACCTCATCGCCACATAACCATTATTCCCTGCCCACAAACCTGTCTTGGTCATGCTCAAATGGGCATTATGTTTGTAAGACAAGTACAGTAAGCATCGGTTGTTGCAACTGGCAGCGCTTAACGCTTGTTTTTGCTTCAATTAATATTTACTATTATTTTTGTAGAAAGAAAAACCTAGTTTTCTGGCCCGCTGGCTGAGTAATTAATTATTGCATAAGGCCAAGAAGCATAGCCCCGAGGCTATAAAACAATCTTGTCCGGCCCTGTTGATTGCTGTTGTTGTTGCTTGTGTTGCTGCTGTTGCAGTTGCACATCCGCCCGGCATCGAAGGCGGCTAATTGTCAATAATGATGCAGCGATGCGTGGCAAGAGGCGAACAGCATCCATCGCATCCAGCGACCAGGCAACAACATGGCCAAACCTTTTGACAAACCAACCAAGAAAACAAACAGAACTGACCAACGGCAACAAATGCAACAACAGCAGCTACAGCGGCAGCTGCAATTTCATGTTGCAACTTCTCAGCGGCATTTACGACAAATTGCATGACATTTTATATCCCCGAAGGTTTTGCACAATTTGCATGCAACATGCTGCAAGATCTGCCGTGGCCCACTTAAAGTCGAAGAAAGTCTCGCCGGCGAATCAATCATCATCAATCGTAATGAAATGTTCGGCTAAGCAATTGCCAAAAATGGGTGGAACACAGCCCAAGGGCAATGCCCCAAAACATTTACTCATGGATTGCTACAAATTGTAAGTCAGTCCAAAGAAAGTGCCATTTTCGAAATGAACAATTGTGAAGTATTGATTGGTGGCCAAAAATGTTAGCAAGGTTTGTTAACTTTTTTAAGTTTTTTTTAAACTACATATTGCATTAACCAACAATCAAAAGACTCAGAAAGCAAACTGATTTTATTTATCTTAAATGAGTAGCCATAGAAGAACATTAGTTTCACCTTAAAGCTGCCTTAAAAAAATATAAAATCCCACTCCAACTTGACCAAAGGGCATGCACTTCTGCTAAGGTCTAACAACCCTCATAAATCTATAAGAAAAGCAGCTAGTTAACTGAAAGTGCAATTTAGCAACCTTCAAGGTAAGACTTTCACCTGACATCAAAAACGAATTAACAGCATTGAAAAGCTTCAAATGAGACCAAAAACCATTGTGAGCAGTGGCTGCAAGCCAAATTATCAGGAAATTTTCAATGCACATAAATAAAACTGAAAACTTATGAATTATTAAACCGAAACGTGACCGCAAATAATCTTGTTTATATTCCGATTCATATTTTACAATACACACCAAATCAGACCAAATCGGAGAAACAGTTATGAGGCAAGATGGCAACGCCATTCGGTCTATCATTTGCATAATTAAGGTCGATTAGGGTCGAATCATTTGCCATATGTGGGCATGCATAAATCTGAATCTGAGCCAGCTCAAGGTTATGGCTATGGCAAAACTGTTTTGTGATTTATATTCAGGCTTGCATAATTCCCGTTCATATTTTTATATAATTACGGGCTAAAGAAAAAACATTGATAAATAAAAAGATACGCATCATCAAATGTCAACCGATTTCAAACAGAAGCTGGCCCAAAAGTGTGGAAATGGAAATGGAATTGTGCCAAAAGCCGCCAAAAACCGAAACGAGGAGACAGCAAAGCAAGTTGCATTGTCAGCTTCCGCATAATTATGCCGCTTGGCCACATATATTTTACTTTTTTCCCCCGTTTTTTCTTACTTGTGGGTTTTGTAGCCTTTGCTTTTACCATAAAGTCAGCGTCTGTTTCGGTTTATGGGAATTTTTTGTGTGTTGCCCGAGTCTTGCCTTTGGCTTTGGCTTTCTTAATGAATCCGCTGACACAACCCTCTGAGCCCGAGTCTGTTGTAAGCTCGTTGTCTCGATGTTTTTTGGAGGGCGTCAGCGCTTTAGTTTAAATTGACATTGACAGCTGTTGGCCAGCACCTCTCTCCGGACTGTCGGACAAACAGCTGGTTGTTTTTCGGTGGCTTCTGTGCAAAGATAGTCATCGAGCGGAACCTGTGTCAGCACCTGAGTCAGTAGCTGGTCATTCGGCTTGATAATGAACCCATTTCCCCCACTTATCGCTTGGCTATCCACCAGTGACATTGGTTCACAGAACGCAGGAATCACATGGCGTATGAGTGACGCAGCGAGCCCATTTCGCAGACGAAACTTAAAAAAACTGGATCACACATAAATCGGCCAAAATGTGACATAACAAAGTTCAACTGTGAACTGTGTTTTGCACAAGAGATAATAAATTTTTCTTGATATTCCACCGACAATTCCGCTGCAAGTTGCAGACAACGATCAAGTGGAGGTGGAGATTACGTAAAATGTCTGTGACCTGAACTTTTTGCATTTGTGTGTATTTTTCTTCTTTTTTTTTTGTGTGGAAAAGGGCGAGCGAATCTTTTGGCCATTGTTTTATAATGATAAAACAATGAATGTGGCTTGGCTCTGGGAACCTGCACCTTGAGTCGTCTGTCGGCCGCTGAAAGCTCGGCAATCTACGTTGAGCTGAAGAAACAGCTGTGCAAATGGAGTTAATGGGGAACAAAAAGATATAAAGAAGAGCAAATGTCAAATACAAATATTTGAATGAGCCCAATTTGAATTCTAGGTTCGCTGACATAATCCATCGAAGATCATGGCTTCTAAACTGGTTTCAGGGCCGTGCTAAGGCATCTGTTCCTAAGCATATTATTCATTTATGTATATTAGATTGTTGGCCAAGACCATCCAACAGAGTTCTGCAGACAACGAAGGCCTGACCAGACCCATGGTGCGTATACGTAATGTGCTGGAGGAGGGGATCAAAGCAGATACATCACCGAAAACAAGTTTGAAGAGACTTCTTTCTTGTCCCCCCAACTACAAGATATTAATTAAAATGCCATTATAAAATGCGCAAATATTGAAAAAATGCAAGCCACAGTGGAGAAGAAGAGGCAAAACCCAACAGCACTGCGTATACGTAATATGCGAGACTAATTAAATTTAAAGATGAGTTCGCAGCAATGACAAGCGAAAAAGCGCAGGAAAAAGGAAAATATATTCCCAAAGAACATGCAATATTATAAACTACTATTAAAAACCGAGAAAAAGCATTTCGGAATTAAATATTTGCCCCTGTTGTTTTATATTTTCTGGCTTTTGCTCTTGCAATTATTGCTGCTCTTGTTACAATTTTTTCTTTTCAGCTGCTGTTACAACATGCAACTAACAATAGCAACAACAAACACTTGCACTGATTGCGTGCTGCGTCGGCGTCGCAGCCAACGTTGCGGTCGAAGTCGGAAAAGCCGTAAACCGCATGAAAATGAAAGTGAAATTGTAATTGAAATTGAAGAAGACGTCGGCTAAAATGTTTGACTTCAACTTTGCTTCGATTTGTGCGATGCTTTCCATGGGTTTTTAACTTTATTTCCATTGTATTTGCCTTTTTTTTCGATTATTGCCTTTTGTAACGCAATCGTTAGATTTTGAATTTTATTGGCGAATGTTTTTGGATTTTGGTTTTTGTAGAGAATAAATAGATAAAGCGCTACAAAGATGAATTATGTTATTAATTTAAAATTGTTGCTAAAAGACGCTTATAAATAAACGTAGAAAGCCACTAATCTTTTTGTGCACAAAAAAATTAATTAATAAATTATTCTGAGTTTGAGCTTAAATTAGGGGTCACATGACTTAACAAAAATTCAAAGAAATTAAGCAAAAACTATTATTACATGAAATGAAAATGTTTAGTATCATAAACATTTTTTGAGTACCTATATAAAAAAACAAATAACCAGAGTACATTGACTACCCTGACAAACTATTCCATGAATGTTAAACAAACCGAAATAGCAACAACAACTAAGTAAATTGAGTGGCTAGGAGACTGAAACAACACAAATAAAAAATAAAAACAAACAGGTTACTCGAGTTTCGTCTTCGTCGATGTCAATGAAAAAGCTAAAAAAAGATCCCAAGATATAAAATACGGTTTATAAAGATGAATTGAAAGCGAACTGAACTCCGAAATCTGATGAATGATCGCTATCGAATGGCACAAATAAATGGCTCTTTATGGGAAACCCAGACAAGGGCTGTTGTTGCATAGACTTCCAAAGAATACCAATAGCATAGAAAGTGGCAAATCGAGGGATATTGGATATATAATCGAACAAAGGCCGATCCGAAAGCTCAAAGCTCTCGCCTTCTCTCACTCTCGCCCTCTCACTCTCTTTGTTGAAATCAAAAAACTGCAATAATTGCAGCAAAAATAACTAAAATTCAGTGCGGAGAGCAAAGCGTGGCGGGCAATAATAACTGTAGCAATATTACAAAATCCGAGGCTCGCAAAAGCCAACTGAAAACATACCAAAAACCAAAACTCACACAACAACAATGAGATAATAAGCCCACGAAAAAGCAACAACAAGTCGGCACGAAAAGTTGTTTCAGCGAAACAAAAATATAAAACAAAACCAGCTCAACTGAACTTAAAACTGGGAAACAAGCCCATTTTGTGGGCTGAACTAAAAGCCAGACAAAAGTCTTGTACACAATCGTATACACGTATATATCCCCCAACCAAGACTCAAGATCCTGCTCTAGAAATCTTGTTTACAGTTCAGGAATTTTATAGGGAAAACAGACCCTCAATTTACGGCATTTTTCCCTCTTAAATATCTTTCGTATTTCTCCTTCACTTCCTTTTTTCTTGATTCCGCAATTAGCAAGTTCAAAACCAAACTCACATATGTAGTAATAATTATGACCCAAAACTTGTCTGCAAATTAGTAAAAGCCAACACAACAACTTTTTTGTTATATGAGGTAATAATAATAAAACATATCTTTCAAAAAGGGATCAAAAAGACGAAAACTAAATAATTTTTGCAGTCATTTAAACAATCTGATCACTTGAAACGATCACCACGTTTTTTAATTTTTGTAGAAGTTTTTATAAATATTATCTGAGAACTCACCTAAGTTTGTTCCTGTTTGCTTCACTGGCCAAACAAAAGATGCGAACCAAACGGATTTTTATGTGATTTTTAAGTTTTCTTCAGCACTTTCATATGCGTTCACAGAGCACTATCATTATCGATGCGAAGTGATTGAGAATTTCTCAAGTTTAAGGATGGGAAACTTCAATGATTTCTGTTCCGAGTGCTGTTCTGAATCAAAAAACGCGACGCGGATATCTCCAGAACACACAGCCCGTGGAATCGAGAATCGAGATGAATCAAAGATGGGATTGGGATGGATCGTGGTCGGATTAGATCGGTGGCCGTTACTGGGACTAAAGCCGGAGCTATATATCCAGAATCGGGGCACAGAACACTCGCGATCGCGAACGGAACAGAAAGAAAGACGAGCAGCGATTAAGCTGGAGGCGGTCAGTGAGCAAAGATTAAATACGGCGTGAAATTTGCTTGGCAGTGAATTTTTTCTTCTCATTCGCTTGTAATTTTTTTACTTTATTTTCGCTTGATTTTTTTGTAAACGAAATTTATTTTTCACTCAATTTCGTTTCATTGCGAGCGCATTGCTTTTATTATTACTTCCCCGCCTTCTGGGGGGAAGAACACAAAAAAACATAAACAATGAAGAGCGCGGCGACAGCGACGTCGACGTCGACTGCAGCGGTACGAGTTGCTGGGAGTGCGAGCGGGATGCCAACTCCCAGATTCACTTTTTTAATAATTTCTTGATTTTCTTTTTGCACGATGCGATTACGAAAACGGGGTAAAACGGGGCGGGAGATTGCAAATTGAGCTTTGTTTTGTTGGGGGAATAATTGCACTTTTGAGCTGCGCTGACGTCACAATCTTGCCGATCGACACTGAGCTGGAATACAGATATTCCTCTTTCAGCTAGTTAACAGTCACTTTTGGGAATTTTTTGAAAACTTATTTTAGCGACCGTTTCTCGAAATCGAAATCGAAGTCCAAAAAAGTTGGTGGCTATGTCTTTGACGGTTTTTTGTGGCCGTCTACGGAAACAGGTCGGCGCACACTAAAGTTAACGATCGCTTGGAACGCTCCACAGAGTCCAAAACCGATCCAAAGTTGGCTGTCAGAGCGGGATGGCACTATCGGCGGTCCGAGAGCGGAGCTTTGGGGCCAAAACCGAACTGCTAGATCTGCTGGCTATAAGCCAAAAGCCTTGAAAGCTCCCCAACGAAAGCGAAAACATAAAACACTTGCATTTTTCGTTCCATAGTTCGAGCTTCGCTATTGAGCCAGCTTTTGAGTGAGTCTTAAACATACCTATTACTTCCATCTCAGTCGACGTTGAATGACTCTTTGAGTGAAACCTCCACCTGATTAATGTTGTAAAGACTCGCTTTAATTAATCTTTAGCCGGGCATCTTCGCATTGAAAATGTTACGAGCATTCTGAAACATCTGACATTGTTTAATTGGCGAAACGAATGTAAAATTAATTAGGAAGGTGTCATTTGGGCATTGACATCGCTGACACTTAGTACGGGAAATCGGCTACAGAACAAATCATCTTCCAACAATCGTGATCCGTGTCTAACGGTTGATATATAACAGCGATAGGTCGAACTAAAAAACTCATTAGCTGAGGGTTCTATATGTCTACTCTATATGTTATGGTAGGAAAGCAAAAAGATAGAACTATTAGAATACACTCAATAATCGTAAGATTTCAAAAGATTATTTTTAAGAATACGTTTCTTTAGTGTTGCAACAACATTTCCCAGACCATTTCAATGACCTAATGTACTTTGAAGGCTTAATCTGAAAATTCTATACCATAATCTCTTTATAATGATTAACCAACTTCGGCAATCTAATCTGAAATTCCATTCGAGTCACTTCCCCACTTCAAATCCAAGACAAAGCAAACAAAACCCATTTTTCAAAAGTGTTAGAAAAAATCGTTTCATTCACACCAAGTTCAATGGCAGTGGGGCTGCGAAATTGTTTATGTTCGCATTGATAAAAACTCATTACACTCCCACGTGAATATATGAGGCATATAAAATATTAAGATCAAATCGGTCCATTCGAACTGGGCCAATTAAAAAAGTAATTGTCACACATTGAGAGATCGATGTGAAGATCTCAATGGGCCGGGTTCCGAGTAAAATCGGGGCACAGTGAACCGCCTACGTAAGCCCGGCAGCTGTGGATCATCAGGATAATCAAATGCTCTTTGGGTGAAACGGCAATGAACCGATCTCTCGGATGACTCAACGGAGGCACACGAGATGTGGGATCCGAGATCTCGAGACTCATCCTCCCACCCACAATACCGTACAATACATCTACCTCATTTACATGCGGCATACAGCCCATGCAGATCCCATATCTGAGTGTAACATTTCAGGCGACATTTAACTCGAACTCAGAGATACCCATCTATTAATGAGCTGTGAATTCCAACCCATGGGCACCCCCAATCCCATTGCCTCCCCCTAATCACCGATCTTTAAGCGTTGCCGAACAGGTTTCGTTTTGGCAATTGAACTCATTACTTTTATGCGGATTTCGTGTTAATTACTTTGCATTTGTTTACATTACCTTAAATTTGCGCGGTTTATTGGCCAAGTCTTGCCTTTCTCACAGTGCATTGCATTTGAGTTGACATCGCATGCATTAAATATTATTTGACACATTTTCTCTTGGCTTTTTAGCAATTGTTCTCGCTCTTTGTCAGGTTCAAAAATTGTTGAACCCTGAACGAGTTTTTTTCCTGGGAAGAGGCTGGATGAGTCGATGTTTTTGTTACATTTTACTAAAATTTTCTGTCTGTGGGTCATTGAAGATAGTGTAATTCCCCAGCTGGGCGATTAATCAAATTATAAGTTTTTCGTGGCCCATCCCCACACACATATATATATTAATCCGTGTCAAGTCAAAGGGTCAATGTCAATCTGCCCGCATCGATAACCCAAAAATCCGAAGCCGAAAGAGGTGGAGAAAGATGGAGCGTTGGGCAACCGCAGCTGAGAAACGAATCTCCGATAAAAAGGTTAGCAGATCATCGGATCCAGCTTGGAATCCCCGCTACTCTCCCACAAAACTATATGGCAACCGTTAACGAGGCGTCAACGTACACAAATGATACATAAAAGACATAAAAAGAAACAAAAACCCATTTAAAAATACATCCCAGCTGGGATGCTCAATATTTATGTGTGCCTCTTCGCCCGAATATTTCTACAAATATAAACAAAGAAAAGCCATAAAAAATTTGCATAATTTTCAACACTTCACGCTACTTTGTTTGGAAATCTTAAAATCCGCCAACGAAATATTTACGAAATTGTCAAACCAAACGTTTGCTTTATTTATGTGATGTAATAAGCCTAACAAACAAAACTAATCTGGTTGAACTAAGATGGGGTGAATATAAAAAGGAGTATCGAACAAGTGAAGCGAGTAAACAGAGTCCCGATTTAAACTGAAGAAATGTTCGTAAATTTAAGGGGCAGACAGGCTGAACAAGTTGAACAAAATTGCAGCCGAATCGATTATATTATTATTTCCATTATGTCAGGTCGAACCGACTACCAACTACCGAATGCCCAATGGACCAACGGCACTCGCGTCGCTTTGGCCAAAAAGGCGCCGCCATTAATACAATCTGGCCCATAAACTGGGTCTCTTTCTCCCCACCGCTCTTCTAGTTTATTTTGGTTTGTTAGTCGGCCAAACAAATCTATAAATATGCATAAAGCTGGCTTAAAGACAGGCGCACACACGCGGATACCCATGGTTTTAGTTTTTGGCTCCTGGTCTTGCGAAAGCCGCAGGCAAAGCCCCCAGGCACTTAGCCCGGTTTAAACCGTTGCCACTGATGGCCAAGTGCTGGCCGCAGATTTTTTGATTGCTCCGCGAGGCAACTCTAGGAAGTGACAAGGAATTATTTGATTGTCTTTCGGGTTTTTTTCGGAATGTTAGCACAATCATTATAAACCATTTTCAGTGGGAAACCAGAGTACTGGAACCGATTGCTTATTAAATTTGATGGCTAACAAATAAAGAACTCATAAATCCCACAATCTCTGACTAAAACGTCTGCCCAAATGATTCCCTTCACATATTCCAAGCTTATCAAACATACATTTAGGGAAAACAAATTCATCTTTTTTTTTGTAAGTTCCCTATTTTGTATTCTATAGTATTTACCATTAAGAGCTGCTAAAAAATTCGGACATATGTTGCGTCTGATATATATATATTATGGAACTCTCCTTCCCGGTTGGAACACCTTGAGGGCCTTTGGCCATGGACAACGGCACTTCATCGATCTCTGGCTAAAATACTGGGTGATCTACGCACTGCTGCAGGCATTTGGTGTCTTCACTGATTTTCTAATAGGTGGACTGAAATTCTACGGCGCTCTCAAGCTAATCCTGTCCATATGCCTCTGGTTTAGTGCCCCTTACAGCACCAATCAGCTATTTAATATAATCAAGAACTACATTATGGGTATGTTAGAGCCAATCTTCGATCAAGGTGATCGCTGGCATCAAACACTCGGAAGGAATCTTTTCCGCAGTCTTATACAAACGCAACTGGTGAAAACAATCATGCCAAAGAATCAGGATGAGCAGATAAAAAGACCCCGGGTGAATGACCATCTATTAAAGCGAGAGCTTTCCAATCTCATGGCCGAAATCGAAAGGGATCAAGCCGACCAATGCCAGCAGCGGTGTCATCAAGCATACAATTTGGACAGACTGGACCGTGATTCAATGCACAATGTCATCGAGTATCTATCCCAAAGAATAGGGGATCAAGAAGAGAAAGCATATCCACCTCGTCGATACAACAGCAGAATCCACTAAGGTCATACCGTGTAAATTCTTGAACTCTAGTATTGTTTGTTTTTATGCCCTTGCAAAAGTCACTGATTAAATGCGGAATCTGATCTGATCGGATTATCCGAAATCTAAAATGTGATTCATTTTTGGGAAGTTTACAGAAGCAGCTGACATTCCGGCGTGACTTTCCATTAATCTTCAATTAGAAAAGTTCAATGCCAGAGGACGGGGCCTGTTAATTGATTCATGGATCGGCGCCAGGAATCGATGATCCGATCCGATCCGATCAGTAGCAATTTGTTGGCCAATGGCCCACATTGTAATTACAAATTGGCGAACAAAATTGTGTCCGATAAATTGTTGAAAGCAAAGCAGAACACTTACACGGATTTTTTCGTGGGGATGCAGCTGATTAATTGAGAACGGCGGGGATAAAAACAAAAGACTGAAGCAACAAACTTGCTGCGGTAGTAGAAAACGCGTGTTGCGGCTTTCTGAGGAATGCTGCTGGCAGCAATCTTAATGCAATTAGCACACTATTAATCTTGATCAAAATCCGAAACTCAGCAAATTCGCAATAACAGCCGCAATGTAAATGACGCATTCGTCACCGCATTGTAAAGCAATTTGTTTCAATTTTGTATATCGATGATCTTTCGGCGATCCGATTCAGTTCGTTGGGGCTTTAACAACATCGCGATGGGGGTCAGCACAGACGTTAGAACCAATAAAGGAGTATATCATTTAAAAAACATTTATTACTTTATTAATTTCCTGTATTTAATTTCATTTAACCGAACAATAAATAACAATAAGCGTTAATTTTGTTTAACAGGAAGGGGATTTGTTTAGCGCATTAAAATAATTGCCAGAAACGCAAACCTTTTTTTATTTTATTCAATACTTAAACAAATATAATTTAGTGATTGTTAAATTGCAGCTATATTATCTAAGTCATAAAAATAGCTTTGAACTTAAAAGTTTGGTATATTATAATTTAAAAAATAACATTTACATTTTGTCATCTTTATAATTCTAATTTTTTCAGGCACAATGAGTCTTCCAGTACAATCCTTAATTATTTACATTAAACGATAATTCCATCAGCTGCCTGCACCCACATCGAAGTGTCATTAGCTTTGAACCGCAGTTCCTTAGCCTTTGGCCGAAGTTTTCTCACTTCTCAGACTGAGTGCCTGGGGTAAGCTCCATTTAAATTTGGGTTAATCAGCGATAAAGCGCGCATTGCCATTGTCAGCATCGATAAAAAACATCAATGAGAAGAACACAACAGAGTGCGAAATAAGTATTTACATTTACATATTTTGTAAAAATAAGAAGAAAACAACAATAATAATAATGTGCAATTAATAAATCGGCTTTGTCTCGCATCGCTAATTGATTGTCATTAATTTGCATAACAAAATTAATTGGCGGCATTTATGCAAATCCCGAAATCCCACAAAAAATTACTTCCTAGGCGATGTGCCAAACCAAAGATGACACCCCAGTGGAGCTCAGAGCCAAAGCCACTTGAATGGAAGTTCAAGTTTTTGCAATTGACCCACAAATTAATTATGCATGCATGTTGGTAATTGTGATTTTTGCCTTTTACAATCGCACACGTAACGTTCCCCTCTCTGCCACTCCATTATTTTCTGCGTTATTTCCGTCAACATTTCATTTATTAGACACAATTACAATTGATTTGGAGTTTCGGTTTCAATTGCCGAAATTTCTGTGAATGGTATGGGAACCTTTTCTTGATGGCTTTTTGAATGCCTATCCAAAATGTCATGAGCGTTCAGCTCTTTGGGCAGGGTCATAATGTATTTTCGAGTCTTTTTGGGTCTGTGTGTGAAAGAAATTTCGGCCGAAAATCGATCTGAATCAGAAGCCAACGATCCTAACCTTGAAACAGCCAAAGGCGCATAATCAAAATTATTTCCCACGTGTAAGAACCATCTATATATTAAATTCAAATAAAATGCACTCATTAATAATTTTAATTAAAATCCGTTTATTACGTTTACAAAAGGGATAATCAAATCGGAAAGCTCTTTAACGGTCAGTTAACAAATTTATGGCAAATTTATTAATTGGTTTATTGCACCGCGACTGATGTTTATTACAAATAACCGAGTCATGTGTTTTGTGTGCCTTTAGCGATATTCGGTAAGTGTGAAATACACCTTAACCTGGGCTAGTTCCTTTTGATGGAAACTGAAGGTGGTGAATAGTCCATAGTCTCCAGATGGCAGGGGCATCATATCTAAGACCTTCAAAGGGAAGCGAAAGTGCTCTAAAATAATTTCGGGCTAGAAAAACTTGTAAAACTGAAAATATTTTACAGATTAAGAGGTTTAAATACAACTTACTGGAATTGGACACTTGTTTACATTGGTTTTATTGCCGAAACTGTTCAGAATGATATTTATAAAGGGATGATTCCGTTTCTCCAGATATTCGCACACATCCGACTGGCAGATATTATATAGAAAAGGCTTGTATCCACTGGCCTTCTTCAACAACTGCATGCGCATCTGTAGAAAAATCATTATATTATCATTATTATATGAACAGAAAAACAAATTAATAGGATTTTAAATTATAGGTAATTAGATTTGCCGAAATGTCGGATGTCTACTTATTATATTCAACTTATTGTTTAATATTTTAAGTTTAAAAACCTGTAAAATTACTATGATATCATAGCATACGAATAACAGGCTTTGCCTTACACTTATAATCTAGCTATAGATCCCTCAACACAGTTTATAACGAAAAGATTTCTGTGCATACATCGATAGTGAGCTGCCAAATTTTTACCACATGCATTAAATTCGGAATTGCCGTAAAAGTAACACATTTTCGGGCAGACCAATACAATTTAGATCAAGACAGAAGTATTATCCTTGAAATGTGTTTCTTTAGCTGTATATCGAGGTTCCTGTTCTTCGTTTATGGCACTTTGGGACCGGCATGGCACACCTACAAGACACTCAACAGCGGGGATGAGGAGTTCCTGGCCTGGGCCAAGTACTGGATAGTCTACGCCTTTCTGGTCACCTTCGAGGTGCTGGCCGACATCTTCTTGTCGTGGCTGCCGCTCTACATGCCCACCAAGTTCCTTTTAGTCTTGTGGATCGTCCTGTCTGCTCCGTCAGCCAATGTCTGGATATTCGACGCCATCCTGCGTCCGATGTTGGCCAAGCGGCAGGAGCAGATCGATCACTTCCTGCACAGGGGCAAGGACAAGCTCCTGAGCGACGCCTTCTCGTCGGTGACTCATCTCTTGGCCCGTAGTCAAACCACAGTGCTGCCTTTTATGTCCCATCTCTGGTCAAGATCGAGTACCTCTCTGCCGGACCCTGTGACTGCCAACGACTTGGTGGACGCCACTGGGAGGAGGAGCTGGTGGCCTGGCTTCGGAGGATACTGATTCGCCTACCGCCTCTCTTCGCACATCCGCCCAAAATCTGTCCAGTGGCTCCAGTCCCGTGGACAGCCTGATGTTCGTGAACGATGATTCGGAGGAGATTCAGATGGGCATTTCAAAGGCCACCACCCAGCTGCACTTGGATAAATCCGTTAACGATCTGGCAAAGAAGAACATCATGTCAATGGAGTCGTCTGGAATCCTTAATCGCCGCAATCAACGCAAACCGAGAATATCCAAGACGCCTAACAATGAGTCTGCTACCGGTATTTCCTCCAAAGCAAAGCTGAACGCTCAGAAGGAGGACTTCCATGACGATGTTGAGGATCTGCTGGCCAAGGCGAGGATCGAGGCTAATGGCCAGGAAGTCCGTCAACAACGTCAGCTGACCAACCGTCGCCGTCTATAAGTGCCCACTTTGTGCACAATCAGATAGAAAATGTTTATAGTTCTTAAAACTTCAATTAGTTACTTAGTTATTCAAAAATATAAATTTAAAGAAATTAATCGAATGTTTTGCTTATTAAAATGGATAGTTATTAAGTTGCTACCGCTGGGAATAAGCCTCAAACTTACCGCTACTCGACCTTTTGGCCACCGTAGTATGTTGGCCCTCAAACTCATTTCCACCACATCCCTTTTCACGGCGTACAGTCGGCACAAAGAAATGCTGGTAAAGTTCTCATCGGCACTCAGGCACTCAATGTTTGTGAATTTGGCAATTCCGTGGACCTGATGTGGGGCGAAAGTTCGGTATATAATCCCAGCCAGCTTAATGGACTACTTGCCTGCGAAATGTACCACAGCCCAATCCAAAGGAAAAGGTGCGTCAACGTGGCCATAACTATGGACTCTGAAAAACGATTAACGACTGACGTATGCCGTCATTTTGGCCATTGCGCGAGCAAGTCATCCGAAAAAATAACCGATAAGTATCAATCATTATGAGCAATTATCAATTCTGTTTAATTACTTGAGCTCTCGATTTGTTGTTGAGTTTTAATTAAACAAAAAAACATATTGGTCTGTATCCAACAGGCAGCACTTAACTAAACTAGGCGAATGTAAACTAGATTTGGGGCATGGGTGTGTGAGGCTGGTATATGGAATTATGTTGTGTTTTGTGTTCAGAAGGGCCTAATCACTGGCCTCATCTTCCTCATCCTCATCCTCCTCATCTTCATCGCTCGCATTGCTGGCCTCCTCGCTCTCCTCCGGTTCGCTTTCGCTCTTGGACTTTTTCTTTTTGGCATCGCCATCGGATGTGGGTTTACTTTTCTTCTTGGCGGGCTCATTGTCCTTGGACTTGGCCTTGTCGTCGTCGGAACTGGTGGAATCATCGTCGGAAATGTACTCCTTGCTCTTGAAGCCGCTGCCGGAGGAATTTGCTTTTTTCGACGGAGAAGCCTCTGTCTTGCGCTTCTTCGTCGCCTTTCCACCCTTCTCGTTGTCGCTGCCGCCGCCTGCTTCAGGCTTGTAGTTGCGCATCTCGTCTTGGTAGCGCTGCTTGTCCTTGGCCGCCGCCTCCTCCCACTTGGACTTGTCCTTCAGCTCCTTCCACATCTCGCCGCCCTTTTTGGCAATCTCGGTTACCTTAATGCCGGGGTTCTCCTTCTTGATGCTCTCGCGCGTGTCGTTCAGCCAGAGCATAAAGGCGGTTGTTGCTCTCTTGGGTTTGCCGGTGTCCTTCTTCTTGGTGGCTTTTTTCTGGAAAAAAAAGAAATGTTAGATTGTTCTATGAATATTCATGATTTACTCTTACTGTTCGCTCCTTCTCCTTGTGCTTCTTCTCCTTTTTCTCCTTCTTTTCGGCCTTCTTCTCCTTCTTCTTTTTGGCGGCATCGCTGTCACCATCTCCACCTCCGCCACTGGCATCGCTGTCGTCGTCCGAATCGCTCTCCACATTGCTGTCGTACTCCTCGGCCACGTCCGACTCGTTTTCGTTGGGCTTGAAGTCCTCATCCGTGGACTCCTCATCCGAGTCGTCGCCATCGTCGTCGTCCTCCTCCTTTTCCCTGGCCTCCGCCTTGAGGCGAGCCAGGTAGGCATCCGGCTCGTTCTCGTTGTCCGAGTCGCCAAAGTCGACATCCTTGTAGCCACTCTTGTCCTTGCCCATGTTGCTCACATGCAACTTCTTCTGTGTGATGAAGTCGAAGAGCTTGGCGTACTCCTCCTTCTCGATGGAGGAGAAAATGTGAACGGTTCCGTTTTTGAGCGTGACTTCAAAGTCAAAGGAGCGCGTGGAGCCGCCGCTGCGGGCAAAGTTCACCGAACTGATCTCCTCGAAGCGAATATGCAGCGGTGGCTTGTGGATGTAGATGAATCCCCGCTCCAGGGGATACAAGTAACCAGCTGCGGCCTTAAAGGAGCAGCCCACGGCCGCCGTGCCAGAGTGTCCGATAAAGTTGCCGGGTCCGGTGATCTTTCGGCCGATCAGCACCTTCATCACCTTGCCCATCACCTCGTAGACCGGCCCGGAGATCTCCTTCTCCAGCTTGCCCTCGTACTTGTCGCGCAACTCGGACTCGGAGAAGGGCAGCTCAATGGTGGTCTCCTCATCGGGAGCGAACAGCAGGACCAGGTAGTGATACCTCGTCTGTCCTTGCTTGATGGGCGGATCCAGGGAGAGCACGAAGAACATTTGCCGACTGTCCTTGTGCGGCAGCATGAAGAGCCGCAGCACCGAGTCCATGGGAATCTTGTAGTCGAACGTCTTGCCGTGCAGCTGGAAGAAGGTGGAGAAGATCTTGATGTCGTAGCGACCGCGAGGCGTAAGGATCTGGATCTCCCTGAATATGGCGATGGACTCTCCGGAGGCCGAGATGACCGAGGCCTTGCTCATCACGTTCTGGTGGAACTTGTCCACCGGATCCTCCTCGGCCGACTCCACGGCGGGTATGTGAAACCGCATCTCCAGCAGACCAACTGGCGCATCATCGTTCTGGTGGAACTCGAGGGTCACCTCGTTCTTGCCGGTGACGCACTGGGAAACGTGCGACAGGGGCACCTCGAAGATGGTCTTCGACTCCTTGTCGAAGCTCAAGACGGAGCCCATGAAGCGGGCGGTGCCCCAGTTCCAGCCCTTGACGCACATCTCCTTCTCGACCATCTCCTGCCGGTAGGCATCCTTGATGAACTTGCCCAGCTTCTCGTTCTCGCTGTCGCGGAATCCCGTGAAGCGGTGGAGCACCCCGCTCTTGGTGAACACCCGCAGTCCCCAGGTGCCCACGAACTTCTGCGAGTTGATCAGGTCTATGTCCTCCGCCGAGATCTGCTCCACTTTGCCGGTCTTTGTGTTCTTAAAGATGATGCTCTGGTCGGTCAGCTTGAGGCGTCCCGAAGACTTCGTAGTGCAAAAAGGGAGGGAAAATCCCAGTCAGACGAAATGTGCCAAGATTCTGGGCGAATTTGCGACTCACCAAGACACCGCGCATCTCGGCGTTTATGTCGTTGTACTCCAGTGAGTCCGTCATTCTGCGCTTCGGCTGCTGCTCGTTGTAACAAAATAGAATAACAATAAATTACGCCGCCTTGCGAAATTGTCCACAATTTGCAAAAAACTCCGGCCGACAAAAAAACAACACTGCGCGCCTAATTTTAGGTTAGACGCCGCAAAAAACACAGCAAAAACAGAGTGTGGCTGCAGCTGGCAGTATATTCGGTATATTTGATGGGGGCAAAATACTGAAGCATTTTTTGGCCTTAATATTAGTTTAGATTTAAAAAATTTAAAAATTTTTGTTATTTTTAAATTTTTTTTTTTATTTTATTTATTTTTATATTAATCTTATTCATAAATTTTTACAATTATTTTTAAGGAAATACCATAAAATACCAAATACGAGTTTAATCTGTAAAACGGGCACACAATTACTTTGTTTACAAAAAAAGCCGCATTTCCTCCGAGAGAACAAGTCGAAAAAATTGTAATTTATTAATTCCACCAACTTAAGAAGCCATGCAACGTGGTAAAATCTCCTTCGGGAAAATTCAGCTGAACATCAACAAAGCGCCCGCCCAGCCAAAGTCCAATGAAACCGCCGAGGAAGGAGATGCCAAGGAATCCCCAGAAGCCAGTGGAAGTGGAGGAGGAGGATTCAAGAAGATGGACAAACAGCAGATGATTCGGCAGATCGAGGATGTGGCCGAGGACCTGGAGAGCCAGCACCTGAAGGAGGTGATGGGCATCAGTGGATTCGGACGCAAGGCGGCCCAAGTGTTCGACATCAACGAGCAGATTGAAAAGGCCAGGATAACCCGCCCGGGATTGGACAAGAAGAGGGAGGATTCTAAGCAGGAGGAGGAGGAGGCCGAGGAGGAGGGGGACGTAATAGGTCCGCTACCTCCAGCTGCAGCCACAGATACTGACAAATCCACGAAGGAGGCTTCGAAAGAGGAAGATTCCGACGATGACTCCTCCGATGAGGATTCGGACGACGAGCAGAGTCTCGTAAAGCGCATACCCTACACCCACGAGGTCCAGATGCAGCACGGATCCCGGGCTGTGCTCGCCCTGGCCGGGGATCCTTCGGGCGCCCGCCTGGTCTCCGGCTCCATTGACTACGACATGTGCTTCTGGGACTTTGCCGGCATGGACTCCGGCATGCGCAGCTTCCGGCAGCTGCAGCCGTGCGAGAACCATCCCATACGCTCGCTGCAGTACTCCGTGACCGGCGACATGATCCTGGTCATCTCCGGAAACGCCCAGGCCAAGGTGCTCGATCGCGATGGCTTCGAGAAGCTGGAGTGCTGCAAGGGCGATCAGTACATCTCGGACATGTCGCGCACCAAGGGTCACGTGGCGCAGCTAACCTCGGGCTGCTGGCATCCCTTCAACCGGGAGCAGTTCCTGACCGCAGCCCTGGATGGCACCCTGCGCATCTGGCAGGGACTGAAGGCCAAGGAGCAGGTGCAGGTGATCAAGACGCGGGCACAGGGAGGCCTGCGCACCAACGCGGCTTCATGCAACTTCAACCGGGACGCCACACTGATAGCAGCTGGATGTGTAGATGGTTCCATTCAGACCTGGGACACCCGCAAAATGTACGTGAACACAACGCACTGCGTGAGGGATGCGCATCAGAAGGGCTCCGAGATCACCTCCATTGTGTTCTCTTACAAGGGACAGGAGCTGGCCACGCGGAGCAACGACGAAACCATGAAGCTCTGGGATCTGCGGCAGTTCAAGAAGCCGCTGCACACCTGGACGAACCTGTTCTCCCGCTACGACACCACAGACTGCTGCTTCAGTCCGGACGATCGGATGCTGGTCACCGGCGAATCCCTGCCCAAGGGTCAGACGGAGGCCAATCTGTATTTCTACAGCACCAGGACCTACGAGGAAGTGCAGCGCATTCCGGTGGCCAACTCGCATGTGGTGAAGACCCTGTGGCACCCGAAACTCAACCAACTGTTCGTGAGCTGCGGCAATGGCACCATCAAATGCTACTACGACGAAACGCGCAGCATCCGAGGCGCCAAGTTGTGCGTGGTGAAGACGCATCGCAAGCGGCAGCCCATGGAAATGGTGGGAGTCTCGCAGATCATCACGCCGCATGCTCTGCCCCTGTTCAGGCAGGAGAAGTCGCGCACCTCGCGCAAGAGGATGGAGAAAGCTCGCTTGGATCCCGTAAAGTCCAAGCGGCCCGACCTGCCCATCACCAGCGGTCAGGGCGGCCGAGTGGCCAGCTCCGGCGGCACTCTCTCCTCCTACGTCATCCGCAACCTTGGCCTGAGCAAGCGGGTGGACGACGACCAGGATCCCAGGGAGGCCATCTTGAAGTACGCCAAGGATGCGGCCGAGAATCCCTACTGGATAGCCCCGGCCTACAAGCAGACCCAGCCGAAGGCCATCTTCTCCGAGAAGCTGCCCGCCGACGAGCCGGCCACCAAGAAGCCCAAGACAGAGGCAGACAAATAGATAGTCCATCCATTTATAAGCGCTTAGAAATGTGAATAAACTCGTTACGGTTAAAGAACTTTAGCCTAGCTGTAATTATAACAAATGAGGAATCCTTTGGCCGCTCGAGATCAGACCATCACCTCCTGCAGGCGGTAGCAGTCGGAGGCAATCTTCCACTTGTCGTTCTCGGCCGTCACGATGAAGGTCTGCTGGAAGTTGCGGACGGGCTGATGGGCAAACTTGACGGTGCCGCTGGCCAGGATTAGGTAGGTCAGCTGGTTGGCCACAGCCTGATCGAGAATGGGCTGAGCATCCAGGGTGTTCATCTGGTGGCTGGACGTCGGCAGCTCCAGGAAGTAGCGCTCGATCATCTCGCGACCGGTGGCCCCGTTTCCATTCCAGCTGAAGGTCGCGTTGTCCAGGTAAAGGCGACCAATTTGCTGTAGGGGATCGAATTCCATTATTTCATTTTTCCACGAAAATGCCGGCATTCCAGGGATCTCAACTTACATGGCGTCGGTTGTCCACGGAGGCGTAGTAAAGACGCGTGAAGGTGTCCGCCGTGCGAGCGCAGCTTTCAATCTTAGCTTTGAGTTCCTTTAAGATTTTATTATTCGTTAATATATTATTTATTAAATATTAATACATTTCCAACTCACGCTATTCATTTTGTTGTTCCCGCCAAATTAGAGTGACTGTACTCGGATGTACAAAAAATAACCTTCGAAGGCGCCAAAGAGATGATGACAGTATTTTTTCCGGGTTGAAAAGATAAATGTCCGTTAAAATTTTCTATGAATACCCTAAACATGAATGTTTAAATCTGTATTATTTTAAAAACAGTGCTTTTGAAATCTTTTGAGGATCCAAATGAATTTATTTATTTTACTCACCTCACTTACTATTACATCAAGACAACTTAAAAATTGTACTTTATTCATCGAACGATCGCAGCTTCAATCCGAAATAAACTAATTTCTTAATTCCAAAATCTAATTCTACGAACCTCGGCCAGAAGCTTTTCTTTTTGATTTTCCAGAACTCTTATTTTTGTTTACAATAAAAGCTGAAGATCAAATTATGCTGACCGATACAATTTTGTTGGAACTTGGAAAGCAATAATTTGGGCCTTCGAACGGTTGCTTATGTTTACTTTAAGATTGGTTTATTGGCAAAGACAATATCGCTGAGACTGAATTTTTTTGGCACCCATTAAAACCCCCAAAACAGGAAAATGCGATTAATGTTTTACGTTTTTTATTCCTAATCATAATTTTATTTAACAATTAGGTACACTCAATTTAAAGCATAGCGATCACAATTGGAATTAATAAACTTAACATTTGAGGATTCCCTGTCTGAGTGGCCAAACTGGGGAGCACTGGAAAATCGAGCGAGTCCAACGACTACGAGGCACTGCGGCTAGAACTACGAGTATGGCTAAAACTAGCTAAGCTAAGACCTGATTTAATGCTAATACCCCCCTGCATTATGCGTCCGTCCCCCGATTTTCCTTCAGCGGCTGCAGGGGCTGCAAGTTGACCGTCTTATAGCCACGATCCCTCCGGAACCACAGCCAGTTGTTCCCGTTGAAGTAGTCCTCGATGTGCTCCAAGCTGCGTCCCTTCGTCTCCGGCTGGAACATGCACATGAAGGCGGTGAGCAGGAAACTGGACACTCCGAAGACCAGGAAGACTCCGCGCATTTTGAGCATGGCCTGCAGGGCGGGGAACTTCTTTGCGAAGATGAAGAGAGCCACGTTCATGGAGGCAAACACGCCGCCAGCTGTCCTGCCGCGGATCCTGGCCGGGAATAGCTCACCAATCATGATGCCCGGCATTACCATCAGTGCTGTATTGAAGATAATGTAACCCAAGAGGCAACCGCCTCCTACCAAAACGTCGTAGGACATTTTGGGCTGACCGTGTCTGGCATACTGGTAGACACTCAACACTAAGCAGAACAGGCCCGAACCGATTCCAGACACTATCATGATCCTACGGCGGCGAACGAAGATCAGGATCACACAGAAGATCATGCAGCAAATCACCCGGACAACTGCCGTTCCAATTGCCGCCTGTTTGGAATCGAAGGCGGCTCCGAATTCCGAAATCATATCGACGGCGTAGAAGATCACGATGAAGGTGCCGGAGAACATCTGCAGCAGGGAGAAGACGATCACGATGACCAGCGGCTTAATGGCCACCCTTTGGCAGCACAGCTGGAAGATGTTCTCATTGGTCCTGGTGGTCACTCGCTCCTTGGCCAATCGCTGCTTCATGTCGTTCAACTCGTTCTGGGCACTAATTTCACTGCCCCGAAGGAAGGACAGTGCCTGCAGGGCGCGCTGCTCATGGCCATTGCGAAGCAGCCAGGCAGGAGTCTCTGGGATGCAGGATATGGACACCATGGCCAGCAGGGGAAGGATGTTGGCGCACCAGGCCACGCTCCGCCAGTACATCATGGACCCCAGGGAGTAGACCAGCAAGATTCCCGAGGAGTAGGCCACGTAGGGAGCACCGATCAGCAGACTTCTTAAATTGGGCTCCGCAGTTTCGGCAATGTAGACCTTGAAAATGGGTAAGGAAAATTATTTATTAATTTTTATTAGAAACTGAATCAGAGGTACACCCAAAAAAAACTCGATATGAATCGTAGGTCAATTTGACCTTTTTTAAGATCATTTTTAACTTGATATGGGGCCAGGTAAATGTGATATGGTCGACCAAAACTTATACTAAACATTATACTAAACATGCTTTCGAAGTACGTCAGTTCGAATTTCGAATACGTCTTTCTCGCTTCCACTCATGTCATTTTGCTCGCCATATTGATTCTTGCGCTCTTTTTCGAAGTAAGAGAATCTCCGAGAGAGAGAATTCGGTAAAATGATATTATTTAATGTAAATTTTATGAATATTTCAGGTAAAAACGATATGAGTAGGAATAACCAGAAAATTACCTGGACTTATCGATTTTACGGCGACGTGCTTTTTTTTGTGTGTAACATTTATAATTATCCTTATCAGTTCGAAGAACTTTCCCCAATTCAGATTTTACTTAGTTCTTGAAGCTTCCTAACTTTCAAATAACAGTTACTAAGGGATAAACATCTTAATTATATTGCCTTTATTTATCCAAAACAAGATAAATCCTCACCCCAGCTAGAACTTTCGCCAAACGACAAAACAAATTGATATATTTGAGGGTCACAAAGGCATCAACATCTTAATCTCTGGGAACTCTTGGATGGTAATCATAAAATCGTAAATCACGTCAGTCAGCGAGCCCATTAATGAATGAAAACGAAACTGGCGGGGGGAACACGCGCAACAAGTCGACGCCCACCCGTGAGCCACCCATTCATCTATCCATATGTCCAGAAGCCCCCATTCCACCCGTTCCGAAAAGCCCCCATAAGCCGCATCCACGTTATTATAGACTAAGGTCAAGAATCCGGAACTACTACGCGTACTTTGTATAATGCGGAAAGCTTTTGCTTTTTATTTCGCTTTTACTAATGCAAATGATGCGCTGGCCATTTAAAGTCCGGGAGCGATGACGCCGACGACCATATCGTTATCACTTTGGCCGCAAGATAAGTCACGGACATATCCATAAGATACTCGTAAATAAACAGCGCCGGCTGTAGACACAATGGAACCGACCAGAGAAGCCGGGACAATAGAATACAAAGCGTCAAGTGGCCAATTTACGACCTGTCACGACTGCTCTTTTGCGTTCCCCACGGGAGTCCCATTTGTGGGGAGTTCAAGGCTCCGCCGATTACGGTTAATGGGTCACTCGGACAATCACGTACGGCTCCGAGTATTCCGGGTTTTTCGGCCATTATGTGTGTTCCGTGTGAACGAACCGGTGGCATTGGGTTTTCACTCACCTGTCCGGGTCCACCCAGAATTCCGGTTGCAAATCCGCACAGGAACCGCGCAAAGAGTACCACATTGAGGCTCTTGGCAATCGCCAATGTGCTCCAGCCCAGCAGGAGGGGAATAACCGAAAGGATTAGGGTCCTGCGGCGGCCCAAATAATCCGCCAAGGGTCCCGAAAGCAGGGAACCAAAAGGAGTGGCCAAACTGTGGACACTGGCTGAAGGAATAAAGAAAAAGTTAAAGGGGTTTCCATTTGCAATTAAGATTTATCTAGTTAAACTTACCGATCCAAGAACCCGTATCCAAATCTATGGGGATCTCAGTGCTATTTGTATCCATTAATTGGGGCAGCAAGATGGCCGAAAATCCAATGGGCATTCCACAGCCAGCGGAAAGTAAAAGAACGGCACAAGTGGCCAAAATCTGAATAAAAGGGAATTTGAGTGATTAAAAAACTTTTTTTTTATTATTTATAACTATGAAAAATCTTTGTTTTAGCTCTATTTATTAATGGTTTCTTATATGCCCATGCGCGGGTTGATTTAATCGAATCGCCCGATATCATCAATGGTGACCGCCAAGCAATTGCCATCAATTGAAGTTGCAATTGCATCACGGACAACTTTATTTTGATTTGCGCTGATAGTGACAAACGATCTGTGACCGCTGCCCATTGATTACTAAATATTACTATGTATAGTTCAATTTGTGACGCCAGCCAGCTGGACATGGACGACACCCTGAAATTGAATGACATTTCGTGTCATTCGCTGCCATTTCATTCCACTCAATTCCCGGGGGCTCCGTCACATGTCCGCCACATGTAGCCCCCGAACAGAAGCGTTTTCTAATCATTCCGCGAAGAAAGTTCAATTGCGTATCTTATCATTTTGTCCTTCACGGAATATTTAGTATCTGTCACGCACGAACAAGCGAAACCTCAGAGATGTCCGATGTTCGACAAGCGGCTGACAAGATTATGAGCCTACTTTTGATATTTGTCAAGTATAAATATGGATCTTTAAAAAGGGAATCAAGTAGGAAAAACCCACACTTAATTGAAGGACAAAATAACTATAGAAAGCAGTGGGTTTTAAAATCAGTCATAAAGATTTATATTTCTTTAATTTATATTTCTTTAAATAACCATCGTTAACTCACCTGGTGCATCATACCCCTCCGATTGGCCACATCATCATCCTGCTCATCGATGGTCGAAAGTTTTCTGGAATTGTGGTTGCCCAGTTTGCACTGAAACTCAGCTCCTGGAACCACTTGATACGACTTTGAGTGGGGCACAAATTTGAGGTATTCGTCATCTCTATTTGGGAGAAAAAAAAAATTCAGTAAGAAATCAGAAATCAAATCATAATACTGAGGCGATTTTTATACCCAATACTATAATCTAAACGGTAAACGCGCTAATTAATTATAGTCTTCTTTGCTAATGAGTTGTAATAAAATAATAAAATATCGATTTCACACCCAGATAAGATTGCCTAACCAATATTAAGGCCCGTAAAAGTTGTGATCTACAAATATTGGGAAATATAAAAAAATTCCATTATTAGGTGCATTTATTGTCAAGGTGCTCCGACACTTTTGCAGCTTAATGGGCTTAACGATCCGCAATTATTGGCAATTTCATGGCCACTTGGGAACCGTTTCGGATCGCTATTATAGGGCAACCCTTTCACACGCCACTCAAATAATACGACCTGCATTCTCATTGTTACTTTTTCCGTATTTCGTTGCACTTTAATCCGGGCAATTTATAGTTGAGTCATAGCAAAAACAAAAAAACTTTTAGAGTGATAACAAACCGCCCGGGAGCAGTAATACGTCACTTTTTAAAAACCAGCTGAGTTTGTTTTGGCGCTACGATAAGAAAACCATAAGAAACAACAAAAACATTTTGCGATTTTTAATGTTTTCTGACAGCGTTTTGCTCTCCCTCTCTTTCTCTCTCTCTTTCGTTTTAAAGCTTTTGTTTTGCTGGTTTTTCAACTGCTTAAATAATGTTAATGTATTTTTTATCGCTTGCCAAGGTCAATTTGGAGTCACGTTTAATGAACCGAATAAAACTTTCTTCTTTTATAAATGATATTCACAATATAACATTTTTTTGGCATAGTTTACCAAATAAATTTTTGCAAAACAATACAATAAAGTGGCATTTATAGGCCTAAAATATTTTTAACTTCCCCTTAGCATTGTCATTGATCTATAAACTTGAAACCTTGGACATCTAAAACTTACCCATAGCATTGATAGCTCCATAAGACGCCTAATCGTGATATGCATGTTAAAAAGTTAGTCAAAACAATCAGATTTTGGCAATACTTTTTTAAAAACAAATCATTTCACATTGCTAGACATGAACAATATCAATAAAATGGCAGTATCGCTGTTAGAAATCGTCTGCGATGGATTGAGGAAGTACAAAAGATAAAGTCAACGGTTCAATGTACCAAAACAAACAGGTTTAGAGTTACTCGAACAATGAAACGCACTCTAACTTTAAGAAATCTTCAATTTATACTTATATATTAGTAAGCTCCTAATGATCCATAAACTTCTAGAGTAAACTTTCGAATCACATTCAATCGGCGTGTCTGAAGTCCATGTCATTTTATTTACCCATCAATATGCTGATGTGTAAATTGAAAAAGTCGCCTGCACGACTGTATGGATTCTATAAACCGAACTGCTCACCCACTGTTGACACCACAAATTAGATAATTTATAGCACATATCGGCACACACTAGAATAAAACAATCATCTGGGAGCATGTGGCAACCAATCGAATGGCCAGTCAACAAATGACTTTGCTTAATTGAGGCAATCGGTGTGGAAAAGAGGGTGAGCTCAGTCAGCTGATGGCGCCATCTCCAATGTTCAGCACCCAATCAAGGATTAATTTCATCACTGGTTGGCATGGTGGTTCCGGCCTACCCGGCGTATACGTAATAACTAAACTGAATTTAATTGCCACGCCAGATGCCAAAAACCGAGATAAGATAGGAGCACGAATCTCGGTAACTGGTTAAGGGTAATTTAAAACGAAAGCACTAGGCTTATCGCCAATTAATGGTGAGGTTAACCAATCCAATTAGGGAAGTTCCAAGAAGTGCGTAAAAGTAACCAGAATTTCACCACCCCCTTCTGATGAGTAATTCCAAATCAATCAATATTTCTATTTAATGCATGCAAAATGGAGGACCTAAAGTGCCAAAGGAAGCAATTCAATTTTCATTCAATTAAGGCATGAAAAATGTTTGTTGATTGATGTGGTAATCAGCCTAGAAATATTTCAAATCATCGTGAGATTTGATAAGCTAAAAATAATGCCCATACACATTTCAAAACAATGCACATTCCAAGTCAATAAATTTAGCTGAACGCGAAGAAATGTACTTTTGTTTTCAATCAACACGTGTTTTGTCTGGTAAATACCCCCGTATCTAATCTTCCCTTGGAACTAATATATAGCGAAGCAAATTATTTATTATCATTTCTGAGGTAACGGAAATCTTTCCCTCGGGACCACTTCGCTGATCACAGAGCACTTTGGACACGAAACTTATAGACAGATCTGACTAGCAGTTGGTGGTGTATAGATAAGACTCGTAGTTTTTTGGGGAAATCGACAATTAGCTGGCATTGAAACACCCCTTATCGACAGGGGGCCCAAAGAAGTGTCCCTAATCTCGCATCGGCAGTACTTCAAAACCTTCTGGCTGAACCCTAGCAACACGAATGCACAAAACTGCGTGAAGAGAACCGAAAACTTGTTTTTCGGTTGCTGGGGTTTAAAGTCGAGGGGGGTATTTTTAGCTGGCCAGACAGTAAATTCGCAAAAAATGCTGATGAGTGGACACAGTGTTTCACACAAATGCACGAATATTCAATGTTTTTGTTTTGATTTGACTTTTTGTATTACCTCTCGGCACTCATTTTGGCCAGCTATAATGTAGGCAAATTAGTTCAAGTAGTTGGCGAATTAATTTATGGAAATCTTCCGATTTTTGTCTGTTGCGCCCTTTATATAACTAGTCGCGACTTAATGCGTCCGCTTCAGATGCATTTGTTAAACAAGGCACTCGATCGCGTGGTTCACTTAAATCTCGGCTCGGATCGGATTGGAGCGGATCTCTGGGAAAACACTAGGGAACACTGGAAGAAAAGCGAGCGACCACGGAGCAGCGACAAAAAACACACTGGCTGGCAAAGTGGTTCCGATGCGGCTTTTTATTTATGAGCAGCGATCGACGCTGCGATCGCAACACGCACACAGCAGTAGCACTTATTTTGCGCTCTCACTCTCTCTTTGTTTTTTGCATGCCGCCTTCAAACCGCCCGCTTAGCTGTCTCTCTCGCTCGCCCTTGCTTCGGAAGGATGCTTGCAAAAAGGCTTCTTGCTTTGCTTGACCAAATTCACAGCTGATCGTGCCATAAGGCACTATAACAGTTATTTCAGCTCTCTCCTTAACTTTCCCTTGCGCTCTTCTCACAAAGCTTTTTTTACTAGCTAAGACTGAAACCAGAATGTAGATCTGTCGAGTAGATTTATGAAGTCTGGAAAAGATGAAAAATAGACATCTGTAAGTCAAAATCTTGGTTACTTTCGAATGTACTGCTGGCTTAGGAAAAGTTTTTAGTATTAAGATTAAAATATTATTTTCTAGGAGAAGTTCATTTATATAATAAATTTTAAAAATGATAATACACCTACCTTTTCCTCGAAACCTCTCCCATGTTTTTCCTACTTCTCTCATTAGAAAATGTTCAGTGAAAAGAGCATTAAGGACACGAGCATTGAAGGCAATCGTGAAAACGACCCGAGGGCTCGACCAAAGCTTAATTAAAAAAAGCTTTTCATTCATAACCTTGCACAACAACAGCAATGGTGGGTATAGGATAGCACGAACAACTATGGAAACATTTCCCTTAGCCAGGCTGCGGAAATGCAGCGAATTGTGAATTTGCGGAAAAGATAAGCGGAGCAGGGAAATGAGAAAAATATATCTAAACAAAGGCGGACAGGGATCAGCTTTCACCCAAAAAAAAAATCGACTGAAATCGCCCTTGGTTTTAGAAAATCGCCTATGAATTTGCTTTACTGGCGATTTTGTCTATATTAAAGAAAGTAGGTTTTTAAAATCAAAGACGTTTTTTCTAAAAATCAAAAAAATAGTCTGCAATTTAGAAATATTTTGCTAGAAAGTAAAAAATTATTTCTTAGAATTTAGAAATAAAGGTTTTCTAAAAAATAGAAATACGGTTTTTTTTAAATATAGACAAATATTTTTTAAATAAAAAAAAATTTCTCAAATTCAGAAAATACAAAAATCTATTTTCGGGCTTCGGAATTATACCCGATTGTTTCTGTGACGCCACGGCCTTTGTGTTGTTTTTTTTCGTTCTTGTTTGTCACCTTATTTTAATTTCCTTTAATTGAGCACATGGGTGGTTTCAAATTGGAACTGAAATGAGTGTACAAATTACAAATTATAAATATAAAAACCCAATAACTTACTATTTTGAGAAAAACATCTTGGTCGCCGCACGCGGGATTCGAACCGCTAACCGCTCGCGCCTCACAGTTTGCAGTCAAGCACTCTACTAGCTACGCCACGGAAGCATCACGTGAGGCGCTGTACAAAGTCTATTCACATTTTGTTCTCCTATTTTTACTCAAATTGATCTGGCTTTCTTCTGGTTATTCCTTTTAGTTTATCATTTAATTTTACTTTTAAATATTTATTGATTAATATTAATATTTATATATTTATTATTTATTATGGTTCAATAGTAACAGTAATTGAATGTTTCAAATTTGAAAAACTTAAACGAAATGCAATACATTTTTTTTATTAATATGTAACTATTAGTGTTAAAAAAAAAACAAAAAGACACCACGAGTTTTTCGTCTCGACGTCGGTTTGAACTCACTCTTGCAGCCGCAAGCTTGAATAACATATGCATGCACGCACGCGTTAGACCCCTAGGCTACCAATCCCGGAAATTTTCTTCGATTAATAACGATTTTTTCTTAGGCTAAAAAAAACTTTTCTAAAAAGTCTATAAGAAAGGAAATCGATCAAATACGGTTAAATTTTTTATTTTCTAGAAAAATATTTCTTAATATCACACATTTTTTTCAAAATGTTAGAAAAATCTTCAAAAAATTTTTCTGTTATTAGAAAAACAATATTTCTATTATGTAGAAATATTTATAATTTTAATGGCAATTTTTTTTAGTTTTAGAAAAGTTTAGTCTTTTTTTTTCTAAAATCAATGGCGATTTTAACCCTCAAAAAAAGAAAGGATGATTAGAAAAATAAACCTTATAATTTAGAAAAAAATTGATTTTTCTGTATTTCAGAAAATATTTTCTAAAAAAACTCGTTCAATTCAGAATTTTTTGAAGATTAGAAAATTTTTCTGAAGATTAGAAAATTTTTCCTCTTTTTAGAATATTTTTTTGAAGCACAGAAAAATTTTTTTTTCTATATTTAAGAAAAATAATTTTTTGAGTGTTGGAGACATGGAAACGGTGCAAAAATTGCGTGAAAACTATCCAGGAACGAAACTGTTTAAAACTTTGTTATTTCCATTTTTCCGAGAGCTTTCGTAAGCGGCTTACGTTTGTTCGACATTCATACGCCCCGTTGCCGCTGAAGCGCTATCCCCGCCCACTTTCACTTCCACTTCCACTCCCATTTCCGTTTCCTTTCGCTAAGCTCAAACACTTGCGTAAACCAATGTATCGCCCGGAGCGTCGGAAAATCGCTCTCTCTTTCTCTCGTTGATTTTTCTCCCATTTTAATGCTCCAGTGTTTCAGTGTCTAGGTCGAGGCAGCTTTTTTCCTGAAGGTTGGCTAACAGTTCAATGTGGTTGTATTGGATCTATCCCCCTTTTCGGGGGGTGAAGAAAAGCCGAATCAGAGGAAAACTATCGACCGATAGCAGGGATGCTCACAAGGTAAACAGGCGGCAAATGAGAGCCAACTAAATTGTTTCCTTAAAAGCCCTTCTGTCTCCCAATTAAAATTGTCAAATTGCAACCTTTTTAAAATCGAATTATGATTTTGTCAACCATTCAATTGCATTATAATTCGCATTTTAATTGGCTATCTGCACATTGTTCATCGGAGCCCGCGCTTACAACAGACCAGCACACCCACATGCAGCCGCATGCAAATGGATAATTAAGTGAGTTATTGTTCAAGGACATATTCACTGCTCACTAACTGCCCCGAACCACCCACAAAAAGAATCAAAAGCTCGCGGATGCACTGAAAGCGAATCACTGGAAAAAATGCTAAGCAAAAGAATTTATCTTTACATTTTTTATTTATTTAAAGTAAAGTAATTGTTTAGGTGAAAACTGGGTTGAAACCTTTTTCTTCAACTAAAAATCTTTTTTCAATATGGCTTAAAAATTAATAATAAAATATTTGCAAAAAAAACAGTTTTTGTAAATAATGAGCTTGACTTATTTATTATTTTATTTATTTATTATATGAAATTAATTATTTAGGTTTTAACAAATTTACCTAGACCTTCCTCTCACTTTCCGTTAAATTTTTGCACAGTGGCGTAAATAAATTACCACCACCACCGCCTTTTTTCGCCAGGATCCCCATTTTCCCTTTCCAATATGCCGTAAATCAAATTGCAAATCAAAAGCAGCGCCCAGCAGCTGCCATAAACTTTTATGGCAAGTGAGCGTGGGCAGAGCTTCGACGGCTGAGCTTTCCACGATGCCGAAAAGAAAAGCGTTGGCTTTTCTCTCTCGCTTTTCACATCGGACTCTTCGCAATTCGCACCCGCACTCGCATTCGCTTTTCAGCGGGATTTTCCTGGCTCTGCTTCCGTTTCACTTTCAGTTGCTTTTAAATTGTCCGCCAAATTGGACGCTCCATGCGTCCGTAAATTTCGATCCACTCACGGGAGTAGGCAAAACAACAACACTAGAGATACTGGCTAAAAGATAATATACTGTGTGACTTTCGGTTAAAGGCATCTGTTCTGGAAAAATACTAAAAAGAAAGATCCTCGCAAAAGTGCTGAAAAGTGAAGAAGGCAGAGGAAAACCCATTGTAAATTCTTAATTGTGTAAGTCCCGCGTAGTGTACGCATGTATTTGTATTTGTCTGTGTGTGTGCTCGGTGTGCGTCTGTGTGTGTTGGTGGGAGTGTCCTTCGAGGCCTGGCAGTAAATATTTAAAACAATTAAAGCCGAAGCCTGAACCAAGGTCCCACAGGACCCGTTGGCAGGCCCAATTAGGCGGCATCCCGTAACATGAACATCCTGCGCGCAGGATAACTGCATTGTCTGGTTAATTCGCCGTTAATGTAGCCTAATTACTGGCCGTTCTGACATCCCGACATTCTAACGACCTGTTATCCTGTCTGCTCCTGCATTGCAGACCGAAATCCATCAGACGATCAGATTTCCCTTCAGAGGAAATGGCCATGAAAACTCGCTGATAATGCATTTTTCCATAGCATACTTTTTCGGAGGAAAACTATGAGTGGCAGTGAAGCCTTGGGGTTGAGGCGAAACTTTTCCCGGATTTGGCAACAAGACTTAAATTGAAATCCATCCAGCTCAAGTCCACAGTGAAGCAAACTTTTAAGTAATTAAGTGCCGTTTTTAGTTTAAACGTACTTATTGTAGGTTCTCAAAATTGCTGATAAGGGAACCTTAGGAAGCTAATATTAGCTAATAAACGTGTTAAAAGGTGGCATTATTTAATTAATTCTTGAAACTCAGCTTACTTGGAAATCATATTTTGGTAATCAGCAAATTGAGCCAAATAAGTTTACCGAGAAATTTCTAACCATTTTATTTATTTAACAAGCGTTGGAATGGAAATTCCAGAAATCCTCATTCTGAAATTAAACCTTTCTCGGAAATATATGAAATGATTAAATGTCCTTTTTACTTGGAAAGTCTTGTGCGTATAACGTGAATTGCTGCTTGGGCACCTACTTAATGATGCCCACAATTTATGCCTAGATTGAGCTAAAATTGAAACCGGATTGGAACCGTAATTTTCATTATCGTGGAATTTTCTTCAATAAATTTGCATGTACATGTCGTAAGCCCACTCCCCGTCGCTCCCAAATGCAATCGCTTGGCTGGGCATCAGGTGCATCCAATTCCGGGCCGAATGGATACTTCGGGCTGAGCAAATATTTGCCACAAGTTGGCCAAGAGTGGTGCCTCCAGCCGTAGACCTTCCCATCCCACTGCCCGGCCCTCTGCTCAAGCCAAGCGTGGATGAACGCAAAATTAATTCCAGCTTCCACCCGCTGAGGTCCCTCGTTCATCTCCCCACCCATTTCCCCGGCCTCCTTGCAGCATCTTCAGCACGAGTCCCGATAACTTTTTACTGCCTTCTACTACCCTTTCTCTCCTTCGCCCTTAGTTTTCTCTGCCCCTTTCTGAGGATTTTTTCTTTGCTTTCTTGCCTCATTGTTATTGGAGTTTTTTCGTTCTTATACAGTCGAGCTTCTATAAGGGGTGTATCCCTAGTTTCAATGTAATATAGATTATACTATAAATGATCTTTTGAAGAGATTAGATTAGGTTAATATTATTTTAAAATGTTATGAAGATAATTTTATTATAATTATTGGTATTATTATTATTGTATCAAAAAAATCCTATTTTTTCGATACCCAAATTAATTTTTAAATAAATTTTTAAGATTAAATCTTTATTTTACTCTTAGTTTTTCGCAGTTTTTGGAATTCTACCTTGTCATAAACATATTAGTTTGAAGATTCCAGCAGAAAATATCAGAAACAAAATCAATAAATAAATTAAGGTTATTAAATTAACTTTTGGTGTTATTAAGCAACAGCGTCTTTGTGAATTCTATTAAATGGCAAACATCTAGATTTATTTTTCAATTCAAAAAATTTTCAAAAATCCATTATCATTTTAGAAAATTATTATACCGTCTTTTACCTTTTTTATTTCGTGAATCCTAGTTCTGGTTGAGGGAATTCACCTGTAGTTGCCGTGGCTTTTGTTATAGTTATTGCTGTGGCTGTTTTCGTTGTTCTCGCTACCTTAGCATCCTTGCCCTTGGCGCGCGCTTTTCTTCCTCTGCTAGGGTCCTTCCGCCCCCTCCCCCTCCTCCTTCTCCCATCCTTGTGTCGCTTTTTGTTCCTTTTCCTGTGTGCCTTGTGCCTTCCTTCCTGTTCGGCATGAACGTGCGTTGTTTCCTTCGCGTTCGGGCTTTTGGCATTGGCCTGTCCGTGTTTTGTGCGTGTTTGCCAGGGCTCAGACTCAGTTTTCCAGCATTTTGGGCTTTTTTCTGTGCTATTTGGCGTTTTCCTCGCTATTTGTTATTTTATACGCTTGGCTTCGAGCACTTTTCTTTTGTGTTCGTATGTATGTACATTTAATTCGCAATCAAATAACAATAAAAACTTCAGCGAGCTGGCTAAAAAAAATGATCGCTGACATAGTGGTATCCAGTGCATTAGACTTAAAGCCGTTTTCTGATGGATGGCTGGATTTGCCTGTGTATTGTGTCAGCCCCGGCGTATACGCAATGTGGTGGATCTGTTGACTTATCGGCCGGGAAACTTGTTGAGGGCTCAAGTGGTAAATTGATAATGTTACCGGAGGTCCCGTGAATTCTTTGAGCTGAAGTGCTGCACAAGAAAATCTGATATATTTTTTAAATGTTGAGTTTAGTTTATATTCAGGTCATATAAAGCTAATACTTTTTCTATACCTGTTTTAACAAAGATTCTGCATTTCAATAGCTAGCCTAGTAAAGGGGCAAAAGTTAAAGTCATTGTTCCTGTATTTATTAATTCAAACGTGCGGGATTAACTAGATGTGCGGCGACAGTAAATGCTATGAACTCTGACCTTTGAAAGGAGCAAACTGAAGGTGTTATGGGAGAGGGGGCCGAGAAAAGCTAGCCACGACTACAGCAATAAGCTGTTAAACTGCCTGTGCATGTCAGCAAGAGCTTTCCCAACCCGACACTTCCCGCTCCATTCACTCACTATCTCTTCGCCGCAGATGTTGTTGCATTTCCCTGACAATGCAACTGCCAATATCCATGGACGTTGATGTAAGTAGTGATACGGATGTGCATGTGAAGGGCCGACTGTCTTAATTGTTTGCGGCTTACATTGGCGTTTGTGTCCATTTAAGCGAAGGGCTCCTTCAAGGAAATAGTGCTCTTATGCAACACATGAGAATCAAATCAGACTACGTAAACTCATTGAGAAAATAACAGAGATTGGGATATTACTTTGTAAAATTAAAGATATGCAATTTCAGAAGTAAACGTAAAAAAATTAAAAATAGTATTGTATTTTTTAATGATTGACTTACATTTGAATTCATGTTGCTGTTTTTAAAAATAAATAAATATTTTTGTTACAAAAGTTCACAACACGATTTTAAATATTATCCAAAAATAACATAAATTGTACTATTTTTTTTGTGAGTGTGGTCCATAAGAGTGCAGTTGAATTCCTAATATCTGCTCGCTTGCAGTTGAATCGATGTCGTCAAAAAACTCTGCCCTAGATAAGCATCCATGTTAGCATTCCGCCAATTCCTGCAACTGCTGCATGATCAAACCCTGCAGCATTTCCCTGGCCAAAATGCATCCGTGGCAGGGGCAATCACGCGAATTGGGAATGTGCTCTGTCCGCAGGTTCGTCATTTGCAGGCGCCGTTGCGCCTCCCTCCTTGAGCGCCTCTTTAGGGTCCTGAATTTGCAGTACACACAGCTGTAGATGGTGATCCCTAATTTTTGTTTAGAGGAAAGGCGTATAAGATCGATAATTTCTAGAAAGTGTCCTAATTTCTATTCGTATTTATATAAGTATTTTCTTTTTTAGCACAAGTTTCAGACCAATTTTCAGTCTGAATTTGATGAAATTCGAAAAGATTAATCAAAACTAAGTTGACTTACCGACTCCCACTACGGCAATGTGTAGCAGGAGAACCATGAAGACAAAGCGAGCATAGTGCCTATGTGGCCCAATATTTTTACTTGAAGTTTCAATTTGTCCATTGTTGGTCGTATTGGCAAAGGACTGGCCAACAGTAGAGGAATCTACCAGCGTATCCAAATATAATTCAGTGGAATTCTGTCCATTAGTGTTTTCGCTATCGTTCCAGAGCTGCGTTTCATTGGGCCAGTAAAAATCTTTCCGGAATGCATAGAAAAACGAATAGAACAACAATAATCATATGGCAATGTGCACTTACCCGTAAAGTTTTCATCGGCTTTGACCAAAGGGTCAAGGGCTATCGTGACCAGCAGCAACCTGGTCATGCTTATAGTGCCAATGTGTAATAGGATAACCATACAGACAATGCGACCATATTGCCTTAGATCTTTACTAGGAAATTCCAATTGTTCATTGTTCCCAAGATTAGCATACAAGTACAGATCCCTGAAATTCTCGAGAGTATTGTTTTTGTCATTATTCCCGCGCATTTGCAGCAGCTGCGTTTCATCGAGCCAATCCAAACCTTTCCGGGAATGCATAGAAATACCAATTTAAAAAAAATTATCAAACGACCCACAGGAGCATTTCAATTTACACCTACCCGTACAGTTTTCATCAGCTTTAACCAGGTGAGCAAAGGTTATCGAGGTGACCAGTAGCAACATCCACCTGGTCATGTTTACCGGGCCGGTCAGTCTCATGGTTTTCCGCCAATTGTTTCAATGCAACTGAACAAACTTAGAACGTTCCAGCACAACTGGGACATATAAACAGAACAGCTGTTTGTGGGCTAGAATAAAGTCGGTTGATCTTGTATTGAATATAAATACCTCTGGTTAAAATACCAGTTACGTTATTTCCATAATCATTTGCTATTCTTTTTCGAACAAAGATCTTAAGAATAATTCAGTTTTATTACAATTAATAATAATAAAAAAGTATTAACTTACATTTTACCATCTAAAGTATTTAACTAAAATGTCTCTTACAATAAAGGCAGTAAAGTGTGTCTTTCTACGATCTAGTTGATTGTTATACGATTTCTATGCACATTGTGCGATGACCCCACAGTTTTCGGAACACAGTGAATTCCTGGCGATGCGACAGTTGTGACAGAGACAGTTGACCTTAAATTTTTCAAAATTTCCTTAAAAAAACAAAAACCCATAAAAAAATTTAAAAAAATTTTTTAATTTTTTAAAAAAAAAAAAATTTTTTTAAAAAAAATAAAAAAAAAAAAAAAAAAAAAATTTTAAAAAAAAATTTAAAAAAAAATTTGGAAAAAAAACCCCCAAACCCCCCCCCCCCCCCCCCCCCCCCATTTAAAAAATTAAAAAAAAATGGTCGTGTGCAGGAAGGTCATCTCGAGGACGCGGGCCGTCTCCTGAGGCAAAGTGGGCCACACGATGCTCTGGGTTCGCGGAGCGTAGACATCGAGGCTATCAGCTGTCAATTCCACAGCCTTTGAGATCCGGCAAAAGCAACAGATACATCCTGACAACCAAAAGATACCGGAGATATCCGCTGTGTGAGTTGATCAGAACGATGGTTAACTTGAAGACTCACCCAGGAAGCCCAAAACAATCAGGACGACAATACACAGAAGAGTCATTAGAAGGATTCTTATCTGAGCGTCAGCAAACATGGAATCCTGACTTTTATTTAACATCTCATTGCAATCATATTGGTCCAATAAAATGAAAAGTGCCACAATGACAGAAATGCATCGAGTGCCCCACGCAAAAGACATTTTGTTAATGGTTTCTTCCGCTTTCCAGCAAGCAATAAACAACTCGAAAGTGGGAAAACAAACGAAGGGAAAACAGCTGCAAGCAGATGGCGACATCGCCGTGGAACAATAACAAATGAAAATTTTGCAAGTGCTAATCGGTATAAAGCTTATTTTACCCATTCCCCCGCCACTCTCTTTACATCCACGGAAAATGGAAATATTACATCACTTATTTGGGATTCAGAACATGCTCGGATCCAAAAGGGGGCTCCCCCACTCGGATTAAAAATTAAATGAATTTTGGAATTCAAAATAGATTCTGATATCGGATATGATATGATATCATATCATATTATATCGAGAATACCATTTTCGAATACATGATTCCATGGCACCCTTGAACATTTTCGGAAAAAAAAACACTCGAGGATTGCCAATATGTCCTCACTTAATACACGAGCACGTACCCTTCATGGTTGCCCACCGCCCACTTTGCCTCCTCGGCAATATTCCACCCACTTGTCTGAAAGCATTAAATCTGTGTACTTTGCCTGGGTGTGCATTTGTCATAAACCAAATAAAAAGTAACCCATTTGCCCTGAGAAATTACATTTAAATTGCAAATTTAAAGTAAAAACAAAACAAGGCATACGGCATACACAACACACTCGGCACTCGGCTGCACTCAAAACCATGAAAATGTATGCAAAGGTGGTGCAGGTGCAAAAGGAAAAACGGAAAATTCTGCGAAAACTGGGTAACAAGAAAAAATCATTTGCAGACATAATTCACTTAACAGCCAGATGTCTCTCTCCGTCCTTGTTTATTCATATTTCACACGCCTCACTCTCATGCATTAATTTTTCCACTCAGCTATTCGAAATTCAAAACTGAATGGCAAACGACGTCCTTAAGGCAACTAAAAACGCAAACGCTTTTAGTTGGCGTATTTTTCAATCGATAAAGAGGGCAATTTAATTTAAAAATAGCCTAATAGAGAAATTGTGTACCCTTAATTATTAAAGTCGTGACTAGTGGCTGTTATAGTACTACACCCAAAAAAATGTAAAGTGTTTGTCTAAGGGTTTGTTAAAAATATACTAGATGTAGTAAAAAAGTGACATTAAACTACTATATAATAGTATACATTTTATCCTCAGTATTATTTATTTTATATTAAGTATTCAATAGAGCAAAATTAATATTTTGTTTCAAAGATTTTTTTTTTGGTGTTGTATTATATGGTAATTTCGTTTGACATCATATAACCCGGCCTGTTATCCACTTAAAATATTTAAAAATTCAGTTCAATTAGTGTCTGGAAAAACTGCACTACTTTTAGAGTCCACGTATTTGATTTCCCTAAGCTCTGAGTACTAGCCGTCTATCGAAGAAAGTGTGGCCCCAAGCAATACAAATTTACTCTGCCATTTTCAACAATTTAATCAACAAAATGATTTGCAATTTGAAATTCATAAAAAAAAGAGGAGAATCACTTGAAATGCCACTTTACGCGCATTTTGATTGTGATTTAGCGCTGAATTTGCGATTACCAGGACGATGACAGCGAAGGACGCCAGACGATGACGAAGTAGATGAATATTTAATGCGGGGTACAGGACCCCAAGGGAGGCAAGCCGAAGGACCCACAGCTGAGCTGAGCTGAGGTGAGTCGAGGAGCAGGAGAAAATCTGTTTTCCACAAGCATTTTCCGAGGGAAGCATTGGAATGGAGGCAACTTCGTTGCATCCAGATAAATTTGTATGCGTGTGCATTGGCCTCTGCCGATGGTCACATATATGTATGTATGTAGCTATAGCTGTAGCTACAGCTCCCGCAAAACTGAATAATCGATATTGCACTTGAAATAGCACCAATAATTCATTGAACAGCGACAACGACCGACTACGGACAAAGGGGCCAGCAGCATCTGCTCTTTTTGTTCCTTCCGATGGTTTCATTTGCATCCACTTTTCCAAGAGGCAACACTTGTTACTGCATAATTATTCAAGGCTTTCATGTCCATCGCTCAGACATTCATCATCCCAATTCGGTTGTACGAATGCCCAAAGCAGTTATGCAACCGAATTTTAACTATTTGAAACCCAAAAAAATGGACAAAGTGTTAGGTCATCAATCTATGTAGATTATTAGTTTTCCATGACGATGTGCTCAAATATAACCACTTTACAAAGAAAAATAAATATATTTTAGCCAATTAAAGTTGTTAAAAAATTGGTTAATCGTTTATTATTTAAAAACATTAGATTTAAGGTCTTTTTTGGTATTTTAACACCCAATTTTTTTTACAAGCGCTTGTTGTGCTGACTTTGTATTGTACATTTAAGTACAATATTTTTCCCGCAGTGCTTGCTGGGCCTATCCTGGGGCCCACCCATTCTCGTAAACCTAATCCACCCACTTTCACCCGAGGGGCGAAGGTCGCCACTCGCTTTGTTTGCCGCTTGTGGGCAGCCTTCGTGGGTTCAAGTTCAAGTGCCCTGAGCTTGCCCCTTCGTAATTGCCGTGACTTGTGCAACAACAGAAAATACAGATGGGGCGGCAATGATGATTACCATGATGACTATGACGAAGGTCCCTTGTCTCGCCTTGGGGTCCCGGCTCAGGAAAATTTAACTTTCGCATAAAAATGTCAAAAAAGGGAAAATTATGAAATGCAGATTCCCAAGGTCGTTAAATGCAACTCACCCACCGCCGCCCCTTCGCTCTCATCAGGCGTAAACAAGCGAGCGACGGCAGAAGCTCGAAAACATTTTCACACTCGAATTCACCAAACATAAACAAGAGAAATAACAAGTGGGAAAGAGGGGTAGTTGGAGGGATTAGGGGTGGAATGTAGGAAAAGAGTTTAACTCTCATTTTATTAGAATTTTTTTTTGATACTACACGTGGCCAAACCGTTTATGTATAAATTAATAAATTTATTAAAGGGCGTTTCTGTGTTTGCTTAAAAATCAGCTTTGCATAGCCGACATAGAAAAGATGTCAAAGATTGCTTAAAAGAAAAAAAAAAACACGGGGTCATCAATAATAACTGCTCGGTATTTTTAAAAATAGTTCATAATATTTCAGGAATTATCAACCTAAATGACAAATAAATATTCATTTGGTACTTGCCATATTAACATTGAAAATATTTTTGCAAATAAAACAAAAAGCTCAAAAAAATAACTATTTGTTATAAATAAATATCACCTCTAATATTTGTGAGTGTTTATTCATTTCGTTCAATTAAAAGTTTAGTTAAATGTAATCAACTGTGAACTCAAACATCAGCACAATCTATTGACCAAGCATTCGCCTTTCAATTTCGCAAATAACTCCACTCAAAAAGCACTAAACTAGGGGTGTTTCTCCTATCAAGTCACATACGTACGTAAATTTGAACAGTAAGTTGGTCAAAGTTTGCTTTTCAGTTGGGAAACTACACCAGCACCCAACCCATATATTTACCGAACCGAAATTCCAACTGTTTGTGCAGTTCTCTCGTACACCGATAAAAATTATAATAAAAATTCCGGGCGAATTCCTTGGACATATTTGCAACTATAACAAAATAAGTCTTCTAGAATATAAAATTTTAATTAAGAAGTAATTTTGGTCCCTACGTTGATTTCTCTCTTACCTAATTTTAACGAAAAAAAAACCAAACTTCCAATTAAATTTCTAATTACTCAATGTTAAAATTATTAAATTTATTATTATTATATTAATTTTATTTTTTTGGCTGCATACTCACGTGTTTCGAATTGTCGGACTGCTTGAATATCGGCCGTTTTAAATATAGTAAAGATTTTCTCTGGGCGCCAAAACGCTTTCGTTTTCACCTGACCGAAGCGACGGTAAAGTTTCCTAGCACTTTTCACGCCTTTTCAATGGAAACTTTAGTGCTTCCGCCTGCCACCTCTCGCTTTTCATTGTCAGCCGGTTGTGTTTCGCCAATATTCCAAAAAGTTCGCACAAAGCTAAATGTTTATTTGTACTGCAGTTAGTTCTCCGCCTGTTTGTTTGTTTGCCTTTCTGTTTTGTTCGGTTTTTTTTCTGTTTGTCGCCGCTGAATCGCATTCTTCGGCCAGGAGGAATCATTTGGAACTATTTACTAAGCAAATGCCACGGGCATTGCGGATGCGAATGGGTTGAAATAGTTGCAGGCGGAATGCTGGACCGCAGAAAAGGGAGAATGAAAAATTCAGGGCAGGAGCAGAGCAACCTTGTTTGAAAATGGCAATGGGAATTGGGTATTGTGGTTTTCCCCCCTCTTTCCTTGTGGCGTTCACCACTTGGAGATTAAATTCCCTCGTCTTTTCCACGATTTAAACCATTTTCACAGGTTCACTGAGATATGAGATCTGAGATCATCGTTGGCACTTTAACAGCATCATTGGCACACTCACTTGGTTAAATACACATTTGACTGCCTAATTACGAGGCTGTCAACAAATTGCCATGAAAAAAACAACGCCATCTCGGCCAAGAAAATGTCACAAAAAACGTGACCAGGCAAAAAAACACTCAAGCAGTGGGGAAAAGCAGGAAAATCCTCTCACATCTCATCACATATCCCATCACACGATGTTATGGCCACTACAGAAAGTGTGGCAGTTGGACTATATAGTATACACATGTATAGGGTGGGGTGGCTGTAAGTGTGGGTGAGTGTGAACAAATGTGAGTGCGCCCAGCATCAAGTGCCATTGACGGCGCGTCATTTTCTTGAGTACTCATTTATCCTCGGCGCAAAAGTTGGCACCGTCTAAAAAAAACCAGTACTGTCTATGTATTTAATTAAAGAAGCGGAAATTAGAAAGGGTGCCTGCAGGTACTTAATCCATTGCACTTGGCTCAAGTTTAAATTAGCTGGCTTAAGTCGATAAAAAGCATTATTATTTTTCTTGGTAACTTTTTTCTGGTTTAACTTAAAGTCTTTACTTGAATCAACTAAATTTTATGAATTATAGTTCAACTAATGAAGTAATTTAAGTTTAGATTAATAGATTTAAAGATATATTTAATAAAATTGTCAATAATATTTATCTTTTATTTCACTCCACCTTAAAAAAAACATTTTTCACAATTTACCTAATTAGAGAATGCTAATTAAGTTTGAAATGTAATATATATTTTACACGTAATTTCCTGTTTCAATAAAAAATACAAATATTCACACCCATAAGTTAATTAAGTAATTTTCCATACATTTTTTCAGACCAAAACTTTTAAAGCTGCAATTGTTTCTGTATCAATTTCTTAATTGGAATATTTAGTAAACCTGTTAGCGTGTGGGAATCATACATACTAAAGTATGTTATAAAATAAAATGCAAAAACCCCTCCACTTTATTTTATTTAAGCCAGCGGAGAGAAAATGAGAAAAGGCAAATGCAATATATGCAACAAACTAAATCTGTAATCGACATCAAAAAAAGCTTTAAACAAAATCGATAAAAAGTGCAAATATTGCCGGTAGAAAAACTGCAAAAGCGTTGACCAAAAAAAACACAAAAAGTACCTATAGGACCCTGAGCCTCATGTAAACGTAAATAGAAATTGCAAATATTACTGAATGGAGTGGCCTTGAAAACTAATAAAAAATCGCTAGAATATATAAAATTCAACATGTATCCTATTTTCCGGGAGAAATTAAGTGAAGCCATTGGATTTGTGGCTCATATAAACCTATTCCAACTAATTAGCCCATTAGTCGGGAATTTATGTGAGCATTTCCAATTTATTCTTGCTTTTAAATATGCATTTAAAGTTATTTTCACACATTTGCTGGAATGCCTATTTAATATAAATGCAGATTTTGTCACTTGACCTTTCCTTATTGTTTCCATTTAGCCGGCATCGAGGTCAATATAATCCATCAGTATGCTACATAGCATTAATTAAAAGCTCTTGGCCAGCTGTGAAAATTGGCAGTTGGCCAAATGGTTGTCACCTGTAAGAACTATCTTATAAATTTGAATATTTGCATTTTCCACAGAACTGCCACCAAAATGGGCCAGAGCAGTAAATCTGGAGCTGGCGGTGGAGGTGGAGGAGGAGGCGTCGTCTGTCCCTCGACGGCAATCACTGGCTGTGCCTCCGGAACCGCACTAATTCAACTGGATGCATCGGGACAAGGAGCCGGCGGTGCTGGAGAATCGGAGCATGAACGTGGCACCTGGACGGGTCGCTTCGACTTCCTACTATCTCTTCTGGGATATTCAGTGGGCCTGGGAAATGTGTGGCGCTTTCCCTACCTGTGCTACAACAACGGAGGAGGTTGGTAGCCTGACAGTTAATAAAATAATATTTATCTAGAGTGAAAAATATGCTATTTAAAATATCACAATACTTAAAATTTATCTTAGTAAGCATATTTCATGTTTTAAAATAATTGCTGCATATTTTTAGGCATCTTTATAAGTGATTTTAAAAATCAAATATAATATGATCCTAAGAAATATCGTTTATTTTATTTTTCCTACACTAATTTATATTTTTATGCAAATACAAACCCTTTCAGGAGCCTTTCTCATCCCCTTCACCATAATGCTGGTGATTGCCGGACTTCCGCTTATGTTTATGGAACTTTCCTTCGGCCAATATGCTGCCCTGGGTCCCGTGGCCGTTTATCGCCGGTTCTGCCCGCTCTTCAGAGGACTGGGAACCGGCATGATCCTGGTATCCGCCATAGTGATGCTCTACTACAACCTGATCATCGCCTGGACCATCTTCTACATGTTCGCCTCGTTTGCCCCGGTGCTTCCGTGGCAGAATTGCGAACCCGCTTGGAGCACAAAGTGTGAGTCTATCCCCCGGGGACACAAATATGTATATAATATGATGGCTCCAATTAATTAATAGGCCAAAACACTCAGGGCAAAAAAATACCTACAGTTGGGGACAGTGGATGCCAGATTCTTATCTTTTGTTACGTTTTTCGGGTAATAAATTAAGCAAATTGCAAGCTGTCAAAAGTGGAATTTTATTTTGCTCTTTTTTTCTCCCTGCTTTGTTTTTGTTTTTGTCCATCGGCGGCACGTGGCTCGGTTGGGAAAACACATGGCTAAGAAAATGGCAAGATAGTGGGCGGGGAAAATGGTTGTGTAACCAGCAGACCCTGGAGACAATTGATTCAGGGACCAAAGCAAAGATAAACACACAGCTTTCCAGGGAAAGTTACAGGGAAACTTGCAAATCATTGCAAACAAATTTAAATAAAAAACTCTACATGTTCGCTTCTGAAATATCCGAATAGTTAAAGTTAACCTAATTCCAGGGGGATCAAAAGTACATCATTCATTTGGCCCTGAGGCACATCAAAATTCACATTCTCTGCCAACCTTCACGCACACGCAAACAATAAAAAGTATGAACAAACTTTCGCTGAGAATTATAATAATAAACAAGATGGAGGAGCGGAACAATAACGCATGGAGGAATCCTAGGCGCCTTGAAGTAGGCAATTGTTTTTGTGCCTCGTTTGACATTGTAAGGTGAGAGCTCCTGTGCGTTTGTGTGTTCTCATAAGGACTCGCCTATGAGTGCCCGGGAAGGCGTTTCCTCTGCTGCTTTTGACTTCCTTGTCCGGAAACAGACACACAGACACTTTAAAACGTTCCGCCACGCGAAACACATAAATCTTTAACGAGCATTGAACGCCGACTCTTGCGGATTCTGGCAATAGACGACGGGTGGATTTTCATTCTTGGCCGGATAAGCGTGGAAAAGTTTTCATGTAGGTCAGAAATGATGGCAGCCATTTATTTTACACATTTTTGGGCGGCATTCAGCATAAATTAAATTTCTTAGGGCCGTTTTTAACTTCTGCATGTTAAATTTAAAAATCGCTTTAAGCTCTGTATTTCACTACCCTTTCAAAGTTCAAAGCCTATATTAAATTTAATATACGACCGAGAAAAAGTCACTTAAATGGTCAAGTGTTGGAACTAATATTAAACCGAATACACAAATATTCTTAGTTATCTTAGAATGATTATCTTAAGGAGGTATATTTTTTGAAAATATTTTTAGGGAATTTAAAAACTAGCGCCTATCTTTAAAACTGCGGAATACAACTTCTTACTTATTCTTTGATCGGCTTTTTATTACTTACATATATTTTCTTAGCTTACTTTATGGCTGGCAACTTAACAGCACTGTCAGGACATCAACACATGCAATATACTATGCCCACTCACGCACACACATTCTCAAGTGACTGGGTGTGTATTAGATGGAACAAGGACCATCGTGTAATGCCATTGAAAGTTTTGCATGAGATAAAGAAGCGAAACCCCCCACGATATCATATTCAGAGTTTCGCATGAATCCTAAGTCATTCATATTCTACTATTTTAAATTTCCCTGAGATTTTATTTCAATATGATTTTAGTAAGTAAGCTTTTACAACGCCTCCCTTTCTGCCCCCATATTACATACCCATGATTTCATGCGAGAGGAAGGCAAGGTAAGCCACCGTCTTCGCCAGGGACTTGGAAATTAAATCAGACTTAGGCAGAGGTCGCAGGTTGGATGCCATTTCCGCTATTTTTGTGGGAGCCCTGAAATCGATAATGGATGCTATTGAGAAAATTGTGAAGCCCCCGTCGCGTCTGTTTCTCAAATTTCACCTTCTGGGTAGCAAACACGGCAGCTTGGAATTGTTAAAATGACAAACAATTATGTCTTAACTGTTTTTGACACTCAATCGTTGGCTGTGGGACATTCAACCTTGGGCCAGGCTTTTCCCTAAGCTCTCGGGATACAAAGCGAGGGAAAGTTGAGTACGGTTGGGGAAAATATTATGTATATAGTATTAGAGGAAGAGAGAGTGAAAGAGACGGCGAGAGGCAGACAAGCAATTTCTTAAGGATTTTATTTATTGACACTTTTCGATTCGCCTTTCGAAGCTGGCAGCATCCTGACCTCGTTGGCCGCCTTTGTCCTCGTCTGTTTCAGATGACAAATGTTTACTTTTAGTGTCACGATTAAAATGTGTTTAACTCTGTTTGTCCATGGATATGGATTGAATGTCGCACTTTGTTTGGCTTTTCACTTACTCGTGTGTTTATATTTTTTCAGTAAATATTTGTCCAGACATTTATGGTGGCTAATAACGTAGATGAGCTTTCTTTCACGATAATTGTCCGAGGATAAGTATTTTAATTACTGAAGTTCTCGAGTTCCATCAAAAGTAGCCCTCAAACTTAAAGGTCACAAAATTTAAGGCCACTCAAATTGGATAAGAAAGTCGGGGCGTGTGTATCCTTTTCCAACCAGGATACACAACACACACTCCCTCTCACTCGCCAGGATTTACTTTGAATGTGTAGACCGCCCGAATTTGTTAGGCAGTCCTCGTTTCTTTTTCAAATAAAACTCATTTCATACGATTCACATACGCACTGTGTGTGCGTTTGTGTAATCAAATTAATTGCAATACAAACAGAGGCAGACAGGCAAATTAAACGGCGTGTAAACACTTTGAAGTTTTTTTGCAAAACCATCAACCGACCGGCAGCCACACGAAATTGTTCTCAAATTTATTTGCCCGTCGAAAAATGAAGCTGATGAATTGCTCTGATAAATGCGTGTGGTGCTGCTCGAAATTTAACCTTAATTCTGGCAGAGAGTTTCATCTATAATTACGGTGATTTTATTCGGATTTCACTTGGGGTGAGTTAAACTGATAAACAAGCGTTGATTGGGGTAGGAAAATGTTTTTAAAGCCCATTGAATTCTAGCATAATTGAGTGCTGCCAATGGCAAAGTCCTTTTTTCACTTACCCATCCTCATGCAAGCTCAACTCAACTGTCAGTTAGTCATTTTGCGGTTATTTGGGTGAAAAACGTTGGCGGTGACACAGTCTCCCAGCCACTCACTAACTTTTTTCCTGACTCCCAGCACACATAAGTCAAATGTCATAGACAGATCTGCAAATTTCGACGGAAATTGCGGAACTGGCTCTGACCTTGATGGCAAATTCAGGTAAACACAGTTTTGGTTGGCTACAAGGAACGGTTGTTGTCGATTTCCCAGGAAAACATAAGGTCCAGTTGGGGTCTCATTAAGGGAGGAGTACATCGAAATGTGCTTTATAAACGAACAAATTAAGGTAACCACAGTTTATCGCTGACTTCTAGGAAAACATAAGGTCTTAGTTAAAGTTGAGGTCTCATTAGGGAAGAGCACATAGAAATTTACTTTATAAACGGACCAATTCAGGTAACCACAGTTTGTCGCGAGGAGCGATTATTGCAAGTTTCCAGGAAAACACACTTAGTTAAAGCTGGGGTCTCATTAGGGCAGAGCAAACCGAATTGCTCTTGAAATGTACTTTATAAGCGTAAAAGAATATCCCTACTAAAAGAGAAACCCAAGACAGATTGCTCTGGTATTGACCTTTCACCCACCTTCCCCGTCAACTCAGCAAAAGTTACAAGTTTCGAGAACCTTTTATGCAACCCTTTTGGCCAATGGACTTTCGCAGACCCCTTTTTATGTTTGCCAGAGCCGCCCCTTTTGTGCTCTCCTCCTGATTTGCTACTTTGTCCTTTTAATTATGTTGCCGGATGCGGAGAAAATAAAGTTACACAGCCCGACCGACAAATAGTTCATAAATATTAAAATGCTCTTTGGCCTTTTATGCATAATTGAGCGGAAGTGGGGGTAGCAGTCTAGATCCAACTTGCTGACAGCCAAAGTCTCTCTTCCAGATTGCTTCTCGTACGCCCAGGCGGATCAGTGCGAGGCCACCAATGGCACCTACTACCTTCGCACCTGCCACAATGCCACCTCCGCGGCGGAGAACAACATCACGGCATTGGCCCTCGTCGCCCTGAAGCGGCCACCCGCCGAGGAGTACTTCAAGTGGGTATCTATTTTGGAGCATATATGTATCTTAATTTTATTATTATTATTACTCTGCACTTTTCGATTTGTTCTATAAAAACTGGTTAGGAATCTAGAATTGGATTGGATTAGGATTGAATAATCCATAAAATTGTAATTTTTTAACCTTTGGGAGTTATATTATATTTTGATAACAAACAAAAGGATTTGGAACTTTCTTGGTCGATTATCAAAATATCATGGTACCAAAAACTCAATAAAAGAACAAAATAGTGATATACTTATTATGGTTTAATCAAAAATTCTTTGCGAAAACATGAAATTAAAATAAAAACTTAATCATAGTAAACAAGCAGAGATAATAGTAGTAACTATTGATGGACTTTTTATAAATGTCTGAAATATTAACAAATACTATCTGAACAATGTAATTTGTTTAAGCTCTAAATACAACGACTTTATTTTCTTTAAAATGTTCACCTTTATATTGTAAGGCCTTACTTATTTTAAAGTCTGTTCAAGTTTAAACTCTGGTATTTAGTTTTTTTATCCATATGCACTGCCTCTGCTCTTGTAAGCCTCATTTTCGATTTGAACTTTGGTTTTGCAGCAACTTTGTGCTCGGACTGTCCAAGGGCATCGAGGAGACGGGCAGCATTAAGCTGTCACTGGCTGCCTGCCTTTTCCTGGCCTGGGCGATTGTGTTCCTCTGCCTGTGCAAGGGAGTCCAGTCCTCCGGCAAGGTGGTCTACTTCACGGCCCTCTTTCCCTACGTCGTCCTGGTAATACTCTTTGTGCGAGGTGTCACACTGCCGGGTGCCAGCACGGGAATTCTCTTCTATCTGACGCCCGATTGGAAGCAGCTGGCCAATGCCCAGGTAGGTGTTGCCTCCTGAACTTTTGCCCATAGAACATGGCCTTAATTTCTTGTCTTCCAGGTTTGGGGCGATGCTGCGGTGCAGATATTCTTTGCACTGAGCCCGGCCTGGGGAGGTTTAATCACGCTCTCGTCCTACAACAAATTCTCCAACAATTGCTACAAGTAAGTGAAGTAGATTATTCAGGTGGGTTTCTGAAAGTGATGAAAATAGGATTTTTAGCTTGCAAAACTCAGACAATAGAATTTGAAATCAGCTTACAAGTGTTTAGAAGTCTTTAGTAATTAATAAATCTTTTGAAAGCCAGTAAAACAAGAGACTTACTTGCCAAAATCTTCTTAAAGGGACTCTCTCATCGTGGCCTTCTGCAACATAGCCACCTCGTTCTTCGCCGGCCTGGTGATCTTCTCCATCATTGGCTTCCTGGCCCACGAACTGAACGTCGATGTGGAGAAGGTAGTGGACCAGGGCGCCGGTCTGGCCTTTATTGTCTATCCGGAGGTGGTCACCCGACTGCCCGTCTCGCCCGTGTGGGCCGTTCTGTTCTTCGTGATGCTCCTGACCTTAGGACTGGACTCGCAGTTTGCCCTGATGGAGACGGTGACCACGGCCATTTTGGACCGGTTCCCCAACCTGAGGCAGTACAAGATCTGGGTGGTCCTCTCGGTAGCCATTTTCGGCTACATCGGCGGCCTGGGCTTCACCACTAATGTGGGTATTTCTGAGATCTAATCTGGCTAAGGCACTAAATATTATCCCTTATCCCTTAGGCCGGCATGTACTGGTTGCAACTGATGGACAAATATGCCGCCAATTGGTCGGTTCTGCTGATCGCCATCTCAGAGTGCATTCTAATTGCCTGGATTTATGGATCTCAGCGGTTCCTGAATGACATTCAGGGCATGATTGGCAAGCGGTCGTGGTTCTGGAACTTTTTCTGGAGCATCATGTGGCGCTATATCACCCCAGCCACCCTCCTGGTGAGTTTTCATTCTAATTTATGGGTTTTATATAGCTTTTATTAACTGTATTTAATATTTTTCAGTTCATTCTGTTCTTCAACTGGGTGGAATACAAGCCGGCCAAGTACGGCCACTATGTCTATCCCATGTGGGCGGATGCCGTGGGCTGGATCGTGGGTCTGCTGCCCGTGCTGGTAATATTTTTGGTGGCCTTCCAGGAGATCTGGCGGGCGCCTAAGAACCTCAGCTTCCGGGAGCGCATCAAGCACCTGCTGCAGCCCACCGCCGAGTGGGGACCGGCTGGAAGACCCTGCGTCAATCTGCATGCCGAGCGTTACCAGAGCCAGAATTACGATGGGGTGACCAACACCAAGATCCTCATCGAGGCCGATGCCTCACCGAAGCACAAGAAGGACAAACAATTGACCCTGGACGTGGATGTGGATGTCGAGTGCCTGCCACTGGCAACTGTGGGCAAGCCAAGACCGATTAATGCCAAAACAATGGGCAAACAGGGCAGCAGCAGCAATCTGCAGACAAGTGCCAAGAACGGTGGCACTCACAAGTCGCCAACAACCGAAATTAGTCCCAGCAAGCAGCCGCTTATTCCGGCTGAAAAGGATAACAAATCGGCCACCACAAAAGTCCTGGCTGCAGGAACCCAGAACAGCGGACGTGAGTGCACCACAATGTCCACCTTTGCGGGCGGCGGGGAAAAGAATCCGATGAAGGTCAATTCGGCGATAGTAGCAACAACTATTGCAGGTACGCCGGCAACTAGCAACACGACTGTTGTCATCAAATCATCGTCACCAGTCAGTGTGGCACCAACAACTTTAGGAGCAACAGTTTCTGCTGCTGCGACGAATGGAAAAACAACAATAGCTGCTGTCAAGACTCCACTTAATACGACAATATCATCAAGTACTGTTGCTGCCATCAAAACAACGCCACCAGCTAATGTTGCACTTACAACAGCAACAGTTGCTGGTTTAAAAACCACTCCAGGAGCTCCAGCTAAAGTTTCGCAAATGGATAAATCAGTTCCACTCAAAACGACAATATCAACAAGTGTTGCTGCAGCCTCAAATGTTACCGCTCCCCTTAAGGCTCCACTCAAAACGACAATATCATCAGCTGTTGGTGTGGCAGCTGCAACCAAAGACGCGACAACCGCAAATATTGCTCCCGTAAAAATAACACAAGCAGTAAAAATCACACCAGTTGCTGCTGCCCAGCCAGCCAAGTCTACAACGGCATCGGTGACGAAGGCAAATATTGACTCTGGCAGCAAGCCAACGGCTCCTTTATCCACTTTTAAGTCGGATGGCAAACAACCAGCAACCGCCACTGGGACAACAGCAACAGTTAGTGTTGCTGTGACAAACGGCAAAGTCACACCGAGTGCAGGAGGCTCGACAGCAGCAATAAATATCACAGCAATTGGACAGCCAGCAGTTAACCAAAAGCAGGCAGCAGCAGCAGCATCAAAGACGCAGGCGGCCACTGCAACATCTGCTAAAACTGCCTCGAACACAAAGCCAATCGAACACACCACTTCGACCAGTGGCAAGGTAGCAACATCGGCAGATAATCCATCGACCGCAAAGGGCGCGGCCAGCAGCACCATGTCAGCAAAGTCGGCGAAAGGTGGCAAAACAAAACCAAGCGATACCAGCCCTACAAAGTCAACAGTGAAAGCCATTAAGCCAGGCTCAACCAGCCCCACTAAGGCTGCAACATCTACAAAACCAGGAGCGACTGCAACAGCAACAGGAAGCAGCAGCAGCAAGAAGGCAGCAACATCGGGCAGCCAGGCCAAAACGAAAGGCAATGCATCAGCAACAGCAACTAAGAAGTAATAAGACCTAGGATCCCACCCCATGTAGGATCTATTTAGGTCAAAGGAGAAAGGGTCAACGCGTTGTTCCCAATATCGAAAACTATTTTTATAAGTATATGTATGTGTATCTAACGAGCTAAGCCACCCACTTAAACTGTAAATGTAAGGGGTTTAATTAGGCAATTATGTTAACGGACACAAGCTAAAATCAAATATTTTATAGATACCTAATTTGGATTGTCAGGGCGCGAGAGAGAGATGGGAGATCGAACCTTCATGTTTCCTATGCGAAAGTACCTATTTATCAGTCATCACTGTGGGATAGCTGTTCCTTAGTACCTTATTTCAAATGATGGCGGAAAGACTCGATTGTAATTACCGAACAAGTTAACGTAGGATTTAGGACAGGATTCCTGGTGTTTGTTTAGTTTTATGTGTATATCCCCTTGGAGGCCCATTCGATTTGGCGCCAAGTAATTCGAGAGCAATGTTGAAAGTGCAATGGAAAACGTTGAGTTTTAAAAATATATAAATTTATATACAAATATACAAAGGTTACAACTAATCAATTTATACAAATGACAGATCATTTGATTGGTTTTTTTACTGCAAATATTCTTAAGACTACTTTGGAGGGCAAGAACACCGGAGAGCGGAGGTATTTTTCCGTTTTATAAGTGCGTACATTTGTTTATAGAGCCAGTATACATCACCCGGAAAACGCAAACCCCAATCTGTAAATGTAAAATGTATCTATGTGCTCACCGTACTCTATGTTTTCTGTGCTAACGAGAGACTCATGTACCTAAATGTTAATCAAGTTGCATCAAATCCCTATTTGTGTGCATTTGTATAGTTAAGGCAACGTATTTAGATGTGTTTTATGTATGTGGAGTAGATTGAAACTAAGCCAAATAAGGAGAAAAAATGCTCACAAGAAAACCAGAAAAAAACAATAATTACAAGTACATTTCTAGAATTTATATAACCATTGTTGTGTATTCATGTTGAAAATAAATTATATAAATATATTAAAATATACAAGAATAGAAACAAATATAATATTCGTAAATATTTATATGTGTTTGTACCTGTAGTTAGTTGGGATAATTAAAGACATCACTTATTCAGAAGCGATTTAATCTGAAGAAAATGCGTTACTAGTTTTGCTTTTCTGTTTATTTTGATATTATATTATAACAAATTTAGGGGCATTCAATGAAAGCCCCAACTTTTAATTCAACCCATGAAAATGTGTGATAAATTATTTGCTCCGGCTCAATGTAATTTTCAATTTGTGTCAAACATACTTTAGACGTAAGTGAAAAATTGGAAACAGGAATATATATTAATATGCGAATTGAAATTGTTGTAATTTGAGTTTGTTGTTGTTGATTGTTTAGCGCAGTAGCTGTGACACAAGCCTAAATACATACATATGTACCTAGACCCTAGAAACCTAAATCAAACAAATAACGATATCTGAACTCAACAGATTAATTGCCGGGAAATTTAGTTTTTAAAAGTTCTCTTACTAAAGAAAAAGTGTACATAAACTATACAAAAGGAGTACAAAATGTTATAAAACTTTATTCAATGAATAATATTCATTAAAGAATTTTTCAAATTTTCCGGAATTTAATTTGTTAAGTGTACAAAATAATAAAAAATGCCATGAATATTGCATGTTTGTTAGTTAAACTGGATGTGTACCTGTAAAATGAAAATGAAAATGAAAACGTAAACTAAGCAGAATTATCAAATAAATATTGATAGGGAATTACGTACCGGCTGTTCGAAAAGATATGAATAAAAACACATGTAATGCCGCAATTTGCTCAAATTTAACTTAAGTCGCAAGTGAATACACAGAAACTTAAACTGTCAATTCAGACACGATATTTTTAATTTTAAAATATAACAAATTATTCAATGGGCATTAAAAATAATTAGATAAGAACCGTTTACTTTAAACATTGAACAGAGGAGCTTCAAATTTTATATGAAACTTTGGAATGCTAACGGAATAGATCAAAATGTTTGAATAGAAATCCAAATAACTAAGCAAGTAATCAAACAATTGCAATTCATATCCCTGTAAACCGAAAACGAGTATATAGTCCAAAATTAAGCCCATCAACCGGAAAACCCACCAGCTGCATGATCACCAATAAAGTATAAAGAGCAGGAAATCTATTCAATGTATGCATTTTAAGCGAAAAAATAATTAAGAGTAGATAACCGAAGTCATAATTTAAGCAATGCTTTCAGTCGAAACGGAAAACATTTATAGTTTTCCTGCAAATTACATATTCAGTGAGAATCCTTTTTCTGTTGCAAAGAATTCAAAGAATCAGAAGTTCTTTGCTGGGTTATGTAATCAGAAAAGTTATTTTCAGATGGAATTGAATCGCTGCACAGTAATTTATCGGAGCTATGCTAAATCAAACAGTCACAGCCCATTTCGTCGAACAAAATTAAAAAGCAAAAACCGGAGGCTAACTATACAATATATCTTATTAAAATAGATGTATACCATTTTTGCTGTTCTGGTAATCAAAAATATATGTTATATCAAATTAATCGTGTAAGCAAATATTCCACAGATGCCAATAACTAAACGAGTAATCATAAAAAATAATGTTAAAATGTAAAATTAAGCAAGGAAAACCAATATTCGTGAATAAATATTTATGGGTTTTAACAAAAAAAAAGGTATAGTTTTATAAAAAAAGTGTGGAGGGAAACAAGGATGATAGTTATCTCGCGGATTTAAGACCGATTCGAGCACCGAAGGCGTAATCCCCACCATTCCTCACTCTACCTTCTCCTCATGCATAAACGGTATTAACTATAAATGAATTAAACCGGCCAAATAGAGGGGCATTTTTTACATATAAGTGTTTGAGAACTCGTACACGACGCGTCTCTCAACGCAGAACGCCACGGACGCACTCGCTGATGTCTTGCTCAAATTTCATTTCAAGCAACAACCCCCTATTCCAAAGAACCGAATTCTCTACCATATTCAAGTCGGGTTATATTTAGCCGCAGCGCGCTGGCACCGTGGTGCAGGGGGTAAGGCGTGTGACTACAAAGCATAAGAGTGTGGGTTCAAATCCCCTCCGTATCATTATTTTTTTACTTTTTTTTTTTTTTTAATTTATAAAAGTACATTGTAATATTTGCTTTCCAATTTGTAACGTCTATTAAAGCAGGAGTCGATTAGCCACTGTTAAAATTGATTATAAATTTAAACCGGTTAAAATTAATTTGCAAAGGTGTGTATTACTTAAAAAATCAAAAGTTACATTAATCATTTTTAATTATTACTCCAAACAGAACATCAACGCTACAAAATGCTGTTCAAAAGTTATACTATTTTGATTTTTCTGGGAAGTCTCCTTTATAAATCAAGTGCAAAAGGATTAGAAGGCTACAAATGGTGCACGGTGGTTAGAAATGGATTCTGTGCAAATTGAAAACTAAATAAATATGAACTAAAGTCTGGCTTCTATTAATTAAGATGGGAAAAGGGAAGTGAGTCTCGTGATTTTTAATAATAGTATTAATAGAAATGGTAGTCGTTACGTGGTTGTAAAAACACATTTACCTCAACTTACAACTTTTAGGGGACACAACTGTTTATTTATCTCTTGCGGTTTGGAATATATGAAGCTCTGAATAAGTAATGGACTTAAAACCATCGACAGTTGATTAACTAAAATCGTTTGATGAGCATTAAAAGCGCCAGTTCACTATAATTAATTTCGCTTTAAGTCAAAATCGTATTTTTTAGAGCAATGGTGGATGTATTATCCAATTCAGAAACTTTTATGCAAAATGTTAGACGTATTTTTGCCGGAAACACAAGCGATAAAGGCGAATGGCCCATGGTCAGCAGTTACTTTTGCCCGCTCCTGATGCTCGTCCTATGGATAATCACACTATGTAAAAATTTGGGTTCTTCTTAATAAAACTCCCTAATTTTGTATACCCCTAGTTATTTTAGTTTGTGTATGCGTGTGCTGCAAGCTCGTGAAATCGGAAACGTTCACCAGATACGACTCAAACAGCATTGAGATGCAGGATGTTCATATCCTGGAGCCCACATTCAAACATTACAAAGGATGTGCGTGCTTGGAGTGCCTGCATCGTCAGTTGGCCAAGGAATTGGATCTGAAAAGTGCAAACTAAGGAAACTAAGAATTATGTTAAATGGCGTACAAAATGTACGTTTATTGTAGGTAATAACTACAAATATTTAAGGAAGAACATAGCCTTATATCGCTTTGGTTTTTTAATTAAAATCTACTTATGAGATTTGTCTTTCTTTTAAGGAGATTTAAATGGCTCCAGATTGGTGATAGCCAACAAAAATGATAGTTATTCATTAACTTGGTCTCTTTTACCTTCATGGAATGTTTTGATTTCTTTGCAATGTGTTATGAAATACAAACTTCAATATGAAATACTGATTTCTTCAGTAATTTTAAGCTGACTTGACTTCCAGCTTCGACAAAGTCAAGACATCCTCGTGAATGGGCGACAAAGTCAGCTTCATATTGTGATCTTTGACCAGATTACAAATCGTTTCAAACTGCGCGTCCGAAAACATTTTACGGGAAAAATTCATGGATTTCTCGTCAGAGCTCTCGAACTCGTTGATCAATTCTTCGATTTCGTCCTTGAACCGCTGTTCCTTGGCTTCCTTCTCCTGCTGAGCTGCCGTTTTTGGACCACTTGACTCTGGCTTCTTTGCCGCAAAGGCCCGCGACCAAAGTTCACGACTGGCCTCCTTGTACTTGCTGATTCTCTTATTCATGCTGATGATCTCATCGCTGATCTCCTTGTTCTCCGGCTGCTTTGCCTGAGCCTGCAGGAAGACATCTCGAGCCCGGTCGTATTCGCCCAAAGCAGCCAGGGCGCGTCCCTCCAGAAAGAGGGCCTTGCAGGATGGATTGTTTAGAGTCAGGCGACGAAGGGCTTTCATCATGATGCAGGAGCGCTGCGGCTTGTTCAGCTTGTTGTAGACGATCATCAGGTTTTGCTGGAAAGAAATAAAATGTTTAGCTTAATAGTTAATAGCTTTAATAAGATACCTACATTCAGGGTAATCAACAGTTCGGTTTGCCTGCGCTCCTCCTCGTCATTGCCCATTCGACAGTAGTTGAGGGAGTTGACGGCTCGTTCAAAGGATGTCGCCGCATCGCGATAGCGCCCGCGCTTCACGCAATCCTTGCCGTGCAGGTGCATGTCCTGCGCCTTTGGATAGACCACACAGAACTTGTCGCGGTCCTCCTTGGCGATCCCATCGATGGCCTCCGCATCGCCTATCAGCGAATAGTCAATGACCTCCACCTTCAGCAGCCCGTCCGCCTTGGGCTTGATCCTCGGCGGACAGCCCAGTTCCCCGAATAGCAGCTTGTAGGAGATGATGAACTCGGCCTGCTCGTAGGGACGCATGGTGCGCACCGCCGACTCCAGGCCCACGATCACCATTTTCTGGCCAGTCTCGAACTCGAACTTGGTGCCGCGCAGCATGGAGGAGTCGAAGGGGGCGCCACTGCCCTCCCAGTAGAAGCTGTAGCGCACCGACACCCTGGCCTTCTCGGGCACCACTTCCCGCTCCACGTGACCCTCGCGGGTGATCCGCTTGTACATGTAGTCGTCGATCCTGTTCATCAGGACACGCAGCTCGTCGAAGGACTGCGTCCACGGTGAACGCAGTGCCTCGTTGTCCACATCCTCGGCATCCTCGTAGTCGCTGTCGCTCTCCAGGCCCAATTCATGGCTGCCATTGCTCCGCTGCCCCATGTCCACCTCGAACTCAACGCCCTTGTCCACGAGCTCGCTGCAGGAGTCGCCAAATCATGGATTAGGCCACGTGCTAACGGTCGCAGGGAGATCTCGATCTCGATCTCGGTACTCACGAATAGGTGAAGGGCTCCTTGAGCATTTGGGTGCCAAAGGGATGGTAGGACTCCTCCATAGTTCACAGAAAACGAGTATTGTTTATGAATTGTGCGTTAACCGAAAATCGCTGAAATGGCGCTTTTCTTTTGGAATTTTTCAGCAGTGCTGGAAAGAACAGGAGCTTTCTAGAGATGGCTCTTTTGGCTTTCGATTTTTCGATAGGTTAGCAACAGCGATAAGTAGCTGTCATTTGTAGTTATCAAATTCAAAATAAAGATTCTTTTAATACTGTTACCTTCGCCATTTCAAATAAATAACATTTATAATATGATAACGTACTAAAAGTACTTTACTTTTTTTAAAACAACATTCTAATTAAAAACTCCCATTGATTTAGTTCTTTTTTAAATAAGTTAATATCTGTATTCCAAACCCTGTGAAGTGAAAAACCCAAAAAAAGCATATAGAAGCGACATGAGTCATAATATCTTTTAAAATATACATTCATTTGTATTTGACAAATGCTGCGTCAGCAGCCAAGATAACAAAGAAGTCGTTTGTTAATCAAATCGGAGAATAATAAAAACTGGGAAACATAATGAGAAATGCTATGATTATGACAATGTTTTAAATATTCGAATATAAATTGGCATTTCCCCCAATCATTTATTTAGCAGCTTGCTCAATTCTTGGGTCTGCTGTTCGATCTGCAAGTCAATATCGTCCATTTTGTTCTTCGTATTATCCAGCAGCTCGTTCTGCGACTCAATTTCGCCACCCAGATCGGTGGCCATCTTCTTGAGCACCGACACATTGGTACTCATTTCCTCCAGATTGGCTTTAATCTGAGTCTCGAGAGGATCTGCCTTCTGACCATTGTTAGAATCGTCACTCTGCTGACTCACTGAATGATTGTCGTTGAACTCCGATGGTGAAAACCTACACGACGGGCTATCTTCCATATCAATGTTGATATCGGAATCTTGTGAGGCTCTTCTAACTGGTCGCAAAACAGCAACACATAATTGCTTTTTCTTGCTACCGGAGAGAAAGTTCTTCACGGAGCCAAATACGCTTTTTAGGCGATTTATTCGTTTTTTGTTGATGCGCAGCTTGGAGTCCATCTCGTCCAGTTGATGCGTAACATTCTCGACCTGTTCCCGCTGCTTGGACAGCTCCACAGCGGTGGCCATGCCCAATTCCTGGCTTTCATAGAGCAGACCTTCAGGTTTTAAAGGATACATTAATTTTATGTCTCTATTTTGGACTCGTAATTTACCCAAGCTCCTGTTAGTGGATTCAAGAGTTCGCTGTTCGATGTCCCTCTTTTCTTCTGCAAAAGCCACTAGTTGGGCAGCAACCGAGGGCTTCGAAGTTATCTCGTCCTGCATTTCAATTGGATTGCTGCTTCCCTGCTGCGATATCGTAGATTCTTCAGTTTCCTTGATCTGCTGCAATAGGCCATCATCCGCGTCCTTCACCCTTTCCACGTCATCAAATTGGTCGTCTGCCATCTTAATAGACTGAAAATTCCAGAAATTATAGAAACCGCGAAATGAATAATTCCTTTTTTTCAAGTACTTAAGAAATTCTGTATTCGAAACCAAGATAACAGAGAAGTTCTGTGTGTATCCGAGACCATTAGAAAACAAATTACCCTACCCGCAAGACAGCTATTCCGTTTTATATGAATTTTTATTCAAAACTGAACACTTATCGCTCTCCAACTACAAGCACTCCGAGAGAATTTTCGTTTGGTGTGTGTAACAATAAAAAACTAGGAAACATAATGAGGAATGCATTCGTAATGGCCTTGTGTGGTGCTCATCTTGCGATATGGTATGACTATGATTTATATATATGTTCAAAGGGGCTATTCTAGGGATGCTGTAAACAAATAATGGTATCGACGACTCCGCCCCTCACTTCTTCAGCAGCTTGCTCATATCCTTGTTCTGCTTGTGGATCTTCAAGTCGACATCCTCGATTTTGTAGTTCATATTATCGAGCAGCTCGTTCTGCGACTCGATTTCGCCGCCCAGATCGGTGGCCAGCATCTTGAGCACCGACAGATTGCTGCACATCTCCTCCAGATTGGCGTCTATCTGGGCCTGGAAGGGATTGGCCGCCTGCCGCTGGGGCTGATAGGTGCTGCTGGGATCGCCACGCAGCTGGCTAACTGGATGGCTGTCGTAGCGATCCGCTGGTGAAAGTGGAGCCGGAGGGCTAGCTCCTCCATAAGCTCCGCCCATATCAATGTTGCTATTGGCCTCCTGGGACGACTGACTGGCCGTGGGCGAACCGGCGGCAGTGGAGGGCTGATCCCGGTTGCCGGAGAGGTAGTTCTTCAGGCCGCCAAAGACACTTTTCAGGCCAGTCAGATGACGCTGGCTGAAGCGCAGCGTGGAGTTGATCTCGTCCAGCTGGTGCGACGTCTTTTCCAGCTGCTCCCGCTGCTTGGCCAGTTCCACAGCAGTGGCCTTGCCCACCTCCTGGGTTTCGTAGAGCAGACCTGTGGGTTTTCAATGGGGTACATGTTTAGATAACGCCCCTTAATTGGCTGGCAATTGACCCCCATGGTTACCCAAGCTCTTGTTGGTGGAGTCCAGAGTTCGCTGCTCGATGGCCCTCCGTTTCTCCGCGTAGGCCAGTCGCTGGGCAGCCACCGATGGCGACGAGGTTATCTCCTCGTCGTCATCGTCCTCCATCTCGAAGGGATTGGTGCTCCTCTGCTGCGGCATCTTGGGTGCTCCCGTTCGCTTGTTCTGCAGGAACAGCTCATCGTCCACGTCATCGAATCTATTCACATCGTCGAAGTGGTCATGCACGGGCTGCAGATAATTGTGGGCCATCTTTTGGGACAGATAAGTTTCCAAATCGTTCAATTTTGTTGTGTTTTCATAAACTTTTATTTTCTTTGTTGTTGCTCGCTGATTGGAAGTTATCGATTGCAATGGGGGTGGTGCATGATTAGTAGCTAAAAGTAGCTAGATGTAAAATGTCTAATAAAAGCTAGACATAGTTTTAAAACAGGGATAATTTAACAAGCCACAAAAACGGAAGCATTTACCAGGATCTATTAGAAAAAATACAAATTTCTTGAAAATGTATTTAGCTCATTAAGATTTTTCTACATAGAACTACAAATATTTAGATATCTAGCCATTTTACCTCATCTCCACGAATACCCCTGCCGGATATTTGGCGGAAAAAAAGCAGGTTGCCATCCCTGTTGGATATCGAACCAGCGTTTCGTTTCTATCAATTTTCCAGCAGGCGTCGCAGTTTTTTGTAGCTTTTTGGACCCTGAATTGGACGGAAACTTTAGTTTAATTTAGCAAATTGTAGCAGCCGAACGTCAGAGGTTTCAGGACACCCATCGGGCGAAGGAAACACCACCCACATGCATTGCACATCGCTCTTTGTGGCCGCGTCATGTGCGGCGCTGCTTCTGCTGGCGGCGACAGCGCGGTCGGCGGCGACTGCGCAGTCAGGATTACAGCCAGGTGGCAAGTTAATCGAGTTGGACGAGGACAACTGGCACCTGATGCTCCAGGGCGAGTGGATGATCGAATTGTGAGTGCGAAAGGAGGGCCCTACAAGCCACCCACCCAGGTGGAACCCCACAGCTCCTGACGTAACGAGAAAGGGGCGTGGTGCGCCGGCTTTTCTCAGCCGGCAAGCTGGTTTTCCTCTTTCTCTGGAATGCCAGACATTCCTTTGTGGCCACGATGACTCATTCCCCTGGCAGCTGTTTAAAACGTGTCTATTCTTCCACTGTACTTATAGCTTTGCTCCGTGGTGCCCGGCCTGCAAGAATCTTGCTCCCACCTGGGAGCGATTTGCCCGCGTGGCCAAGGATGTTAAGGTTCAGGTGGCCAAGATCGACGTGACCACCTCGCCCTCGCTTAGCGGACGCTTCTTTGTGACCGCCCTGCCCACCATCTACCAGTGAGACATTAAATTCTACACAACATATAGAGCTTAACCCATGTAAATCCCTTCCAGCGTCAAGGATGGCGAGTTCCGGCAGTATCGTGGAGCCCGCGATGGCGATGCCCTCCTGTACTTTGTGAAGAAGCAGCAGTGGCAGAGTATCGAACCGCTGTCCGCCTGGAAGAAGCCCGATACCATCCACATGTCCGTGCTGTCCTACTTCTTCAAGCTGTCCCACACTCTCAAGGTTCGTTCACCCATGCCCATTTATCACCTCAGTTCATTGCATGAGACATAAGCGGAAGCTTATCAGCGGAGCTGATCCGCTGACCCAAAGATTGCCGCCCATTACTCATTACTCTCTGCTGTTGTCTTGTATGTTGTGGTCATGTACTAATAGCACACGCAAAAACTCTTTAAGGACTTCAACGGGCGGCTGCAGGAGGAGTACGGCCTGCCCACGTGGGGCTCCTACGCCCTCTTCGCCATCGCCACCATCTTTGTGGGCGCCGCTCTGGGACTGCTGCTCGTGTGCCTTGTGGACTTTGTCTACCCGCCAAAGAAATCACAGCGCCAGAGCTTCTCCGAGTCGCAGGACAATCTGACCGAGGGCCTGGAGGATCTGGCCACCGAGGAGATCGAGGATGATGGCGAGGCTGAGGAGAACGAGGATGAGCAGCGGGAGAGCGACGAGGAGGCCGAGGAAGATGAGGACGACGAGGAGGAGGAGGAGGACAGCGAGGAGCAGGCTGGCGATCTGGCCGCACAGGAGAAGGAGGCCGACAGCGAGCCGGAAAAGGTGGAGAAGCCGGAGCCCAAGCAGGCCGGTGATGCTGCGCCCGAGAAGACGGAACAGGTGCGCAAGCGCAAGCCACGCAAGGGCGATTAGGTGCAGCCGGGTCGAGTCCCTGTGGATCATCAGCCTTAGCGATCAGAAGCGGCAACAAAAAGACTAACACACAGAATCGAGAGAAACGCAACCTCTTACCAAGCATCATTCGAGCAGATTAACTCTGCTCTGCCTTCGCGCACAAAACTGATTGTTTCCCCCACTTAATCCTAGCCAGCAAACGGCACCTCATGTATTTCTTAATTATGTACAACAAAATTATAATCCTTTAAGCGATAACAAGCGTAACAATAACTAAATTTAACTTTAGTCGTACACTTTTACTTTCTTTTGCCAAGCATTGTATTTTGTGTTCAAATCGATTTCTTACACATCTATCTTCTCTTAAGCATTTCTTTGTAATTGTATTTCAATCAAATTGCAAATTGTATTAAATTTTCGTATTACAAAATAAACAAAAAACAAATAAAGCGGGTGGTGTTTCACTTAATTGGGTAACATTTCGGAAATGGTGTAAAAAATGAGTTTGAAAATTAAATGGAAAATATCTATTTTGCGGTCATTTTATTTTTAACTTAATTTCATATTTTATTGAAATGGTTCATGGTTTATAATGATTTATAAATGGTTCCTTTAAAATAAAACTCGATACCACTTTCAGTTCGGAAATTTTATTCATCTTCAATTTTAATAAATAAGAGTCAATGTAATATTTGGTTTTACAAATTTATTATCAGTTTATTGTAAGAGAATATGAAATAAGACAAAAATCCCTGCAATTTCGTAATGGGTGTAACTACAAATAATTGTTATAAGGTGTGTGGTGTTTGGCCGAAATTGTTAAAATTTTCAAATACATATTGTCTTCCAAAGGCAAAAAAAAGTGGTTAGCTGTTGCTTAAAATAGTTTGCTTGTTGCGGCATACAAATATTGATGTCTATCTTATAAAAAGAGTACAAAATGATTATACAAATATCTCTATAAAAACGTGATTCATCTTCAGCGTTGGTTTGCCTGATCTGTTGGCACTTGTGATTTAAATCGGAATTAACTGGATTAATTACAACATTTTGATTGTTAAACAAATAATTATTCTTTCAACAAATTGCTATGGCTATTGTAAGGTTCATTCTGGGGGGTTTTCGGGGGATAAGGTACTTGTGGTGTGTGTGTATATTATTTTTTTCTATATATATAAAATATATATTTGATATATATTGTTTGGTTGTAAAAGTTGTACTATTGCAGCGTATGGAGGAAGTTTGTTGGGTAGTTATTGGGATAAGGAATTGGATAAGGATTGGGATAGTTCGTTTTGGGCTGTGGTGTGTTTTCAAATACTTTAAGTAATTGTCTGTATGTGAGTTTGAAAATTTAGCTGTTGTGAATTTCGGTTTCAGGCGGTTTCAGGCTGGCTTCAGTTAATTCGTATTCGTACAAAATGGCGAGATGTCAACAAAAACAATTGTTAATTACTTTGAAATATTCAAAAAGCAATCGTCGTGCGTTGTCAACTGCAGCTGAAAGCATGTCCTCCAACCGAAAGGGGTTGGAATTGCTTTCAGCCCCAGATATTTGTTGTAAAATTAACCTGGGGGGGCCAACTCCATAACAAAGGCGCACTTCAGGCTTAAACTACTAAATAACTAATTGAGGTATGAGTGTGGTGAGGCTGTCCTCTTGCAGAACTTGCTTGATGAGTGGAAATTTTGACGGGGCCAAAAGCTGGCTGAATTTCGTAAACCGGTCTATTGCATAAAATTGCAGGTCTTCGTCCGCCGCCCATTGCCCATTGCCCATCGGAATTGGGATTGGGATTGGGACTGGGCACGGACAAGTAAAAAAGCGTAGCAAACTAGTTGGGCCAGGGATGAGCATGTGGAGATGGCTGCTGCCCAAGGACTGCTAGGCCACAAAATCGAGCGGCCTGTTGAAGCCACCCTTGCGATTCATGTACTGGCGGTACTTTCGCTTTAGGATTACATGCACTTCTCCGACATCGTTGCCCTCGACCTTCCTGTTTTTGGTGGTGTCGAACGTGCAGAATCCCATTGTCTTCAGCATCTCGACCTCTTCCGGTGATTTACCCTCCAGGTCCGCCTCGTTGATCTTGGGCCGGTCTGCAGCTGTGGCCGCATTGTTCCTCGTCGTCCTTCGCGACGTCGATGGTCCGGAGCTGCTGTTGCCGCCGCTGCTTCCGCCTCCTCCTCCGGCGCCCCTCGACCGCGATCTGTGAATCATGAATTGTGCATCGTGAGCGGCGAGTTTCAATACGTTTCAGTTGCTGACTGACTGACAGGACCAGTTAATTGCATTCGAATGGCAACGAGCCTGGGAATTAACTGGGGCGACCTTGGGCCCTGTGCACGTGATTGTGCAATTTGAAGTTTTAATTAAGTGAAATACGACACTTTGCAACCGGTCGGTTCGCTTCATTAAAGGTCTCGGTTATGTCTGGGTATTTGACAATAATTTGGGAGCTCAAAACCAGCTAAGTAATAACTGGGAGGGGGGATGTTTATACAAAATTCTAGAATTTCTTTATGAGATACAAATAATATAGCAGAAGTTACTATGAAAGCATAAAAAGTTCTTGAACATATATAGATCTCCCGATTTTAGTAATGTTTTTTTATAAGGGGTTTAAGTTTAAGACCTTTGAATGAACCTAAACCTCTAACTTAACAATTTTCCTTTATGTCTGGGTATTTGAGAATAAATTGGAAGCTCAAAATCCGCTTAATAATCACTGTGAGGGAAAATCCTATTAATAAACAACTGGATATGAAGAAAAAACTCAAAAATTTAGTTATGAGATACGAATAATATTGCAAGTTACTATGAAAACAATGAATTTATCAATATACGCATTTAGTTAGATTAAGATCTCCCGATTTAGGTAGGGTTTCTTATAATGAACTTAAGTTTAAGACCTCTGGATGATCCTAAACTTATAACCTAACCAATTTCCACTTCAAAATAGATGGCTGCAGCTGCTGGGACTTTCTTTTAATTTTGTGTGTTGTATAAACAACTGGATATTTATACAAAATTTTAGAATTTCTTTATGAGATACAAATAATATAGAAAAAGATCTCCCGATTTTGGTAGTTTCTTACAAGGGGCTTAAGTTAAAGACCTAACAATTCTCCTTTAAAAATAGATGGCTGCAGCTGCTGGGGCTTTCTTTTAATTTTGTGTGTTGTATTTCTTAGCTGACATTGTGTAGAAGATAACAGATAATCCTTAGATCAAGTATAAAAGATGGATAAGTTCGCCTAGGACATGTCCTCGATGAGGGCTGCTCGCAGCTTGGTCGTCACCGTGGCCGGTTGGGCCTGGTTCAGCTTGAAGACGCTCTCGATCACCGAGATCTCGGTGGCCGTTGTGTTCATGCCCACGAAGGAGAGCCAGTCGTTGACGACCATGCCGGCGGCGAGGACTTCGCTGCCCCGGTTCACTGTGCCGGCGACGAGGGGCACCTGCAGCAGGGACGACAGCTCGTCCTGGTCCTGTATGCTCGTCTTGGGATGGACCATGCCGCCCTGGTTGCTCAGCACGGTGTACGAGCCCACTAGCGTGTTGTCCGCGATGGTCTGCCGGAAGACCTCGACCTTCAGCACATCGCCGATAATCTCCTCGGTCTCCTTGTCCAGATCGGGGTGGACCAAAGCCACATAGTCGTTGCAGGCGATAACGTTGCCCAGCGCCGAGAGGCGCTCCTCCACGCGCTGGATCTTGACGGCATCGGGCAGGCTGTTGCGCAGATGCTGCAGCTCCTCGTCGGTGGTGGAGTTGGGCACCAGCAGCCCGTTCCGGTTGCCCACGGTGAGGCGTCCGATGATCCGGCAGCCGCCCACATTGGCGTGCACCACCGGTATGGTCTCGGCCAGCTCCGCCTCGATGGCGCTGTAGAAGGTCTCGGATCCGCCGATGGCCACCAGGGCGTATGTGTTTGTCAGCTTGGTGAAGACGCCGATGTCGTCGTTGTTCTCGAATTGCACGCGCAGCGCCATTTTCTCTGTATGTTCCGGTAGGTTCTTCTCTGTGTGGCTTGTCTCTGCTGGGATTTCCTGGCTGACTGTGCCCGTAAGTTGGGATCCCCTGGATTTTGTTTATAAGGCCGGAAAACTATTTAAACGCCGTGATGAAATTCGCACAATTTCGCTTCACGTGGTAATTTTTTTTTTATGTTGAGCCGCCAGAGCTGCATAGCCATCGATTGCCTGCCTATCGAAGGGGGTCTATCGATACTTGCGGGTAAATAAACAAGTTCTGGGTGGGGATTACCGGGGGGGTTGGACTAGTGGAAATGCCTGATCTTATTTCTTATTCCTACGTTTTAGTGACTAGTTTTATACTTATCGCTTCTTGGCTTTTGGTACACTACACTTTGTTATTCACCTAGAACGCCGGCCCCGCGCTCGATCGCGGTCCCGCTCCCGATCACGGCTGCGACTCCGCTCGCGATCCCGTTCCCGGTCACGGCGACTGGGGCCTCCTGCTCCTGATGCTCCGGCGGGAGCCACTCCGATGGCCTCCCGCTCCCGGGAGCGGCGCTCCCTGCGCTTCTTCCGCTCGGAGCGCTCCTTCTCGCGCCTCCTGTGCGCCGGCGAGGCGGGACTCCGGCTGCGGCCCATTTCTCCGTTTATGTGGCGATTCTGCTTGTGATTACTAGATGGTTTTGGTTTGCCTGGTCGCAGATGGTACAAGTTAAGTAATGTTAGCACCTTCCGAATCCCCATGCTCACCGTTGCTCTAGGCTGTGTCTAGCATTATTTGGGCGACACCGGCGGTGGGTAGAAACGCGCTAACTTAAAACTAAAACGCAAATAAACAACGCGCGTTATTTCGCCGCGACGCCGAAAACAGAATGAAGATAAAGTTGAGGAGGAGGCAAGGGATGTGCATTAGGGGTGGAGAAGCATCTAAGATTTCGATTTCGAAAAACATCGATACCAATTGGTAGCATTAGAGGTGGAGACAAATCGATGAAAACAACGGGCGCGTTCAGCAGAACAACATGATACCTGACCACTGATGGTTTTCTTACGATAGTTCTGCTGAACGCACTTTATTACTAATCATGATGCAAGAATTTTGCATCAGTGATCAGGCATCAGGTAGCGTAAAAATAGAAATAGTAAGCTAAATAAAATATCGAAACTTTTAAACTTTTAAACTTTAATTTAAAAAAGGACATAAATTCGGTGGAATTCTTTATAATTGTTCAGCCATTTTTTATTTTTATGTATCTGCGATAGCTGTGAGCAGTGCTGCAGTTGCGGAGGCAGGAAAAACATTTTTTTTAAATTGCGCGCACACTGTTTGATATATTTTTGTACTTTTACGTTATTAAATCTATCAGCAGAACAAACTTGATCACTGATTACTGATCCATCAGTGATCAGGTATTACGTTGCTCTGCTGAACGCGCCCAACGATGGCTGGCAGAGGGAGTGTGTCTCCGCTGTCTCAGGCGGGTGTACCTGCTAAATAACTAGGAGTTCGATCAAAGATCGATAGAGACGGCGCTGCCAACTCCCTGAAAACAAGAAGAAAATGCATCTTGAAGATTAAGATACACACAACAATCCGTAAGTGCGTCAGAATTTTCAGAACCCGCGGTTCGCTGGAACTCCCGAAATAAGCAATTAAATGTTACTGTACATGTGAATGCCAACGCGCAATAGATAGCCGTAAATACAATTCAATATGTTGTCTGCTGTGCGAAATACCTCGGAGGCTGTTGCAGTTCTCGCCTCGCTGGGACTCGGACTGGTTTTGCTAATTTTCGTGGCCACCACGCCGCCCGCCGTGGAGGCCACCCAGTCGGGGATTTACATAGACAACGGCCGGGATCAGACGATCATGCACAGGGTGCTCAGCGAGGACGACAAGCTGGACGTCTCGTACGAGATCCTCGAGTTCCTGGGCATCGCCGAGCGGCCCGTGCACCTGAGCAGCCACCAGTTGTCGCTGCGCAAGTCGGCGCCCAAGTTCCTGCTGGACGTCTATCACCGCATCACCGCGGAGGAGGGGCTCAGCCATGACGAGGATGAGGGTTCCTACGGCAGCCATCGCTCCCGGAGAAGCGCCGATCTCGACGAGGAGGAGGAGGAGAACGAAAGCGATCGGCAAAAGAACTTCATCACCGACCTGGACAAGCGGGCCATCGACGAGAGCGACATCATCATGACGTTCCTGAACAAGCGCCACCACAGCGTGGACGAGCTGCGTCACGAGCACGGCCGGCGTCTGTGGTTCGACGTCTCCAAGGTGCCCGACGACAACTACCTGGTGATGGCCGAGCTGCGCCTCTACCAGAATGCCAACGAGGGCAAGTGGCTGACCGCCAATAGGGAGTTCACCATCACCGTCTATGCCATTGGCACGGGAACAATGGAGCCGCTGTCCTCGGTCAACACCACCGGCGACTATGTGGGCTGGCTGGAGCTGAACGTGACCGAGGGGCTGCACGAGTGGCTGGTCAGGTCGAAGGAGAACCACGGCATCTACATCGGAGCCCATGCCGTCAATCGGCCCGATCGCGAGGTCAAGCTGGACGACATTGGACTGATCCACCGCAAGGTGGACGACGAGTTCCAGCCCTTCATGATCGGCTTCTTCCGCGGACCGGAGCTGATCAAGGCGACGGCGCACAGCAGCAGCCACCACAGGAGCAAGCGGAGTGCCAGCCATCCGCGCAAGCGCAAGAAGTCCGTCTCGCCGAACACCGTGCCCCTGCTGGAGCCCATGGAGAACACGCGCAGCTGCCAGATGCAGACCCTCTACATAGACTTCAAGGATCTGGGCTGGCACGACTGGATCATCGCGCCGGAGGGCTACGGCGCCTTCTACTGCAGCGGCGAGTGCAATTTCCCGCTTAACGCGCACATGAACGCCACCAACCATGCGATCGTCCAGACTCTGGTCCACCTCCTGGAGCCCAAGAAGGTGCCCAAGCCCTGCTGTGCTCCCACCCGGCTGGGCGCCCTCCCGGTTCTCTATCACCTGAACGACGAGAATGTCAACCTGAAAAAGTATAGAAACATGATTGTGAAATCCTGCGGGTGCCATTGAATTCAATTTACCACTTAGGCTAAGCAATATAAAGCGTTTCTGTGTAGATCTGTATCTGTGTCCATCTCTGTACTAATCTCGAATATTTTTTATAGAAATATACAGCGCTGTACCTAACTGAAAATGGGTGTGTAAATTACTGGGTCTTTAATTTGTTTAAATCAATTTTAAATTAAAAACATTGGGAAAACATGGATTTTTATTGTCACATCATTTCGATTGGTTTCCACTTCAACCAAAAAGTTTGAGGATACATAATTAAAAAAAATCTACATTCAGGTAAAAACAATATTACTTGCAAACGAACAATTTGGTTGCACAGCGCTTAGTTACATACTCATTTTGATTGTCTCTTCATTGAAAAACATTAAATGCATGATATCAACATTCACTTAAAAACAATAATAGGCACAAACAAATTTATCCGACTTCTTTCAGCAATAAATTTGCGGTTATACATAAGTATTTTGATTCTGACTGCGCGCTTACAAGGAATAATATATTTATCGCTTGTGAATCCAGTGATGTCGGAAGGCAAACAGATCCATAATTAAGTTTCCGACACGTTTGTCAATTAGACAAGACATTAGGCGACCATCGAACACAGGCACGTTAACATTTAACGACACACAAGCCTCTCTGAAAGGAAAGTAAATTAGATACAAATAGTCTTTAAATTGTTTTCTTGGTACTCACAAAATTTCATACACCGGAACAGAGTTTCGGAAATATTCCTTCAACGTAAAAACGCCATTGATAGTTTTGGCCCGACTTATGCTGAGCATTACTTCTGGATCCTTTCTGTACAGGATCACAAAGATGTGTCTGTTGGGCGACTCAATGGGTCTGGCGAATTTACCCAGGACGCTTTCAATAAAAGCCGGAGTGCTCTTCTTGTGGAACTCCTCGCATTCGCCCTCCGCGTAGAGCAGGAAAAACTGCCTCTCGATAAAGTGCGAGTTGAATTGTTGTTGCGTTGACTTTGCAACAATCCCTGGTTCTCTTCGATTTCTCGGCTCCAACTGAAATTGGCATTGACGTTCAGAAGATACAAGGCTGGCAGCTGAGTGGAGGGAAGATAGCTTATGGGCGGAGGCTTTGGGAAACCGACAGAAGATTCCTCGCTCTCCAAGATGGTCGATAGGGCTTCAGTCAAGGCGGTGTATTGGCAGCTTTGAGCGGCTTCGTTGCGCCACATTTCCTGCTTGTCGCAGTTTTTTACCAATTCGTGGTACATCCTAAAGAAGTACTGACGCGTTCTCATGATCATCTCCACATTGGGCTTGGACACAACCATCCAAATCCATTCGTCTATGAAGATATTAACGCTGCGATCGGCTGTTAGTATCTGGGTGTCGCATATTTGAGAAAGGCGGATTCGTGGAGGACCTAAAATAAATAGAACACAAGAGAGAACGCTATAGTCGGGTTGTTGTCCTGACTGTCTAATACCCGTCACTCGGCTAAAGGGAGTGCAAGGGAGATGGATATATACAAAATTTTGATTGCGCATAACTTTTAGATGAATGATCCGATTTAAAAAATGTGTTCTACATTATGATAGGTATTTATAAAGACTATAAAATTGCATTTTTACATTTTTAAAACTTGTGGCCCCCAGACACTTTTTAAAATCGTTTGTGGGCGATTGTGGGCGTTAGAGGGGGCGTTGCGCTCCGCTGAAATAACCTTGCGCTGCGTAGGAAGCCCAAGAATATGTGTGGGAAATCTCAACCTTCTAGCTTTTGTAGTTTCCGAGATCTCAGCGTTCATACAGACAGACAGACGGCTGGTGCTCGCTGTACCTCAAAAATATATATTTTTTTTTTAATATTTTTTTTTACGAGTAACGGGTATAATAAACGTTAGGTTATAATAAATTTGGAATTCTTAACAGCATACCAGCGAACAAGGCAACTGCCAGGGGAACCACCATGGTGGCGTAAATGATGTGGTTCTTCTGCTTGCTGCAAACAATCCAGGGTGTGCGAAAGTTCAGTGCTGAGGTGTTCAAAGGCTCCAAAAAGTCGCGAAGCACCGTATTCGGGTGCAGGTGAACACTGCCGGAGAAGGCGGATTTCAAGCAATGTTTCCCAGCATCAACGGCACAAATATTGGGATACATTCCACCGGTCAGCGCAGCTTTGACCATGTGCCAATTGCCGGACATCTGATTGAGGCACTGCATGCTCAGCTTACCACGGCTGTGGACCAAATTGGAGGCCCGCAGGGAGTTCACCAGTTCGGCGCGCGTAAAGCTGAGCTGTTCCATCAGCCCGTTGAGCACGAAATCATACTCATCCGTGAGATGCAGCTGCGGCATCTTGTTCTGCAGTCGACTCTGCCACTCCTGAAAGAGGCGCACGAAGATGAAGTGGTCGGAAAACTGATTGTCGGCCAGGCGGGCACGCTCGCCCTTGATGCGATTCTGTATGTAAATGGTGAATTTGTCCCACAAGCGATCGACGTCCTCGTTGAAGGGAATGCCCAGTGGATCGGCCGTCGACAGCGAGCTGACTATGGTGAGTACGGGGTCCAGGCAGCGCAGCAAAATGCCAAAGATCAGCATGCGTCCAAACTGGCAGGGCACCGGAATGTCCGCCAGCCGGCAGCCCAGCCAGGTCACATCCTCGGCCTCGTCCAGGACGTCTATTTTCTTGAGGAACTGCACGGCATGGTGCACATTGATCAGCGGCGGCGGTGAGATGCTGAGGCCCAAATATTCGCTAATAACCATATTGGGCGATAGCACCTTAACCGTCAGGCAGATCTTGTCCAGCGGCATGGTTTGCAGGCGTGGCTGACTGGTCTCCCCGAGCTCCTCAAAGGCCTCCTTGTTGATCAAGCGAAAGCATTGGGCATCGCCACCTAAGGGGAATGGGGAATATAGGAAAAACCTTAGCCAGATTCGAGGAGATACTACGAGTTAGTGTTGGGTTGCACAAGAGTGAATGAACAAAAAAGAGTTGCTCACTAAACTGAGTGAGTGAACATGTTCCTTCGAACTTTATTCTTTATTGTTCTCTTGTTCATTTTTGCTCACTTGCTGCTTTTTGTTCACTTGTTTAGTTTGGCTCCCTTACTTGCTCTTTTTTGTTCACTTGTTTAGTTTGGCTCTCTTACTTGCTCTTTTTTGTTCACTTGTTCAGTTTTGCTCTCTTACTTGCTCTTTTTTGTTCACTTGTTCAGTTTGGCTCTCTTATTTGATCTTTTTAGTTCACTTGATCAGTTGCTCTCTTGCTGTTTTTTGCTCAAAAAATATTTTTTTTTTACTTTTAGGATTTATTTTGCATTTGGTTTTACAGTAAATCAGCTGATTTCTCAGAGCCAGTGAGAAAGTTAAGGAGAGAACAAGAGAGTGGGAAAAATGAACAAGTGAACATGTTCACCCAAATGAGCAGATTTTACCCAACACAACTACGGGCACCTACCTTCGAGATCCAGGATTAACTCCCGTCGCTGGAGGCAATCCTTGCCCACCCACTCGTAGCGATCCTCCGCGCTGTAGCTGGTGCTATCGTAAATATGGTTCAGCCGGCAGGCGGTGTCTATTTCGTACTTGAACCGCACCTTCAGGTGCAGCGATTCGATTATGTCCGTGGTCAGGACCACCTTCACGGTGTCATCGCTCGCACTGACCAAGGCGTCGATGTACTCCTTGCGCATGTTCTCGTGCAGGAGGAAGATGGAGCACTCCTGCAGGCTGCCTGTCAAGCAATGGCTCAGTATCATGTAGTTCAGCTTGACCAGATGGTAGTAGCTGGGCAAAATGATGAGGATGTTGCCTGCAAAGATAGAAGAGTGACGAGCAGGAGCCTTAAAACTCAGTGGGTATTTCTAAAACCTTTCGCTTCAAATGGGTTTAGTTTATTAAATCTGATTTACAAAGTTACCTATACATAAATAAACGCGGCACTCCTGCTCCATTCGTATAAACTAGGTTTCAAGACAGACGACACACATTAATAAAAATAGATCGATATTACTAAATGGCTTTGACATCTTCGGCTACAACTAATATAACTATTCAACAGACATATTCCTTTCGTTTCTTTCTGTGTAGAGGCGGCGCGACATCTGGTCGTTGATTTGTTCACGAGGTGAAGAGGATATAGCAGTATCTGAGTGAAGTGGATCTAGGGCTATGAGCGCGGCTCCAACTCCTTGATTTGCCGCAGGATCTCGGACTTCTTTTTCACCTTATCCAGCTGATCCTTGTCCAGCTTCTTCTGCTCGCCCGCCTGAATCCTGCTCTCGATCTGCTCGATTTCGCGGATCTTCTTGCGCAGCTTCTTCAGCTGCTTGGCGGGATCAGCCTCCTGAGATCCCTCCAGCCGTAGGGTGTCCTCCAAAGCCTTGGATATCGAGTTGATCTGCTCCTGCTGCGCCTGCTGCTGATTGACTTTTGGCGGCGGACACGTGCTGGGCGGCACTACGAGGACACCGGGCTGCTTCTCCTGCTTCTTGGCCCTGGTCCGCTCCTGCTTCTCGCGCTCCCTCTTGGACTCGGCGGCCACCAGGGGACACATGCCAGGCGGCACTCCGGCCTGGCGCTGCTGCACGAACTGCTTGCCCTTGCTCTCGTACAGCGGCACCTCCTCCTGGGGCACGTAGCCGTCCTTGACGCGCCGCGCCTTGCGCCAGGTGCCATCCGGCCGCTTGGTGGCCGGGATGAACTTGCCCTCGCTGCTCTGTAGATAGGTGCTCATCTTGCTGCTTCTATAAAAAACAATGCCCCTTTCGCCAGGCGATACTAATCGATAGCTGGCACTGCGGATGGAACTTTTAGCGCGGCGGAGGCGTGTTTTCCCGCCATTTATCGCTTTCAAGTTTGCGGAACGAGTCGCGAAGTGACCGTTATTGAATAATTTGTAAAGAATTCCTTAAATGCTTTTTACCTAATTCCTAGTCGAAAGATTACCAGTCGAGGCTATGAAGAATGAGCCAACTAATTATAGATACATAGTTAAAAACCTGTAAGCCATCTTCATTATACTAAAAAAGGATGCTACAACTTCTAATTAAGATATTTTCTCAGTTCCGTTACTGAATAATTTTGAAAAAATACCCTGCATGCTCACTTTAAACCTAATTCTTATTCGAGGCTATGAAGAATGAGTTAACTTATTAAAGATATATAAACTAAAACCTGTAAGCCATCTTAATTAAACTAAAAAGGGATACTACAACTTCTAAATGAGATCTCCGCTCAATTCCGTTACTAAATAATTTTTAAAGAATTCCTTACATGCTTACTTTATACTTAAGCCCTTCCGAAAGATTACTAGTCGAGGCTATGAATAATGAGCCAACTAATTACAGAAATATAGTTTAAACCCTGTAAGCCATCTTAATGTTTACTACTACTTTTGCTCAGTTCCATTACTGAATAATTTTTAAAAAATTGCATGCTTACATTTTACCTAATTCCTATTCGAAAGATAACTTTTAAGGATGAGTTAACCATTTACAGATATATTATTTAAATCCTTTAAGATATCTTAATTATACTAAAAACAAGAGAGAACGTTATAGTCGGGTGCCCCGACTATCAGATACCCGTTACTCAGGTAAAGGGAGTGCGAGGGAGATGGAGATAGAGATAGAAAACGTTGATCACGCATAACTTTTTAACGAATGGACCGATTTGAAAAATTTCTTCTACATTTCGATAGGTATTGATAAACACCATAAAACTGCATTTTTACTTTTCCGAAATATTGAAATTTTTAAAATCGTATATAAGGGATTGTGGGCGTTAGAGGGGGCGTGGCACTCTTTTGAAACAAACTTGCGCTGCGTAGGAACTCCTAGAATCTGCATGCAAAGTGTCAATCTTCTAGCTTTTATAGTTTCCGAGATCTCAGCGTTCATACGGACAGACGGACAGACAGACAGACAGACAGACGGACAGACGGACAGACGGACATGGCTAGATCGACTCGGCTAGTGATCCTGATCAAGAATATATATAGTTTATAGGGTCGGAAACGCTTCCTTCTGCCTGTTACATACTTTTGCACGAATCTAGTATACCCTTTTACTCTACGAGTAACGGGTATAAAAAGGATACTACAACATCAACATAAGATCTCTTCTAAATTCTACTGTTTCTAGCATAACCTTACCTTTCGGATACTCCGGTTTCGTGCGCAACAGATACATGATGTCTATGATGAGATCGTAGTCCACGAAATCCGGCTTGGCGCTCTTCACCACATAGCCATGCAGGCTGTAGTTGTTCAGGACATCGATGCACTCGTGGTTGCCGTTCAGGGCGGCCAGAGAGATGGCATTCTGCTGATACAGATCGACTATATACGGATCGGCGCCCATGAAGAGCAGCAGGCGGAGGTGACTGGCCTTGTTCAGCTCGGAGGCAAAATGCACCGCGGTCTTGCCGTTCTGCGAGTGCCGGTAGTTGACCGGCACCAAATCATAGTTAACGGCGTACAAAAATGGACGAATGGCCGCATCCGTGCCCATCTCGCCGTAGGCCTGCAGGCACTTGTCCATCTGCTCGTTGCGCTGGCTCTGCGTGCGAAAGCTCTCCGGGATCTCCTTGTAAATGTCCGGACCCTTGTGAATTCCGGCCAAAGCAATGCAGCTGTGCAGGTCGTTCAGGTAGGAAATGCGCGGTCCCACCTCCTGCTGCTCCATCTTGTTTATCTCGGTTCCCTCGCCAAAGAAGTCGGTGAACTTCTTGGCGCAGCTCATCTGCGAGAGCAGAACCACCCGCAGATTCGGGTGGCTGTTCAAGGCGAAGCGAATCTCGCTTAGGAGCAGATCGGTGTGGGGATCATGCAGATGAACATCGTTCACCACCAAATGGCTGATGTTGCGGAACTTCTGGCTGGCCAGGGAGCGCAGGAAGTACTGGGCCGTCGAGAAGATGATGAAGGAGCTTGAGCTGACGGCGCTGAAGTGCGGCAACTGGATGCCCACCGTCTCGCCCAGCTGCTCGCCAAAGAACTCGGCCATCCGCTGGCTATTGTAGGTGGCCAAAATGGCATGGCTCTCGATGCACATGATCTTGGCATTGGACTTCTTGGTCTGGCAGTCGTCCAGGATGAGCAGCGGCAGGAACAGGGCCTTATCCCACGAGAGATCGGCATTGAGAATCACAACCCGATTGGCGTACAATGGCCACATAATCTCGGAGCGCAGTTGGTGACCCGGAAAAGTGGTCAGGAAAGTGCGCTGTGCCTCCGTCCAGAAGCGAGGATTCGGCGGACGGATGGCGGGCAGCGGAAGGTGCAATGACGGCATGTCCGAGGCACTGGCCTTCAGGGACACCACATCCGCACTTAGCTCCAGATCCTCCTTGCCCATGAAGGACTTGCGGCCCAGCATCGTGAACATATTCATCGTGGCCGCCGAGGACATGGTCAGCATCTTGGGCTCCTCCAGGTAGTGGCGACATGCCTGCTTGTAGATCTTCACGCAGCTGTTCCCATTCGTGTTGACTATCTGCGATCGGAGCCCCAAGGAGCGGGCGCAATTGTCGAAGGCTTCGTGCTCGCTGGAGCGGAAGGTGCATGGAAATTGCTGGCAGCAGCGCCGGCCGGCTATAAAGTACAGCAGCTGCTGCGGAATAAACTTATCCTGGATTATCTTGTTCATTTCGGATGCTATCCCATCTGTTTGCCACGAAATTCCGCAAATTACGACGTAATTCACGCGTCGCGGGAAAAATAAATCCGTTTTTGCCGGGCTTTGTATGAACAATGGAATGGTGGAATGGAACACGCAGGGTTGTATTTTCGCTGAAGTTGAAGCTTGTTCGTTAGGGGTATTCCCTCTGCCATCACATCACTCAAACAAAATTGTAAGCACAGAAAAATGCTTTAAATTTAAAAAAATACGAATTTAATCGAAAATAAAATACATTTATAAATTGAAACTAAAAAGTAATAAACGCGTTAAACTATTATAATACAAAAATCAATGAATGGGAAATTAAAGAAATTGATTCTAGTATATGGATCAAAAATTAAAGAAGAGTTTAGGTTTTTATTATTTTTCCTTTTGTTAGCGAATGAAAAATGTGGGTATTTGAATGAAATAAATGGTCTAGATCTGCAGATGTATCTAAAAAATGTATTAATTCATTTTCTTTTCAGCTGAGTTTCTTAATAAAAATGTACTCTTTTAAAGTAATAATAAAAAACGAGTAACTGGTCTAATAATGTTGATCAAAACTAAGTAGTGCATAAACGAAACAAAAGAAAGTTTTTAAATTGAGCTTTGGCGCAGAATTTATTTTGCAGAGGGTTCTATAAATTGTATTATTATCCATCGAGTGTCATCATTGCTTACAATTATCAAAATATCTATTACATTTTAAATACAATTCTTAATTTCTTTAAATGTAGAATACATATATAATTAAGTAAGCTACAGAGGTTTCGGTTAAATCAAAGTTATTATTAACCACATTAGTTGGTACCGCATCGTGCTATTGGTACCGCCTTAAAGAAAGTTTGACTTTTCCACGGAGTTTTGAGATCCGCTGCTCTGGTTCGACCAACCGGTGTTTCCATTCTGTTGGTAAATTGGTAAATGTATCATTTAAATGTATTTCTTGGCTCTGAGCTAAAACTACATACCTGTTGGTCATTACAGCCGGAGTTGTCGGCCTTGTTCATGCCGTTGGCACCCGGATTGTTCGGGTTATTCGATCCCTTCCGTCCGCCAAAGTTGTTGGCGTTGTTGTGGCCGCCGTTCTGAGCCATCCACGATAAAAAATTGCCGCCCTGCGAAGTAACTGAAAGAGTTTTTTGTTTGAAACAATGATAGAGGTGTGGAGGCTTGCCTGCTGGTCCTGGTTTTGATTCTGCAGCTGGTTGCCCACCAGACTCCACTGGTTCAAGGCGGCAGCGACCAGTGCGGGATTGATCGGCAAGGAGTTGAGATTGAGCATCGACTGGTTGCTCATGTTCTGGCCCTGGTTGGAGGAGCTCGATCCCTGCGAATTGATGCCCAGCGCCTGCAGATTGGGCATGTCCAGGTGGCCCCGGTTCATCCAGCCGTTGCTGCCGCCCACGTTGCCGTTGTGGGGCTGATTCATACCGTGGAAATTCGCCTGCCTACTGCTGTACTGGGTCCCTGGGTCCTGGCGATTGGCGTTGCCGCCACTGGAGTGGCTGCTGCCATTGTTATGATAGCCCCCGCCCGCATTGCCGCCGTAATTATTGCCACCCATGCCGCCGTAGCCGGCGGTGCCAATGTTGCTGTGATTATTCGCGATGATTGAGCTCTCACCGCCGTGAGAGCTGTGTTGGTTATTACCTCTGTGGTGTCCATTGCGCCCGGGGTTCATGTGGTTACCCTGCGGGTGGTAGGAGTGCATGCCGAAGCTGTTGGCCGAGTTGTAATTGTAGCTCTGTGCCTGCTGGTTCCGGTTTTGCTCGGCCTTCGGGGCAGCATTCGACACATGCACCGAAACACCTGAGGAAATAACGTATATCTTGTTAGCTGATATTCCCTTTTCAAACTTAAGGGGGGTAGGGTCTTGCAAAAAAAAACGATTTAAAAAAAACTTTTTTTTTGTAGATTAACATCTTAAGAAAAAAAATTTAAGTCAATCGGGCAAAAACTTTAGAAGTTATGCTAAAATATTAGTACCCTAACTTCTAAGGCTTTAGGTTTAGGCGTTTTTCTCGAAACCACGTTTTGAAGCCCAAAGTAATTTTTTTTTCGGTGAAAACGCACTTTTAACTTTAGAAGAGCAAAAAAAAATTATTAAAAAAAAATTAAAAATCACGAAAAAGAATCACGAAGAAAAAATCGAAACGTTACTTGATTTTTTGATGCCAAAGACCCTAGCCCCCCCCCTTAAACTACTCACCCTTGATTATATGATCCTCTCCGCACAGGGACTGTGCCACGTCGGGATCGAGAAAGGTGACAAAGCTAAAGGCTCTAAAGGGTCGGGGAATAAACACATCCGTGACCTCGCCAAACTTGGAGAAATACTCGCGCAAGTCATCGGAGTTAATGTCCTCTGTGCAGCGGCCCACGAAGACCTTGCAAGGCACCTGGTGGCCCATGCCCTGGAAAATCATTATGGTTAATTGGTGAACAGTTTAGGGACTCACTAGAGGTCTTACCTTGGAGTTGGGCACCTTAACCTCGCACCAGCGACCGTCGATGAGGTGGCGATTGGAGAGGACGCGCATCTGGGCGTCATAAGACCCAAAGCGCACGAATCCAAAGCCCTTGGACTGCCCCGACTTGGTGTCCTTCTTGATCTGGGCCATCAGCACCTCGCCAAAGGTCTCAAAGTACTCCCGCAGACTCTCCTCCGTGGTCTTCCAGGGCAGTCCCAGAACTATAAGATCAGTGCATCGCAGACGGGTCTCGATGCGTTTGGTCTTGGCCGTCGAGTTCTCCAAGTTATCGTCGCTCTTGCGCTTGTTTTCTGGGGAGGATTAAGGGATGAATTCGGGATACTTCTCTAAGTTGTTAGAATCAAATTTTACCCTTGGGAAAGACACAGAAGTACAGGTACTCTCCCCATCCCGAGTCCACGCTGGGCGGGAACAGTCTGCCCTCGTTGGAGCGAACTCCGCGCACCGCCTTCGTGTCCATGTTGCGATACTTGAGACCGCAGGAGCCGGGAAACTGGGCCTGTAGGGTGGACAGCAGCAGGGTGCCATCCTCCTCAGCCGGCAGCTCGATGGGCTCGTCACCCTCCTCCTCCGAAACTTGAACGAAATCCATTGCCAAGGGGGCTGCTAGAAATGACACGACGTTAGAGATCTCGATCGCCGCAAGGGGCTCACACTTCGCTCAGAAATGATCCACAATATCATTCAATCAACTGAAGCATCCCACATATTCTGCATAACTGCATTCATGAAATGCACTCACTCAGCTCATCCGTTCTTTCCAGATGCATTTTGGTTTTCAGAAACCAGTTTTTACACACAATATTCGAATGACCTCCAGTCAACACAAAAAGGGTTTTCAGTCAAATATTCAATATGATGATCACTTACTATAAGACTTGACCGAAAAATTATAACTCAACCAAATAAATTAGGAATTAATAATATCTTCCTATTATTCTATCAGATTTTTAGTAACCCTTCCCTATTTTGACCTTTAATCTTATTTGTAACTAGCTGTAACTGAAGAAATCAAAAAACAGTAGTTAAATCTATAGTTATAACTCGAAACCAGGGACCGTAAATAACAGTAATTTGAGACTTTTATTTTAAAAGACTACTGTGATATTTGGTTTTAAACGTCAAAAATAACACTTTTTTTACTCTTGTCCACAAAGCATATGCATTTCAACAAATCAGGAAAGCAAATTAACTGTTATTTGTTCATGTCTATAAAGTGCATAAAAACCAGTTAAATTGTTGATTAAAACTTGTAAAAACCTCAGTAGGCCTTTTAAAATAAAAATCTCCCAGGTTATAACTCGAATCGTTAAAAAAAAAACTTTACGGAAGAAATCAAAAAAACAGTAGTTTAACTCGAATCTTTAAAAAAAAACTTTACTAAAATGAAAGTATTTTAATGAACTCTAAACCAGAAAGCAAAAATCAGAACAGACCGCATACATTGAAAACAAAAAACCAACCGATGATGCATACATATTTGAAATTATTCCATACTTTTAAGTGATATAGACAATCGGAATCCAACATCTTCAGGGAAAAAATCGTTAAATCAATGAATGAAAACGTCGAAGTTCCTGACAATTGGCGGTACATAAGCCCCACATGTTTGTATATTTCAAATCCCGATATCTGTATGTCTGCCAGTGTATGACACCCATATGTACGTATGTATGCATACACCGCAAACACACAAACACGCCGAGTGGTAGACACAGTGGAAAACCCAGTTGCACCCAAATGGTCCTAAAAGGTGGTTACACAACAATTCTTACACTATTGATAGGATTTAGATGCTGCACTTAAATATCTGACAGCACTCCCACACGGTATTTGGTACTCTTGATTTCTTTACAGGGCAAGTAGATTCAGAATTTTCAGATTTTAGCTCGCACGCTCTTTCACACGACTCAGATTCACCCAGGCAGAATCAGGTATTCACTTTACGTTCCACGCTCGTTTTTTGACACAACACACGCTATTTATGCACATCCACTTTCAATCCGTGCGTAATAAGAACAGGTAATATTTACAATTGATATTTCAACATTTTTTCTTTAGAAAAGTGAACCATATTTTCCTTTCAGTTTCGATTTTCCTGTATGTATCGCGTGCCAGAGATGTGTGAACACATCGATGCCGAGAGAACCGATATTTTGCGAGGTTATTTATCGATGTAATTGTTAATATCAAATCGATATTATTTATGTACAGGTTTTCTACATGGCGCGATGGACTTACATTGGATCTACATAGCTTTGAAATAGAAAAATAAACGAAAATAAATACCTATTGTTTTAAAAATAATTGTAGTAACAAATTAAAAATATTTAAATCATTTTTTTTAATTATGTTTATATATTGTCTTCTCTAGAAATCATTGGGAAAAATGTAAATATTGTAACTGTCTTGCAGTAAAATTACATTAGAATTAATTTAAAATTGTATAATTATAAATAAATAATAATAAAGGCTAAAAAAGTGGACAAAGTAACAATTTCTTTTTTTTTTAATTTGTTAAGTTTTATAACCATATTTAAAAGAAAATCTAAATAAATTTTTAATATAATTGGCATTCAGAAAAAAAACAAAAATAAACTATACAATCTTGTTATTATTTAAGTGCCAAACAAGTTCACTGGATTTTAACTAAACAACGTAAATTATAAATTAACATTTCATAACATCCAGTACCCCATATATCAATCCACTGAACATTCAAGATCATAAAAACACCAAGACTTTATTAATCAATAACATTTATTATTTACAGCTGGAGTTGTTTTTGTTTGCTCTTGCATGAATGACAAAATGCATTAGTTGGTTTCGAAATATTAGTGATTGGCGGTGCCGACTTTAACGTGAGCAGTCTAACAATTATGATACATTATTTATACACAATAAAAAAGGCATCGTTGATTTGCACTACACAAATATTATTGTATTCTCTCGTAATATTAATAAAATCACAGTGAAATATTACTGCACGCCGTAGAGTTGAAAATGTAGTTCTGGGCCTCCAGAATGTGCATTTCAGTTAAGCAGATAGCAACTAGCAGGATAATATAGCCGCTATACCGGATCGCGCGCAGAAAGTCCCACAGTTTGTCGCAGAAGATGCTCAGCAGGACGCAGTGGAGCAGGGCGTGGACATTGACGATGCGCCACGTCCAGGCGACGCAGAAGAACCAGGTGGACTTGAAGATGTAGTCCTGGCAATGCGACTGGCCGCTGCTCACGTCCTCGCGCTCCAGCATGTTCTGATAGACGGCTATGTAGCGATTCCACGCCGTCGAGCTCAACAGCAGCTGGCCGGTGAAGCTAATAACGTTCTTGGCCACCTTCCGCGTCGTGGCCTTCATCTTCGGTATCATCATCGTGGGCTCCGGCACCTTCGAGTCGCTCATCGGTATGATGGAGTAGCCCCTGCGCGGCGGATTGTTCTTCAGGTAAAAGAATATGCCCAGCAGCAGGGCAATGCAGCCGAGTCCGTCGCACAGCCCGTCCACATAGTAGCCGGATGTCCCGATCTCCGAGCGCTCGCCGCGTATGTGCTTCCGCACGCGCGCCACATGCCCGTCCAGGTCGTCCAGGAAGGTGCGGATCTGGAAGAGCAGCACGCCCAGCCGCCGGTAGCCCAGGCTGTCGGAGGCCACGAGTTTGCCCGCCAGACAGGCCACGCCCACGTGGAAAAACGATATCATGTTGGGCGTAATGAAGGCGGAGCGCGAGAAGCCAATCACGTTGTCGAACATGGTGGCCAGCGGGGCGAACAGATAATGGTTGGTGTGGTCCAGCAAGATGGCCTTGACGGTGATATGACAGAGCGGGTTTATATCACAGGATATCCAGGTGTGGTCCTCGTAGGACGGCTGCCTGTCGGCGGCGGCGGTGGGGAGTTTCGTGCTGCTGCTGCTGCTGCTACTGCTGCCCGATCCGGACTCCGAGGTGGACTGACCCACGGAAACGGGCAGGGAGACATTCGTGTGGTAGTTCCGCTCGATGGCGTAGTTGTGGATGCGCAGGTAGAGCTCCACGTCCATGAAAACGTAGAAGATGATCAGCAGGAACAGCAGGGTGAGCAGGATCTTGCTGATCTGCGAACTTGGCCCGATCATGGTGACACTTTGAGGTAGCGTTTAACACTAAATTCTTAACGAGGTGATTTCAGGGAGCGACTGTAACGAGGAAAAGTATATCAATATTGGATGGTTTACTATATACAATTAGCAAGATGTGTATTTGGAAATCTTGAAAACACCCTTCCTAAAATTAGTTCGGATAGCCTTAAAGACCAAAGTACACAAAAACCATTGCTTTCCAACACCTCAATATAATCCTTCTATATTAGAAATATGTAATCTTATCGAGGTGATTTTAGGGAGCGACTGTAACGAGGAAAGGGGGAGATGTATATCAATATTGGATGGTATATATAGTAAATACCGAACAATTAGCAAGATGTGTATTTGAAAATAAAAATCTTTAAAAATTAGTTTGGATAAGATGCTAGCCTTAAAGACCAAAGTACACACTATAATCCTTCTGTATTAAAAATATGTAATACTTAGTCATGGCAACACCTTAACATTCTTATCGAGGTGATTTTAGGGAGCGACTGCAGTGACGAAATAGTGAAAACCACTCAATATGCCCTATATTGGATGACTAAATCGGCCCAAGTAGGCATACATACACAGCAACGGTCACCCCACCCGCACACTATCTAAATCTACATACTATCGGCAGGTATTTGCGGAAGCTCTTAGCAAGGCGCTAGGAATTAAACCTGCTATTAGTAACCTTTTAACTGCCAATGACGATTAACGGGGCTTCTAATTGGCTGCATGTGTGTGCGTGCACGCACCAATCAATCAGGTGTGTGTATGTGCAGGCGTATGTGTGCTTGCGACCGTAAGATAAGTGGGCATATGGTACTGGTACTATCAGGCATTTATAAGCCCCGAATTGCCGATCGAACCCCCTATAACTGGGGCAATTGCAGTTTATAGAGTCTATAGGGGCTCTACTCACCGCCTTGCTGAATCATTGCACACGAATATACACTGTATCAAAACATTCTAGTGTTTATCACTCTGATTTGTGGAATTTCGAGCAACTGGTTGGAGGCTCAACGCGCGGACACTGTGGCACTTAGACGTAGTCAACAACGGCACATAAATATATAGTTATTGCTAAAAACACACGGATAAATGTAAAAGTTTATGTTAATTGTTCGTAAATTTCGTAAATTAATAGCCGAGCAGAGTGGCCAAAGCAGCGCGAACTATCGGCTGGTAGAGATGGCCCGCCGAACTATCGATGACTCTGTGGCTTCACCAAATTCAACAAGTCCGGTCACGCTGGTCTGATAAACTTTTCAATTTCAGTCTATTTTGTTAGTTTTAAATTGTTGTAATAATAGCTATTAATTACTTTTGTAACACGAGACCATGATTGCGAGGACCCTGAGGGCCGCGGGTCGGCAAGGTCGCCACCTGTTGCTGCCGCGGAGCACCTTGTGTCGCCCGTTTCACGCGATCCCGGCAAACTTCAGCAAGGCCTACGACCACGATGGGAAAACAAAAGTCACTATTTTCAACACCGAGACGGATCTGGGACTCATGGTCACCGGGTACAGTCAGTATGGATTCAGGCTCAACAACGACATGGTCCTCATAGGACCCATTACCGTTTTTCCCAGGTTTGTGGAAGAGGCGGATGCAATGGGCGGCCCAATTATGTAAACAAGTGCATGTGATTTATGCTCTAGCATTCGGTATCCCTAAGGTTTTGAAATTCAAAAATGCAGTTTTTGAATAGATTGGGTAGAAGGCCAGTAACTTCTCTTAGAAACCTATGAAAATATATAGATTTTCATTTAAAATTTCTTAAATGAATTTTAAATAAATGGTAATATTAAGGAAGTATAAGCTTGTTTTCAGTCGGTTTCAAAATTTTAATAATTTTATTTCCTAACTCGAAATTAAAAGCTGTAAAATATATACAATATCTCCTCTAGACAAAAATCGCATGTTTTAAGAACACAAATTACAAATTCAAAAACTTTCAAAACTTACATACAGTTTTATAATTTTTCAAATTATCTAAAATCTTTCAGAAATGCGCAACAGTCTTTACCTAAAATCTCAATTTGAACAACATTTTTCTCACTAAAAAATGTTTATTTTACAGATCAGTTCTGTCGTGGAACGTGAATAGTTTCGAGGACATCAACGAGGACAGTCTGAGCCTCTTTCCCACTCTGGAACCCAAAATCGACGTCCTGATCATTGGCATTGGTGACCAAGCGCCGCCGCCGGCTCTCTCCAAAAGAATCATAGAATTCATGAAGAAGTACAAGATAAACGTTGAGGTTCTGCGCACTGAGCAGGTAAGTAACACCAACCTCTTATAGAATCACTATTAATTTAAGATATTTCCAGGCCTGTGCCACCTTTAACTTCCTGAATGCCGAGAGCCGAATGGTGGCCTGCGCGCTGATACCCCCACTGCACCTCACCTACAACGAGAACGACATTCTGCAGGCGAAGCTGCGGAAGAAGGAGCTCTACGAGACCGAATAGGATTACTTAGATACATCTAATGCTTGTTTGAAAGGCTGGTGCTTTGTTAGGAATTAAACTGTTTTCTAAAATTCAGATTTCTTTATTCGTAAAGGCATAGTTGTAAAGTTTATAAAAGCTAGCAATCTCGCAGTCAAACTGCACTTTCCTCTCCTTGTCGATTTTATTTCCCCGTTCAGTCGGCTGTGGCGCCGGGATAGCGCTCGATGAGCATGGCCACGCCCTGCCCACCAGCCGCACAGGCGGCAACCACTCCCAGTTTGCCGTCCTCGCGAACCAGGCGGTTGGCCGTGTGCATGCAGAGGCGGACTCCGGTGGCGGCGAACGGGTGGCCAATGGACAGGGAGCCGCCCCAGTTGTTCCACTTGGAGAGATCGGGGCTGCCGACCTTCTCGCTGAGGCCCAAGTACGTCTTGCAGAACCAGTCCGAGTCCAGGGCCTTCAAATTGGCCACGATCTGTCCGGCGAATGCCTCGTGGATCTCCCAGGAGTCAATATCCTTCAGGCTGAGTCCGGACTTCTTGAGGAGCTTGGGAATTCCGTAGGCGGGTCCCAGCAGCAGCTGGTTCACGGGATCCTGGGACACGTACAGGAAGTCGCGCAGATATGCCTTGGGCTTCAGGCCCAGCTGCTTGGCCTTCTCCTCGGTCATGATAATGCAAGCGGAGGCACCGTCTGTCAGGAAAGATGCATTCGCAGCTGTCACAGTGCCGTAGGGCTTCACAAAGGCGGGCCTCAGCTTGGCCAGGCTCTCGGGACTGGACACACGTATGCCGTTGTCCTTGTCCACGATCTGATCCACTCCAGACACCTTGAACGGCACCAGATCGGTGAAGTAGCCCTTCTCCTGGGCCTCCTTGGCCAGAGTGTGCGAACGCAGGGCATACTCATCCTGTTCGCTGCGGGAAACGTTGAAGGCCGAGGCCAGGCGATCCGCCGAGTGACCCATGGTCTCGCCGGAGGAGAACTCCGCCACGGCGGGCAGTTCGGGGGCCAAGAAGTCGGGCCTGAAGGTGGACAGCAGGGACAATCGCTGGCCCAGGGTCTTGGCCTTGTTGGCTCTCAAAAGCAGGGAGCGCATCTTGCGCGAGTGACGGATGGGCACATCCGACATGAACTCCACGCCGCCGGCCACAATCACATCGTAGGTGTTGGTGGCAATCAGGCCCATGCCCGTGGTGATGGCCTGCAATGTTTCTGGGATATAGATTATATACTTTAAAGAACAATTTAGGGTGATCTTACCGCATTGGAACTGATGCAGGCCATGGTGACGGTGTGGGCGGGCGTCTTGTTGCTGAACCCGGCTGCCAAGGCTGCCTCCCTGGCAATGTTGGAGGTCTTGACCTCCTGGATAACGCTGCCATAGACAATGTAGTCGATGAGCTCCTTGTCCAGCCGGTTCTTTTGCAGCAACGAACTGTTGATTTAATTGGGTTAGGAAATCTACTTTATTTTAAGGACTCCAGGATATAGAAAACCTACAGGAGCGAGTGCCTGGCCAGTTCATGGGGCATCAGCTTGGAATAGGAGGTTCCGGAGGTCAGGAAAGGTGTGCGAACTCCATCGACCAAGACAATATTCTGGCCGTTTCTCTGTTTGGGTTGGGGATTCGCCACAGCGGCCGACAAAGTGCGGCATTGAACTGCAATAGAGGGTTATTACATGGCATTATCCTTCAGTGCTTTCTAATTTCATTTTATTTTTAATCATGATGTACTTATTCTACTATCTCTCCCCCCCATAAGACGTCACTGCCAATTTCGAGTTTGGACTTTGGCCCTTTCAGATTCAATCGGCGGCTGCTGCCACAAAACGTTATGAATTATCAGAGGCAAAGTCCAACCAGTGCAGCATATAGTAATGATCATTACATTGGTCACAGGATTACTATAAAAAAACTCACCTTTCCTGGAAACGTTCAACAGGTTGAAGGCGTTACCCTTGCGGCAGACATTTTGTAGGCTCATTTTGCGAAAGTTTTCGGATTTCTTTTCTCGCTTTTCTCGGTGTTGCTCGGACTGCAGCTGTTTGGCCAGAGGTGGACGCCGGATTCCGCGGTGCGCTATCGATATTCAATGAGTGCGACAATCGGAAGTTTGGTGAAAAAGCTTGGGAGTTTTGAATACCCTTTCAGGGATTATTTTTGAATAGAAAACCTTTTTTTAAAAAAACTAATTTTTCAGGGAAAATTTGTATATTATATTTTTTTTAATTTATGTATATATAAGTAAAAATATAAACATTTTTTATAAAATATAAAATTTATTTTAAATCCTCTTAAGATATTGTATCGGATTATCCTTTTATCCTTTTTTATTATTTCTTTTTTCTGCTATTTCTTCTATACTTTTCACCTTTATCTATTCAAATCTAAGTCTAAGAAGACCCATAAAGGGATAGATTTCTCCAATGTCCTTGACCCTCGCTGCGTCTCGATTATCCTATTAAATGTACTGTTTACGATGTCCAACTGCCCGCTCATTCGTCACCTACGAATTGTGCACATACCCCTTCCCATAATAGAAAACCATTAGCAGTGACCTTGAACCGCAATGAACGTAAATGATAACTGTAACAGAATAAGGATCTGTATGCAAATGGGTAAGGAAAAATTTTTCTTTCAAAAACCCTTTTTTTTAGATAATACAATACTGTTTAACCTATGCTGTTTTAATGTTTATAATAAATAACTTAAACTAATGTATACTATCCTACGCCTTGTGATCTTTATTACTTCCTCAAACTAATGATTTGCATACGAATTCGTTTCAGTGAGTGCCTCATTGCCATCGGAAGAAATTAGGTTCAAGGACGAATGTGATTGTTCTTCAAAATGGGATAGTAAAGGGTAGGATGCAAATGTAGGCGGCGTGTGCATTTCAAATGACCGATCGTTAAGGACTCACAATGAAAGCAAATAATGAAAGGATAGCAACTTATTGGTGATCAAGGTGAAATCTTTTGGAATGTGAAAACCATGAGGCTCTATTTTCAATTTTAGAAAGTATGTAAGTGATTTTTATTTAAAAATTTAAATATTCTTTTAAAAAGTGGTATTTTTATGTTTTTAGAAAGCAGGTGTGTTTTTAAAGCGATCTGTTATTTAGAAAAATAATTTGCTAAGAACTCAAGTGGCAGAATTGAAAACTATTCTCAGTAATTTTATTTAATGTGAATATTAAAACAAAAGGCTTTATTGCTCTAATTTATTTTTTTTTATAACGATAACTTAAGATACAAATCTATCTTTGATATGCATAACAAATATTTATTGAAGAGTGTTATGTGAAACTCAATTCACTTTCACCCATGAAAAAAAAATAAAAATTAACAAAAAGTGAATAAAAAGATTGGTTACAAAAGTTTAGCAGTGTTGCAGTCTAGGCGTCTAAGTCTGGAATGAGTTTCCCACAAGCGTGCCGTCCAAGTATCCAATTGTCAGATGGGTGCAATCTTTTTAGTCTTCTTCTGTTCATAGGTCTGGAAAGTGTGAGGGCAAGTCTGTTTGTGTGGGAGATGAGTCTTGATCTGTAGCGAGTGGCAGAATTGGTGATAGATTTACAAACAGGATTAATTTTGAGATCTCGAAAAATAGTAGTGTTTCTTGTATAATATGGGGCGTTTATCATATGTCTTAAAATTTTGGATTGGCAGGATTCAACTCTTTTTATAGAAGTGTTACAGGCAGTGCCCCAGAAGTGTATACCCCAATGTAAACTAGGCATCAAGGTTGCTTTGAAGAGCCGGGTTTTCGCCGTGATCGATAGTCCACTGCCCGGACGAAGAAGCCATCTCATTTTCCCCGCTTTTTGCCTTACTGAAGCGCAGGTTGCCACAATGTGCTGCTTCCAGGTAAGCCGCCTGTCCAGAGTGAGCCCAAGGTACTTAACCGTGTCCGAGTGCTTTATTGGAGTCCCGTCTAAGGTTAGGCGATAAGTGTTCAGCCTGTTCAATGAAAAGGTGGCATGCTGAGACTTGGCAGGATTAACTGCGATGTTCCACCTCGACGCCCAGGCCTCAAACTCATTTAGCATGTCCTGCACCATATCTGTCGCCTCTCTTCGCAGAGCACTTGTCGCCAGAAATGCTGTGTCATCTGCATAGGTAGCTGTTAAAACATTCCTGCCTCTGGGCGACGGAAGGTCCGAGGTGAATATTGTATACAAGACAGGACCCAGCACACTTCCTTGAGGGACTCCAGCAAGAATAGGCCTTGAGGCAGATTTGGATCCTCGAACATCCACCTGGAAGGTTCTACCAATTAGAAATGAGCGAAGGAGATCAAAGTATGTCAGGGGAAGAATGGGTTTCAGCTTATAGAGCAAGCCACAGTGCCAGACTCGATCGAAGGCTTGCTTGACATCTAGGAATACTGCGCAACAATACTTTTTCGCCTCAAATGCTTTAAGGATATGGTTGACAACCCGATGCATTTGCTCAGCAGCGTTATGCAGACTCCTGAAACCAAACTGATGATTTGGAATTGCATTCTGAAACACATGAACACTAAAAAGCCTTTTTAGTAAGATTCGCTCAAAAATCTTAGAGAAGGTTGGCAATAGGCTTATAGGCCGAAAAGAATCTGCACAGCGGGGAGAGACGCCTTTCTTGGGGATCATAACAACATTCGCATGCTTCCACTGCTCCGGATAATATAAAAGAACAATCATAGCATTAAAGATACGCGTAAGGAACGAAATAGCTGCTACTGGCAAAGCTTTAACTACTTTTCCGTCAATGCTGTCATGGCCAGGGGCTTTGTTCATCTTCAGTCGCTTTATTTGGTCTTTAACTTCTTCTGCTTCAATAGGTAAAATTTGAGAAGCTAGACCAGAGGGAACATCATCAAAGGCTTCTGTAATAGCAGTCTCTTCATCTGTGGCCAAATCAAAAGGCTTAAATCTTTCTTCCAAAGAATCAGCGAATTCCTTAGCTATTTCATCATCTTTATTTGCCCAGGTACCGTCCGATCGAAGCAAGGGAAACTTCTGGAGAGGCTGCCGTTTAAGCCCGCGAGTGCATTTCCACAGTTCAAAGCCTCGATCAGCATCCGGATCGATAGCACTAAGTTTCCGGACAAAAAATTCGGACTTAGCATCATAAAGTGCTTTTCTTAATAGAGTATCAGCTCTTTTAAATATTGCTAAATCTTGTGGATGACGCGTTTGCATCCAGCGTCGCCGGAGTGATCTCTTCTGCCTAACCAGCGCCGTTTCTCTGGTGTTTGAAAGGGCATTATTTGGCTGTGGAACAGCAGGGCGATTACCGATAGCAGTGGATGCGGCAGCGGCAGATTGAATCTTTAGAGTAAGGTCACTAACAGCTGTATCAATATCCAGAGGACAGTTCAGATCAGCAGATTCATCATTCTCAATAAGGATTGTAAGGTGATCCCTAAAACGTCCAATGTTAGCCCGACGAGACAGCAGCCTTGGTGTTGTAAGTCGGGGTGAAGTAGAAGCGCATAAAAGTATTTCAAGCGGAATGTGATCAGAACTAAGTTCATGAGATTCATGTACAGTCAGAAAGTTGGACGAGATACCCTTATAAATAGCAAAATCGATTGCCGTTGGATTTCGCCTTGCATCAGAAGGAAAGTGAGTTGGTCCTCCTGTAGCTAAGACTTGCAGACTTGAAGACGTAATAAAATCTAAAAGCTGAACACCTCTGGGTGAAGAGCGGATACAACCCCAAAATTGATTGTGAGCATTCCAGTCGCCAGCTATGATAAAACGGTTTGAAAATTCGCTAAAAAGTTGTCCAAAATCTTGAGCAGTCCATAAAAAGGAGGGGGGCAGTAAATAGAAGCAATCACGATGTCTCCCAAGTCCGTGCTTAAGGTAATTGCAGCAGTTTGACATTTTACAGTAGAGTTGGTACTGTAAGGGGAGTACTGCAAGTGAGAGCGGATTAAAATAGCAGCACCTCCTCGAAGACGGTCAGAGGGATGATTAGCCGTCAATAAATCATATCCAAAAATTCTGAAATGTGAGCGGCTGTTAAAATGCGTTTCGTTAATTAGCATCACGTCAATTGAATTAGCCGTAAGATAGTGCTCTAACTCGAGATTTTTGCCAGTGACACCATTGGCGTTCCAAAATGATAAACGAATGCCTAAACTAGACATGTCTCCTGATCTTAGACGCATCAGAAGGCGAACTGCCGGTAAACTGGTTCATAAGAAGTTCCATCATTTTCAACATCATTGACATCATCTGGTCAATACGGGAGATAAGTATTTCAAAGCCAGCACTAGGCGGAGGAGGCTCAGTAACGCGTTGCATGGGCTTGGAAGTGCTAGATCCAATAGCCGGGGAAGGTAAAGCTGGGCCCCAAGCACTTTGGGCAGGAAGAGGGGCAGGTACAAATTTATTTGATGGTTGTTTTTTTATTGTTCCCGATTTGCGACGAGCAATTGCTTCTAGAAAAGCTGGACATTTGCGGTATCCTGCACTGTGGTTAAAACCGCAATTAATGCACTTAAATTGATCCTGAGACGTAGCAGGGCAAACAGGACTTCGAGACTCATGATCACCACCACATTTTGCACATTTGGGAGGTATGAAACAGTATGTTTTTGTGTGTCCAAACTCCTGGCAGTTATAACATCTAACAACTTCATCTCGGCGTTCAGGAGGGACGATAGTAATTGACTGATAAGCCAATGATTTAATGTCATAGACTTTGACATTATTTGTCGATGACTCTAGCTCAACAAAGAAAATATTGGGCCTGTGACCATTGTTCTTACCCGGGGGATTATAAACATTGCGGACAACGTGCCCAGCGGCGCCTAAATCAGCTTTAATATCTTCAGGATCCGTAGACGAATGTAGGCCTTTGACGACAATCCTGAAAGATCGATCACTTTTCAATTGCCAAGAATTAAACGGAATATTATTACTCCACAAAAGTTGTTGAACTAATTTGTATGTATCACCATCGAAAGGAGATACCCTCACTGTAGCAGGTCCAGTAATCTTAAATCTTATATTGGTTGTGGTGGCCTTGATCAGATTCATAAGTTGCTTGACATCAGTAACACCCTTTATCACAAAGGCGGGCGGACGTGGTTCAGATTTGGGTGCTTTAGACGACGGAATAGGAGTACCAGAAATACCCTTTGACTTTTGGGAAATTCCACCACTATTGCTAGAAGTTATTGTACTCTTACTAGTCACAGGGGGCTGGCAGGAGTTTAGGGGCTCCGATGGAGGAGACTGGGTGTCTATACGATCATTAGGGAGTGGGTTTTCAATGTCTTCATCCGATAAGAGGGCAAAGTTGTTTCCATGACCTGAATATTTTTCACCAGGAGATTCCGAGTCCTCTGATCCAAATCTATCAGTAAAATATAATCTATGGCCTTCAGCTCGTGTACACTATTCATTAACATCCTTTTCTTAAAAATGCATTGATTTCAGTGAAAGCTTAAGTTCAGTAGGGTTATTATACATATATCTTATCTTATTTATATTTTTAACATGTCTTAAGCTCAAAAGGAAGAAGTGACCGATGTAATAATTTATAAGACCTATCTTGTCGCATCGGGATAAAACAAATAAATTAAAAATTAAAAATTTTAGGGCTTACCTTTACCACATACATTACGTGCCCTAGTGAAAGCTCAAGTTTTGGCGGGAAATATCCGACGCGGCTGAACTGACGGCTCTCTCTCGAAAAATACTTCACTGACACACTGTAGGCAGCGACGGTTGTTTTTGCTGGCGAGCGGTTATATTCGACGAGCGGCAGAGGCGTCGGCAGCGCGATCTCTCGGCGAAAAGAGCACTTCGAAAAGGCGGCACTGCTCGCAGTCAAAAAAAAAGGCTCAGAGTGAACGGACGTGCGCGCGCGCAAACTGAAAGCAGTGGAAAAGCAAAAGCAGAAGCTGAAATCGAAAATCGAAAGAGAGGCAAGAGATCGGATCTCCCCCTCGCTCGCACTCGCAGTCGCGCTCGCGCCAGAAAAAGTTTTACCAATCAAGTTTTTTATTTCGCAATAAAACAAAAAGAAAAAAACAAAACTTCAACCTAGTTAAAGTTAATGTTGCTGTTGTAGTTGTGGTCGTGCTGTTGTAGTGAACTTTTGTGAGTGTGCGCCTCCCGTCTGTGTGCTTTGGCATTGTGTTGGTGGATATTTCTTGCGTTGCGTCGCAGAGCAAAAGAAGAGGAAGAAGAAGCAGCGGGAAAGCCAAAGAGAAATTTCAATATCCGCTCCTGCAAAAAAATAGGATTTGGCCAAAGTATAAACAAATCACACGATGATCAATGAAATCGAAAGCCGTCAGTGAGCATTATGCACTATATAGCCGATCGCAGGGAATAAGCGATCAGAACAGAAAGTGCAAAGTGAAGTGACTATATTCGTCCTGGGATTAACTAACTGCTGAATAACCAACTTAATGAAAGAGGTAAGTGAGTCGCGTTGGTGGGCAAGCTTTTCCGAGATTTTCATCATCTCTGGCATTGCAACATCGCCGAGATAAAAAGTTGGGGTTTCGGGTTTGGGTTTTAGGTCTTTTTGTTGTGCACGATACGTGTTTTTAACTCTTTGTGCACCTAAGCACACAAAGCAGCCAAGGTCAGAAACTAACTTAATAGTGGTAGAGAAAACAGAAAACAGAAAAGCAGAAAACTGAAAACATTCCAAGCTCGGTTTGTACGGCTTGTGTCGTATCCAAAACTTCGCTTCGAAGCTTCGGTTCGTGGCGATCCAATCTTCGTCGTCATGAACTGAACATCATTAGCAGTACAACAACAACAGGCGCTGGAGACAAGAAAGGCTTAGTGACCTTCATCGCGTGCTTTTGTCTGCGTAATACTCCCCGTGTGTTTGTGTGATCGTATGCATGTCATGAAATTTGAAGACATACATTAGCGCACGCACACACGCATTGGACCAACTTAACTGCTTTCCAATAAGAGTGAAGGTGAAAAAGCACGCACATACATACACACATACAGTTACAGGGCGATCGCGCAGATGTTACAAAATATGCTGTTAGCAGGGGCATGGGCGTAGGTTTTCCACAAGAGGGGTTTTGGTGTAAGAGGTTGTTTAAGTAGAAGAAATTTATAATATACCTTAAACGTAATTGTTAGTAAATCCCCTTTCCCCTAACATGTGAAAGCTTTGATTTCTCCGAATTACAAATATTCTAAAACGCAGATGTCGATCCAAGATGTAAAATACAAAGCTGACGCATTACAAGCCCCAAGCAAACCTCTTTCCTATCTTTCTCCGTATCGCCCAGCTTATGGAGTTATGTAATTCAAATTTGGGTCACTTTTACGAGTGTAGCATTTACAACAAGTACGAAAGACGGCGACTCTTTGCCATTTTCCCTCGCTTCTTTTTCAGCAAGAGAGCTTTCGTGAAAGGGGAAAGAGAGCGGGAGAGAGCGAGAAAGGAAGAGAATGCGGGAGAGCGACAGAGAGGGAGGAAAACGGGTTTGCCCGCCCCGCTCCCTTTTGTTTTTTAACTTTTTACCTTTTACGAGCTTATAATACTTTCAAAACCCTCCGTAGCTTTCTCTTTTGAGGCCTTCGATCCGACGCGATCCGTTCGGTTCCAGTTCCATTTCCAGTTCCCGTTCCCGTTCTCTTCCACTTGGAAATAGACACATGTGCTTTATATTCGTAAACACTCACGCAATCTGCAATCCCACACAATCTTACATTCATACATACGGACATATATGCACAGGGGAAAGAGTAATTGTAAAACTACATTTACATTACATGGGAACGATGACGACGACAAAAATCGGAAAGTGTGGAAATACACAAACGATTGCGTTCTCCGTCTATATGTCTGGGTGTCTGGTTTGTTGTTTAGCTTTATACCCCGATCTTTAGACATACAGACGAACACAAGCATAGAGAGGAGAAAAGCTTTTTGTGAAAGGTGATTTTATGCGCGCATTGTGAGTTAGCGCGTTTTGTTTTGTCTCGCTCCTCCTCGCGATCGCCTTCGCCCCGTCTGCTTTGTCCCTTTCATTCTCATTTCCAGTTTGCCAGTATGTGTGTGTGGGTCTCGCGAAGAGAGGAGAAATGTTGAGAAATATATATCCATATCCCTTCTTCAATTTAAGGAATTATTACCATGAACTTTCACCTTTTGATTGTCTTGAATGTTGTAATGATCTTTAGTCATGCTTTGGTCGCCAGCGGTTGCGAAATCCCCTGAAAAACTTGTAGAAAGTGAATGGCCCTGATTCGTGGAAGCATAAATTATCCATACATGCTTACTTCTATATATGTATGGATGCACGTAGATGTTCTGTCAATACCGTTTTGGAATTTATCTAGCGTTAGAATGAGCACACCAGATCCCCCACTCCAGTGCAAAAAAGCGAAAAAAACGATCCATGTTCAGCTTTCGCTTCCCATTCCCATGAAAAATACAACATTCCCATTTCCATTCCCTTGCTCTCCGCCAAGCCAGTCATTCAAGTTTTATTGAAAGTGAACGTTTCGTTTCGTCTCCATGCAAAAAGAGCGGTGGAGCCGAGGGGGGGAGAGCAGCGGAGCGTAACAAAAAGCAAGACTATCTTTCTGAAGTCTTTTTTTCGAGATCTGCTGCTGCTGAACTTTAGCTTCGCTTTTTGGTTTATTATTTTTTGTGGGGCCATGCAGACACACACTCACTCACAAAAAGAGCTTACAAGCCATGCTCTTGCACAATACAATAATGGTGGCCCCCCAATAAACCCACACTTGCAAAAGCCCCATTGCACTACACACACACAGAAGCGCGCAGACCTTACACAGATACAATCGGATACACAGAAAGAAATAGGCGGATCGATATTAGGGAGATGGTTTATCACGTTATTTTGAGTTTAAAATTTTGAATTATCAAAGTAGTTTGATTAACGAAAAATAGGATTTTTATTACATGTAATACATTTTTCCATTTGAGTAATTATTGACGGAATACAATATACGACAAAAATTAAATTTTAATTTCACCTAATATAAAAAGTCCCGAGCTTATAAAAAAAATGCATTACACTAAACATAATTGTTTAAGATAATTTGCTTTGACATCTGAAATTTAATTGGTATATCATTCAAAAACTTATATCAATTATTATGATATCGTATAACAATTTCTTCCTGTGTACACCGATACAATGGCACAGGCCAGCGAATTTCAGTGTAACAATTTCATCGCATAAAAGAAACAACAACAACAAACATCACAGCGGGAAAGCTTTTTTGGAGGCAACACCACCAACAACAAAACCAACCACATAGCGGGGCTCTATGAAGTGAAGCTTTCATCTTTTCCAACAAGACACAAACACACTCTCAGGCATATGATGATTGTGGGTTGCACTATTACAAAAACACCAAGTACAGAAAAACCTAAAAACCTGATTAGTAAACATTTACTATTGCTTTATGGGAAGTTTGTTAATGCCAGCACACACATACTCGTCCATTCGCATGCTGAAATTCCAGTAATGTGTCGCATTAAACCGTTATGGAAAGCACTTTCGAATCTTTCCACGATCCTTTTTCTAACACAAAGCGTTGTGTGTTTGTGTGCGTGTATGACACAATCGTTGGCAAGAGGAAGGTAGAGAGAGTGAAAGAGAGGGCGACACTTTCGGTGAAAGGCAGATTGTGTAATACCAAAGTAAAAAAGTAACAGACTCAGATGCAGACTTCCCATTCAAAACTTTCTATTTCACTGGCTTTACTTTTACCACATGCTCCACATACATTCGTAAATATCCAAACAAGAGTTGAACGGTTCAACTTCTATAACTCGAACTTCCGTAAGTCGGATTTTATAACGCCCATAACTCTTGAACTCCCATTACTTTCATCTTTTCGTCTGCGCATCTCCATAAGTTGCGGTTGAAGATACTTTTCTCCATACTGATACTGATTTCCAAATTCATCATATTTCAACATTTTTAAGTTAGATTCTTTCTAAATTAGGGTTCTTTAAAAAGTTCGATAAGCTAGGAAAATTTACTTTCTGAAAACTACACATGACTTTGTAATATGTAAGCATTTACCTCTCTAGAAAATTATTTCTTAAGATATTTAAGAACTATTTATGTTATATTTATATTTTTGTTAAACACTGTTGACTGTTTTATTAAGTCCAAAACATTCGAAATCATTATCGGTGCTAGAAGTTCGCTTACTAATAACAACTGATAACATTTGTATAACTAAACTTGTCGTAGGTCATTATATGGTACGAGATTTAATCTTAACACAAATGAATTTTAGTTGATATTTACGACTGCGGCGGTTTTTTTTTGCGTACTTCTGAAGTTCATATCAGCATTTTTTAAGACACTTTTTCCTATATAGGGAACTAGAGAATTTATACATTATAGTTTATGTGGGACTCTGGGCAATTTGACACCCATAATCTGGGCCAAAGAAATAGCAGAAATCTAACGATCCCCGGCATACTTGCTCTTCCTCTTGCAGTTTCAAAGAATGTTGATGTTGCAATACAGCAAGCATGGCGAGTGCATACTCAAAGAAATCGGAGCAGCCTTCAGAGGGGAGCACCCTGCGGACCTGACCATCGTCTGCGAGAACAAAGTGAAGCTGCACGCCCACAAGTTGGTCCTGGCGGCCGCCAGTCCGCTGATAAGGTAAACCCTCTTGATTTGAAGCCTCTAAATTAAACTAACTCCTTGGGTATTCTTCAGGAACCTGCTGGAGGACACCCACTTGAGCGACTGCTCGACCACCGTGTACTTTCCCGACGTGAATGCCACCTACTTCAAGTTCCTGCTGGACTTTCTGTACTCCGGTCAGACGTGCATCACCTCGCGGGATGTGAACTACCTGCACGACCTGCTGCTGCTGCTGCAGATCAAGTCGGACAGCTGGAAGACCACCGATTCCGCCTATCTGAGCAGCAAGTGCGGCGGTCTGCGGGAGCGGACGGACAGGCGAAAGCAGCAGTACACTAGCCCGCAGAATGTGGAGCCGGATCAGACGCTAAAGTACGAGGTGGACAGCGTGGATGAGTCGCGCAACGCGGCCGACTTCTCGTCCGCCTTCAACTCCGGCGACAATTGCGAGAGTGCGCCCGAATGCGAGCGAAGTGGAGGCGGCGGGGGGCACAACAAGGAGGAGGACGAGGACGACTGCACCCACAAGGACAACAAGAGCGACAAAGACACGGACGAAATTGTAAATCTCTCGAATGCCCCGCCTAGCGGAACCAGCGGCAGCAACAGCAACATCAGCAGCAGCAGCAACCACCAGCATCAGCAGCATCAGCACCACCACCACAACCACAATAACAACAATAATAATAATAACAACAACAGCAGCAGCTCAGCTATAAATCCCGTCAACCTTTCACTCGACCTTCGGACAAAGAACGAGAACTCGGCGGGCCGAACCCTGGGCTCCGGATCCGAACACAGTGGCATCGATCTGGCCGTGACTGCCAGCGAGAGCACAAAGCGCAAGGGCCTGTTCTTCGACTCGCACAAGGACGTGATGAAGCCGCTGTCGGATGGCTCGGATATCAACAGCTCGCCGGAGAACTACGTGGTTACGCCGCACCGGAAGCGGCGACCCGGATTCCACAACACGCAGAGCGACAACCAGCCGTTCACCTCGTATCCGCACAGTCTGCTGGAGGAACTGCGCCTGGCCAAGTCGACGACATCGCCCATTTCGGGCTTCGGATCGGAGAAGAACATGCTGGCGCATTTGGAGGATGGAGCGCTCAACGGGGACACCCTGACGCCGGACAGGAAGCATCTGCTGGAGGCGCAGCGCAATCGAGCCCAGAGTCCCGAGATGCCGATGCACCTGGGCCCCCAGTTCGTGTACCAGTGGCAGTCCAACCAGAACGCAGCCATGTCCGCAATGCCCAACCTGCAGTCGCGACTCTCTAGTCTGTCGCACATCAGCCTAAATCTCGATCATCCGGAGGGGCGCAGTGGGTCGGCCTCGGGTTCGGGATCGAATCTGGGCGGCAGCAACACCCACGCCTCCTCGGTGCGGGAGTATCGATGCGAGTACTGCGGCAAACAGTTTGGCATGTCCTGGAACCTCAAGACCCATCTGCGCGTCCACACGGGCGAAAAGCCGTTCGCCTGCCGCCTGTGCGTGGCCATGTTCAAGCAGAAGGCCCACCTGCTGAAGCACCTGTGCTCCGTGCATCGAAACGTCATCACCACCACCAACGGGGCGGACACGGAGAACCGATACAGCTGCTGCTTCTGCTCCATGTGCTTCGAATCGGTCCAGGAGCTCGTCCGCCACCTGTCCGGCCACCACAACAACCTGCTGCTGACCAAGAATCTGCGCGAATAGTGTCCCGGGCATTCGGCATTCGCATCCGAGAGTATCCCATCTGTCCGATCCGATTCGAAACGATCCACTGGGATCCCAAGGCGATCCGCCGGACGGACAACTGCAAAGAGACCTGAATTTTAAATAGTAGCAGTAGCAGATTTAATTGCCTATTGTATAAATATGTAAAATCTAAATTTATATCATAAGTTTACCAACGCAACACATTCACGCGACTCTGCTCGATCATATTTCACCCAACGCCAACGGCCTGGAGCTCCACGTCCTCGAACCGGTGGCCACTCACGTTGTTTTCTCATTTAAGTTTTATTCGACATCCAATCCAAGCAAATGCACCCCACTACCACTCCCACTACGACCCCCAACTCTTTTTTAAGCGGCTGGTCCATTCACAGTGGAGCACTTATTTGTAAGCATATGTTTATACGCAAGGTATTTTAATTTCTATTGTATTTCCAACCCGTTTTACATGAACTTCATTACCTAATCCTTACACCTAAACCTACATTTTGAATAGTTTTTGCTACACTATTTTGTGTTAAGATTTTACATATTCCCTCCTAAAATCGCCAATTAAAGTGTGTAAAGTGTACAGTATAATTTCGCAAGCTCGTAATAAAATCAGAAAAGCATTTCCGTTTTGTTTATACTCTTTCAACCATTTTTTAGAAATATATTCTATGTTAAACCGATGCTGTGTTTTGTGTAAAATTTAATAGGGGAAGGTGAATTTATAAAGGGTTGAATTTTTATTGTTGTTTTCAGCAGGTTTTTAATTATATCGAAAAAAAAAAACATTTTAATAAATTTAAATTTAATCTTTAGATAAAGCTTTAACTTTGATTTTGGCGACTTGAAAATCCGTTACTACTTTAGTATTTTATGGGTATTTTTTTTCTGATTTGGTATTATTGAAAGCCTGAGTTGGCATCCCTAGTCGCATAATTAATAATTTATAAATTGTTCGTATTTAACAAGGCTTAATAAAAAATGTATTCAAATGTCAAATATTTTCTATTTTAAAAGGAAGTTAAATTTTATTAACAGATTTATATTAAAGTCAATTGTTTAAGCATTTATGAGCAACATTTCAATCCACAAATCATTACGTAATTGTTTATCAAAGAAATCAGTATACATTTAAAAAAATTTTTTAGGTAATTAACTTCTTTAAACCAAGTTTTGTGTGAAGAAAACCACAGACTTGCGCCCTTTTTAAACTCCCCCTTTGAACAGTAACGACTTTTGGCGCCCAAGTGGCGCTGTCATCGAAACGTGATTGCAACCGAGGCGACGGTTATAGATAATATTCGCACTGCTGGTCGCTGAAGTATAACAAAACAAGGAGCCAACTGGTCAGACCGTCGAATGCGTATTTTCGACTGCGGACGATTTCGAGTCGCTCGGAGTTAACGTTAACTGTTATTTTTAGTTAAAAATTGCATCCGATAAGTCGGGAACGCGAGTTACAATCCGCGACTATGTGGTGCATAAAGACGAGCATCCAAAAGATAGGAATCTGAAGAAGAATCGGGCGAAGAACTCAACTCCAGATCGAAAATCAACATTACCCACATCAGTTTGAGAGTCCCAATACCACTGCAACATATATGCACACAATCGCATTCGGATTCAGTTTACTAACGGTAGTTCAGTGATTGTGGGAAGGGGATAGCGTGAGAGAGGATAAAGGATAACGGAGAAGGATGGCATTGCCAAAGAAGATAAAATGTTTTAAATATTTGGTTTACAGCTATGTGGTGCTCCTAGCGGTAAGTTGCATTGGTATTTGTCCATCCAAACGGGGGCATAATTACATGCTTGTCAAATTACATAAGGTTACATTACACGCACATAAGTGTGAATGTGTGCGGGTCTGGAGATTTCAAAAAAAACATTTTCTTCAGACACCTCTGTGATAAATCCAATAACATACCCTTCCCTCTTGTTTTTCCCCTGACAAAATGAATTATTTCATTCACGAAAGTATGTCAAATGTACTTCATGTAAATCCATTCAAGTGATGTACTTTTACTCCGTGTAGACAACATTATTGATACATATTCCCCAGTGCATTTCTACATCCCTTTGTGTACATTGTACATACATACATGCATAAATCATACTCCGCTGACAGGATATAGACTTGCGTTTTTGGTCCCGACTTGGAGTGACCTTGAGCTACTTAAAGCTGCGCCTAAGTATGTATATGCCCACTCTTACACACACACATGCGTGCACATAAGGCTCCTCTTTGCATGTGACGTCAAAAGGGAGTAGACCTCAACATCTGTAATATATAGTATATCGTACATCCCGAATACACACAGTGCAGTTAAAGCCCCGTCCAAGGACACGGCATCGAAAGTGCGGGCCTTGAGATGAAAAACATCTGCCCGTGATAACAGCAGCCTCCCGAAATCTTTGCAGCTAACTGGAGCTGCGCAGATATTCTTGGGCACATCCCTGCTCTGGGGACACTCGGTCTACTATGGAATTGTGCAGAACAAGTTGTGGGCCCCGGCCGCGATCCTCCTCTGCCTGGGACCCGTCACCTTCATCCTCTGCTGGATGGGCTGCCAGGCGACCAACCAACGGAAGCGCTGCCTCCTCGGAATGGTACTGGAGTATCTTATTTTTGGGTCAATATTAACGTATATCCTTTGGTATGATCACACAGTTTGCTGCCCTTTTGGTCGCCTGCATCTGTGTTCAGTTCATCATCTGCGGCTGGTCGCTGGCCATGAGGGAGAATCTGCCGACCTCCGTGGAGATCTTCATCGACGACTCCTTTGTCGAGTTCTTGGACAAGTTTTCGCGCACCAAGGTGGATAACCTACATTTGTGGAATCGGATGCAATCGCAGGTGAGTGTGAAGGGCTTATAAGTTGGGGTATTCCTATAGGAAAAAAACAAATGATTATGTAGTGATATGTAAAGGATATGATATGTATGGTGATACAAATCTTAATAATGTTCTTGAATCATATCTGAATTTCTTGTTTCGATGGCCTTATAAAATACCTTCATATTTTTTCATCCTATCTGAATTTCATGTTTCGATGGCCTTTAAAAATACCTTCCTATAAACCCACTTAGTTGCAATGCTGCGGCGTGGACGGACCTCTCGATTACCGCCGACTTTCGCTACCCTGGTCCTGCTGCTCGCGTCCTGAGCACGCCTACGAGTCAGCATGTGATACCCACTACAAGCGCGGATGCCTGGCCGTCGTCTCGGAGCAGATCAGAAACCGCCTGATGATCACCGCCTTCGGAGCTGCCATTATAGCCATTTTCCAGGTGAGAATTGCTACTAAGTTCCACCCAAATCCTTGGATACTAATGATTAATACATTTTATAGAGCCTGGGAATCTTCTGCGCTGTCCACCTGACCATTCTGTTCGGCAAGAACGACAACACCCATCCCATTAACATGAACAGGAAAAAGAAACAGCAGCAGTTCTTGCCCCTAACTATCCAGGACAAGAGGCACGACATGCCCTCGCCCATCAATCTATCCCCCTCAGCACCCGGGCAGCGGGTTTTAAAAACTGCTCTGCCCTCGGCCATGCACAAATGACAGACGATTAGCTTTTAAGATTGCAAACAAAATTTATGGAAACTCCAAAGAAAAAGTATAAAAAAAAATGTTGTAAACTGAGATGGAATGAATATAACTGTGACCCTCAATGTTACGTTATGGTAATTTTAAACAATTTAACGTTCGAGAAAAGAAACAACATTTGAATTTGGATTAACTCTCCAGTAGTTTAATTAAAGCTTAAAAACAATTGGATCTAACTTGTTTGTGGTCAGGGGTTAAGCGTTGTGCGTAATATTCGGCGGCACATAGAAGGTGTCGGCTGCCTTGGGCTTCTTCTTCTTGCCGAACCAGCGCTTGGGATAGTAGACCTTCTTCTTGTAGATCTGAATGTCGATGTCGTCCCTGTTCTCGAAGAACCAGAGATTCTGGCGCTTCTCCTCCAGTTCGCTGAGCGTCTTCTGAATACTGGCCTTACGCTCCGCCAAACTTTGGGCTTCCAGTTGGTACTGAACAGCGCTCTCAAACTTCTTGGCCCACTCCTGATACGATTCACCGTAGTCGGCCAACAGTTTGGGTTCAAACTTCTGGGCGCTGGATTTAACGCTATTCTCCAGTAGCGATTGGATTGCATTGGACTTGCTACTCTTCTCAAGAGTTTCTTGAAGAGACTTGAGCAACTCTTCGGATCCCTCTAACTTCAGGCTTTCAAGTACACTTTGGGCCGCGGTAAGAGTTTCCTTGTGGAGAGCAGCTTGGTTCTTGGTCAGAAAACTGGAGGCCTCTGCCACCTGGCCGGATATCACATAGCCAAGTAGGGCAATGTTCTGCTTCAGCTCTTTCAAGGACCCTTCGCCGGAACCCAATCGAATCATGGCTCGACCCAGTTTCTTTTCCTCGGTGTTTTCGCTGGCATCTTCGGGGTAATTGCGAATGAACTTCACGCGAACTTTTTCCTGGTAAAAAATGAAGGTATCAGTTAATTTGTTAGTAAATAAATTTGGCATGGGTAGTTTAACTTCGATTTAAAATAGCAAGATATATTATGCTTATTATTGCTCACTTATTGCCCAAAATTATTTTACAAATAAAAACGACGATTTATAATCAGTTTTAAATATTGATGTAAGAAATAGGAAAAAAAATCTTCCGACGAACTAAGTTATAAGAAAATAATTTTAAGAGCAATCAAAGATGTGCTTACATTAGTTTATCTTACCACTTCAGCATTTTTGGCAGGAGGTTGAACTTGCGAGGACTCAAAGGGCTTGAAGTCCTTGGCAAAGGACCAAAACGACTGGAGGGCCAGGGACTCGATCAACTCGTTGTTGCATAAGTTCCTGTCCACCAGAATAGTGGCCACCTGAGCCGCCTCCACGGCGTGGCCATTGTGGAGGAGGAAGTCCAACAGGTAGCAGCCGGAGAACTGGTCCACGAACAGGCCGTACTGGGTGGGATTACGCAGCACCGATATCGCCTCCTGGGGATTTGTGGAGTCCACCAGTTGCTTGACCAGAACACTCGGTAGCAAAGGCACCAAACTGGCCTCCTTTTGTTTTCTGTCGGGGTTCGTCGATTATTTGTGGTTCAAGTTATTACAGTATGGATAATACCCACCTGAGCCTAAGCAGTCGATCCACTAGGTCCATGGGCCGATTGTCCGGATTGACAAACAGGTCCAAATCTATATTGGTTACGGCATGACTGCTGGATGCCGCGAATTTCGCTGGTCCCTCGTTCGCCAACTTATTGAATTCCGCCGAGAAGTAGGACACCAATCTTCTGGGTTGAAGTGCGCAGGAAATCCTCGATCGCAACATGGTTAAATATTAGTTTTAATTCATAAAGTTTTATAATCGAGCCGATTAACAAATAACATGCAGCTGGCCAGAAGAACAAGAAAATCTCTAACGCGTTCTCAAAAAATACCGCATTTGCCGGTATTTTTATTTTTAAAAACGTTGAGGGTGTTTTAGTGAATTCCCTTTTCTTTTTATAGAAACTGTGGAAATGAAACAAATGGAATAAAATAAATTAATTTTTGTGTATGCAATTAAAGAGGTTTTATGATCTAAAAAACCATTATCCGAATTTTGCAGAAAGTTTTCAAGCCAAAAAAATAATCTCGGAATGAGGAATCTTTTAACATAACGTAAAGTACAATAAAGCAAAGGTAGAGTAGACTTTCAAAGAAATTGGTACGAAAATCTCAACGTTTTTACAATTATTGATTCGATTTGTTGGTCTTTTTAAATCAGTTATTTTGTTAATAAAACTGTAGACCGCATTTGCAAAAACAAAAAGAAATACGGAGGGATCTGGGGATAAATAATTCAGAAGCCATTGAATATGCTCAATAAAATCTTAAAATCGCTTGTGGAAAACGTAATATGTCAACAATTGTAATCAATATTAAGAAGGAAAGAAAGTCTTTAATATCGACCAAAAAATAAGGAAGGGAAAACTGTCATATCTTCCTAGGAATAAAATATTTCTAGCATCTCGCAATTTAGATTATAACAAGAGAGTCGGATGCCCCGACTATCAGATACCCGTTACTCAGCTAAAGGGAGTGCGAGGGAGATGGAGGTATAAAACTTTCATCGCGCATAACTTTTTAACGAATGATCCGATTTGAAAAATGTCTTCTACAAATGTAGAAATGTACAGAAATGTGGGCGCCAGACACATTTTAAAATCGTTTGTGGGCGATTGTGGGCGTTATAGGGGGCGTGGCGCTCGGCTGAAATAAAGATTGCGCTGCGTAGGAAGTCCAAGAATATGTTTGGGTAATCTCAACTTTCTAGCTTTTGTAGACAGACGGCTATATCGACTCGACTAGTTACCTTGATCAAGAATATATATCCTTTATCGGGTCGGAAATGCTTCCTTCTAGCTGTTACATACTTTTGCACGAATTCAATGTACCATTTTACTCTAAGATTAACGGGTATAAAAATGTCCTGATCGTTGTGGGAAATATCTCTATTCAATTAGATTGCAAAAGTATTTGGCCCAAAATCTTACCTGTTGCAATTCCATAACTCAGTTATTTATTTAATGAAGCGAAGAATACCGGCAATCAACTTATTATACGCTTTAATACCGATTCAACCCACTTTCCACCCGATAATAGGATAACAATTTGCGCTTCAAAGGCGTGTTATTCGGTACTTGTAGATAGTGACCTTTCATCCCCCATTAGGAATCTTGTTTTTCTTTCCGCGGATTAAGCCAGCTGAGCCCTCAAAAGGGTGCTAAGTCAGTTGTCCCATATGATATGATTTTTGGTTCCCAGAAAAAGAAAAATAGTGTTACACAGATCTTATTTATTTAACGCAAATTCGCTCCAAAATAGTTAGTAAAAATAATATCAAAATAAGTGTATTCATCAAATTGTATACTAATATTTACATAGATATTAGTGGATTCTATATTTGATCGTATAAGCATTTCATTTGACGGGCATTCTGGGTTCCCGGTCCCTTGAGAGATGGACCTAGATATTTGGAGCCGGCTGCAGCATTCTTTCGGCTATCCATTTTAATAGACTTGTCTTTCATTATGTATATGGCATGTCTTTCCTGCTTACGAAATTTTGCTCTTCTGTTTTGGAACCAAACCTGTTATGAAAGGAAAGGAAAATTGCAACTGTTTTGTATTTCGGTTTTTATCTTTTTCCCAAAGTTCACCTGATAGAGTTAAACGAGATTAGGGTTTAAAAATTATTTTTAATGTTGGTAAAAAGGTTGCTTTTAAAAAATTGTCGAAACTCAATCAAATGGAACAACTACTTTTTAACGGTGTTATAAGCGAAAGAAAACTATTGTTTGAAAGGACATTGTTTTAATATGCCTTAAAATATGCTCTAAAAAATTGTTTTAGCAGGCTTGAAAAAAAAATTTTTTAAAGTAGGGATTTTTTGTGTTTTTAGTGCAATATGGACTCAAATGTGATCCTTACAAAAACCAATTCCCTTCTCAAAATTCGTTTAGTAACCAACATTTTTTCCACCATTATTTTGTGTTCGATTCTTTTATTTATACCTGAACTCGGGCTTCGGTCAAATGTAGTTTTGATGCAATCTCTTCTCTAGTATAGATATCTGGATAATGGGTCTCTAAAAAGATTTTTTCCAGCTCATTTAGTTGGTTTGATGTAAAAGTAGTTCGAATGCGTCTCTGTTTTGATTTATCGGTCAAACTCAAACCATCGTCTCCATAAGACTTTAAATGGAAATCTACGGAAAGATGAAAATTGGACATACAATGAAGATGTTATAAGAGAACTCTTTTTATTAATTAACACTATTTTTGGGAAGTTTTTACCCGAATTATAAGATGCAATGTTATGAGTTCCAGGATAAAATTCCGAAACTGTGGTAATTTTGGAAAATAGTAAGCTCGATTCCTGGTTTAAAGAACTCCTGATTGCAGTCTCGTTCGCACATAGCTTATAGCTGGAGTCAATCATTAGATTATAGTGATTCATGTGATTAGCCACGGACAGTCCCCCATTGGCACTATTGTTATAGAACTCGGAATTCGCATTGTATATACAATCTTTGTCAAAGTTCGCCTTGTTGATAAATGAAAATTCCATCGCATCAGAAGGTAAATTCACACACAGCACTTGATTGAAATTTTTACTGGCCGTTAATGAGTCATCCGGCAATAAAACACATAGTTATAGATAATAGTCTCGCGGAAACACACAATTTTAACTGCCCTTGAATAAATAAGCTTCGATTACGATTGTATCAACTACAGGACGAAAAAGGATGCTGCACTTGTCTCGGGAGAAAGGGACGGAAAATTTCATTCGTTTCCGCGTTTGGAGGCGGTGCTAACGAGCTCCACTCGCCATAAGGGTGGAAATCCGACTTTCCGGCGCGTGTCATGCACTGCAGCAAAAGATTGTATCTTTTGCCCATTTATTTATTAAAATGTACCAAAATCTTATCATTAGTTTCTTAAATTTCAGTGATATATAAACCTTTCTCGTCTCTTGTCCTCCTGTTGCTATTAAATCCTCTTTGAACCTGTCATATTCTTCAAATTAAATAAATTTTCAAATCAGTCTTCATTAAAGTTGTTTTTTAAGTGCACCAATTTTCACAGGCCTCAAAAAGCAACACTCAGAAGATTAAATTGGCTTATCCGGCAAGGATGAATTCTGAATGTTCTTTCCACTAACGGTAAAGGAAATAAATCCCTACACAAGTGTTAAAAATATTTATGAAAAAATAATCTATTAGGAAAATTAACAATAAAGGTTGGAACTTTCAAATAAATACGAAATATAAATAAACAATCGTAATGTAATTTAATAAAGAACCAGAAAAAGGGAAGGGTATCTGGCAATGTACTTTCGCGATTAAAGCTGCGAAACAATTTGATAAAACAAATGGTGTTGTACCTAACACAATGAAAAAGAGACACCTTACTATATTTTCTTGTTCATAATATTAGGCTGATTGAAAAATTGTTTATAAGCACTGGCAGGAAAGCAACCCTCTATTTCGGAAACAATTATTTGCTTTGCGGATTATTTCGATTAGTTAATTTCAGTAAGCAGAGTTTTAACTAATTTGTATTTGCTTTATGCCGAAGCTTATCTTTGTACACCCTAATTTTGAATTGGAACTTGGTAAGGTTCCAGATATTTATTAGTGTTGTTCATAATTTTCTTTGAATCTCTTAGAAAATATTGAGTTGGAAATAGTGACGCCCTGATAAACTACTGATAAATACTTATGAAAAATTGTAAGTTATATTATTTTGGGATTATCTAAGTTAACTGAAACTTTTTTCTGATGTTTGAGATAAAGCACTTTGTATGGAAATGTATAGACTTTTCTGGCGTTTAAGGTGAAATTAAATTTGTTAATACCTACACATAGATCTTAATCTTACCTTTAGAGGTCAACTTGGTAAGGCAGGTTATAAATTGAAAGTTATACGCAAATGCACAATACAAAATAAACAATAGAAAACTATAGAAAAAAGACCTTATCAGCTTTCATCCATTGTATTTACACATTTGCATGGTAGAGTGAAGGCTCTTTTCTTTTCATAATCATCGAGATGGAACGAGTACCAATGCCTTAAAAAAATCTTTCTTGATGTTGGTAGATACATATGTGTATCTACACTTTTAATCTACACTTTTATATATTTTTTTAATGTTTGCGTTATTATATTAGTTGTTATTCCTCATAAGCTTTATATGTTAAAGCTACATAATGTATATGTGCACATACGACCATGGTCGTATTGTTTTCATTAAATAGCGATAAGCATTATGCTACGTATTTTGTTTTTTGATTACATTGCTATTGGCTTTGGGCTTTTATAATTTAAATAATTTGAAATGTGAAGGATTGTTATCGCTAAGAATAGGATCGGTTAAAAAGCTCGTTTGTATAGTCGAACATTCAGTTGGAACAGCTAAATCAAGGGGATCAGACGCTTATACTCACCTTTTTTGTTTAGTTGATATTTAGGATAGTGAAAATAGACCGATATGGATCCATTATTACTTGTTATTCTGGCAATGGGATTATTCCCAATAGGTAAATATTTAGTATGTGGTTTGGTCCGCAAATATTGTTTTAATGATATGCAAATGTACATCTTTTTATCGGTAATTAATCGTGCTTAAACCCTATTTATTTTATTCAGATGCCTTAAGCTTTCCTCAAAATGATACGGCTAACATCAAGCTTGTGTACCTCCGTAGAAATGAGGATAAGAGACCAACGATTTTGGAATGCGATTTTGATATTGAAGGGAATCCATCGTTTCTAGTCGTAAAATGGTACAAAGATGACAGACCCATAAGTCAATGGATCCGTGGAATTACTCCAGTTACAACCGTAAGTCCAAAAGTTTCTATTCATTGAGCACAAATGTAACCTATTTTTACGCCAGCTTGAGTTTAGGAACAGCATTGATACATTCTACGAGAGTTCTTCGGATCCAAATAAAAAGTACAGCTCATTGGCTCTGATTAATCCCACGATAGAAACAACTGGAGATTACAGGTGTGTGGTTCAGACCGAATCAAAAATGGTCTCTACCTACCACAGGATACAGGTCATCGACCTGAGTAACTATTCGTTGGATCAGTACCACAATAAGATTCCTAACGGAACGGAAGTAAAGTGTGTCTTGACCAACATGTACCCCAAACCCATCCTAAAGATCCTGTAAGAAAATAATATTTTTTTCTAGTTAACCAGATATTTTTATTTATCTTTATACCTTCAGATCTAATAACGGGGATGTTGTAAAAGAGGAGTACAACGTAGAGGAAAACGAGAATGGTTCTTTCAATGCCACTGCCGTAGTGAATGTTTATGAGACCAGAATTAGATCGTATACATGCCAGGTTTTCTTTAAAAAAGAAATCCAAAAACTTTATGATCTAACTTTTAATCAAAAATAAGCATTCATATGCAAGTATTATGGTCCATTCCTACGCAACGCAAGTTTATTTCAGCCGAGCGCCACGCCCCCTTACGATTTTAAAATGTGCCTGGCGGCCACAACTTAAAAAATTTCCGAGAAGTAGAAATGCAATTTTGTTGTTTATATTTATACATATCGAAATGTAGAAGACATTTTTCAAATCGGACCATTCATTAAAAAGTTATGCGCATTCAAAACAATTTTATTTATCCATCTCCCTCGCACTCCCTTTAGCTGAGTGACGGGTATTAGATAGTCGGGACACCAACCCGACTATAGCGTTCTCTCTTGTTTCTTGTATTTATAATCATACTTTCAGAAATTGCTCCATTAATAGTAGTTTTTTCACTGCTCGGTTCATTTGTAAAACTAATCGATTTGCGTTATAAAAATGTAATTTACCGATTATAAAGAGATTAACAATCGATTTAACAAATGCTTGCTGAGGATATAGCTTTTCATTACTGAAAACTCGATGCCAGATATAGCAATGATATTTGCGTGGCAGGTGCTTCTTGGCAGCTGCCTCTTGTGGCAAGTGGTAAACTTCCTAACTTGATCTTGAGTCGGACTAAATAAAATATGTTTTTCTTGTCTGTTAGACGGAATCCCAGTTGATTTTCAAGTTGAAGAAAGTCGAGTGCGAAGGAAATCCGGCGAGAGTGGTAAATATTTCCTGTCATTTGAAGGCAATCAATTGGAATATGGCGGAGGCGAACCTGGACGCCTATTTGACTGTGACCATGATAAACCCAACGGTAAGTTATTGTTCGATTTCGACAGGCAATCGGATATATTGGCCTTTTCTTTTGCCAGACCCGAATTCAGGTCCTAAAGAAGGATTACAGCAACCAGTACCAACCATTCTTAGTTGACGTGGTCGTTAGACTTTGCGAAGTGATCGAAAAGAGGAATTTTATTCCCTATGCCGTCATGACGTGGAAGTTGTTGAAAAGATTCTCCAACATAAACCACACCTGTCCCTATTCGGTATATATTCTACTGGGTTTTTTATTTAAGTCATTACTCTTATTTCCTGATTTCAGGGACAATTAATAGTACGAAATTCATATATGCCCGCAGATCTAGTTCCACAGTTTCCACACGGCTTCTACCAATTCCGATTCACATACTCGGATTCCAATGCTACAAACAGCGAATATGTGGGGACTATAAGATTTTTCTTTCAAGTTATGGATTCAATAAAAAGCAAAAAAAAAGAGATCAGTGGCTAAAAAATTAAACGTTCGACATTATGTTTATAAGATTATAATTAATTAATCTTCTTATATCTTATAGCTCCCATAAAAAGATCGGAAAAAAATATTACCTTGGGAATATTATTTTTTAAATATTTCTTAATTTCGATTTTAATTTTTTAAAATCGAAAATCGGTCGAAAAGGAAAATGGAAATTAATAGGAAAAAAATATATCTTTGTTGATTTGCATTGCATTCTCATCTTCTCTGGAATATAGCTATTCTTTAGTTAATGTTAATTAATGTTTTTTTAAGTTAATAGGAATGATCTATTAGGGTATATACGCTTCGGCTGGCCGAGGACACCTTCCTTTCTTGTTTCTTTTGTTAATCAACGAGTTGGAACGAGCACCCAGGCCCTTACAAAAAATCTACTTTCAAGATACATGTACACTTATTACAGTTTAACAAAGCTCGAATGGATCTGCCTCTACTTAAGCCTAGAAGAAACTCAACGCATAATACTCTTACTGAAAAAAATAACAATATAGCAAACAACAACGTTTACTTGGCCATTTGCTCTTCCTTTTGAAAATATTTTAAGTAAAATTTAAAAATTCGATTCAAAAATTTAAAAAGCTGGAACTATAGAATTACAGGAATTTTAATGATCGTTATTGCTATGGAGACATAATATTTACAGGGGTTAAAGTTACAACAGCCCCTCCACTTTTGCGGAGACACTGAAAAGAAGAAAAGGTCCTTAAGGACTGGGTTCGACACCCTGTCAGCAATGGCATGTCCTTTAACGGTCGAAAAACTGGACTGTCCCTAGTTGTAGGTGTGGGCCAAAGTCAAGCCGAACTGGTTTTCAAATAGTCAACGGCAGCTAGGAGCAGCGGAGAGTATCGAAGCGGAAAGGTTTTCCAACCCCCACACATGCAGGGCTATTTACTGCGCCAGCTGCACAGCGATCGCCCCAAAAGCGAACCCAAACACGAACCCACTAGCACATGTCCGTATGATGATTATTCTCCGAGAGTACAAGTGGCACGGGCTACAGTGCTATAGCGATCGAAAGATCGTGTGCCAGAGAGGAAGTGCCGGCATTATCTCGGCTAAATTCAAATATGCATGGTTACGCTGGGTGGCTTTGGCCAACAGCTCTCGGTTCTCCCGTGGCCAAAACCATTCAGTTGCTATAGTTATACCATGCAGAGCGGACGGTTGAGTTAGGATCGGTTGTGAAAGTCAGATCTGCCGCGGTGGTATATATGAGGAAGTGTAAATAGACCGTTATGGATCCCCTACTCATTGTCATTCTTGCATTTGGATTATTCCAGAGAGGTACAGCTCAATCCTGTGGCGGTGTAACGAGTATTAAGCATTAGAGAACTATTTTTAAATTAAGAAATGAAATCATTTCATCGGGAAAATATACAGCGAATACAGCGAAAGTCCGTCGTACAAACCTTGAGAAAAATAATGACAAATCGGATATCTATAAATACGAACGTATAGCTAAAAACAGTTTTCAGTTAACATGTGCATTAAATCGGAATATAAACAACTGCCTCCTGTGAATTTCGAATATTCTCTTATCCTTTTTGGGATTATTAAAGCCGTGAAGGATATTTAGTGAATTTATTATGACCTAGCGAAAAATGAGAAGTGCTTTTTGCTAAGAAAGTCTTTCGATGTTTTAACTTTAAATAAAAGGATATTACAAAAAAAAAACATTTGAAGATTTAAAAAAATGTGAAAAAGTGAACCTGTCCAGCGAAATTAACTTTAAAAAAAATATATATAATTCGCCGCATTTTGGCACACATGACAAACTACCAAATGAAAAATGTTTAAATTTTCTTGCTTTTTGTTTGTTATTAGTTTCTATTTTTAAACGAAACAGGCATCTGTTCACTCGCGTTTTTGCTTTTCGTAAATATAAGCTTTTCGACAAAATTTATGTAGATATGTACCTATATATTTTGAATACAAGCGGTGATAAATGTGTTTTGGATTTGCCTATATAATATTCCAAACAATTCTGTGTACTCTGTAATGTATAGACCTTGTTTTTTAAAAAGCTTTATAGTGTGAGTCATAATTTAGAGAAAGTAATATTCGTTTTAATTTAGATGCGCTTTGCTATCCCACAAGAGATGAGTCCGAAGATAAGATAATAGTCCTTCAAAATGAAGAGATGGAACCCACAATTTTGGACTGTGATTTTGAAGTCGAGGAGAATCCACAGTCCATAACCGTAAAATGGTACAGAGATGAACGTGCCTTATATCAGTGGATCCTTGGAAGTCCACCGTATGCAATTGTGAGTTAATAATAAAATATATAGAATTTGTAATAATATTTGTTTTTATGATAGCCTGAATTTAAGAACGAAATAGACGCAACCTATGAGGCGTCAACGGAACCAATCAAACAGTACAGCTCCTTGGCTTTGATTAATCCCACGATAGGAACAACTGGCGACTACAAGTGCGTGGTCCAGACCCCCTTAAAAATTGTCACTAGTCACCAGAGGGTCCAGGTTATAGACTTTAGGAACTACACTCTGGAGTTGTCTCACAAAACTATACACAACGAAACTCAGCTGAATTGCACGGTGACGAATGTCTATCCCAAACCCACCATCACTATCATGTAAGGACATGCCTCTTATCTAGTTAACTATAGGTATTTAACCAAGTATTTTCTACAGTGCAAACGATCAGGATGTTGTGAAGAGGGAGCACATGGTGGATGAGGACGAGGAGGGTTACTTCGATGGCAGTGCAATTGTGGCGGCCTACGACACTGACGACGATCCCGACGCGTACCAGTGCGTGGTTTCCTTCGAGGGATACGAGAAAAACCTGACCACAGAGGCCACATCCTCGTCGGCGGGTGTGAGCCACCTCGACTTCAACTTGTGGCTCTTTTGTTTTCTGTACTACTTCCTCTCCAAGCTGAAGGTCTTAATCTAAATAAAAACGTTGTTATTTATTGTTACTAAAACTATTTTTATTGAATTCTGTTTGCCATTCAACTACCTTTTCTACGCCCCTTCGGCTTAGTTATCCATTTTGTAAATAAATACGACTACTTCACATAACCAACCAAGTTAACTCTCGGATTTTCTAGATTTGAAATCTACATCATCCCGCGTTGGATTGCAGCTATTACATTTTGATTATTAAATGGGTCTGAACTCGAACTCCAATGCAAACAAAAGAAAAGAAGGGCTGAATTTCGGAAATGTTGAATATTTCTGTTTATTGATATGTGGGGCTGGAGTCCAGCAGCAGATTGGAACAGCCGTTGAGATAGGCTTTGTGCAGCTTGTTGGCGAACTCCTTATCGTTCTGGATAAGGTAGGTGAAGGCCTGGACGAATTGCGTCGAGTTGAGGGGCTGCTGGGGCTCCGGGTTGCCGTTGTTGGGCGCATCGAACATGGTGGGCGGCATTAAAGCCGGACCGGGCTTGTCCCCGGCCAGCAGTCTGCGCAAGCATTTGCCAGCATCGTCGTTGGCCATCAGAGCCGACGAGGACGGGGCTCCGGTTGGCGATTGGGCCGGCGCGTAGCTCTTGCCGATCTTCAGCTCACTGAGGAGCTGGGTGTTCAGCTGCTGGGCCTTCTGGAACGGCGACAGGCGGCTCTCGTGGCTGTCCCTGCCCGCCGAGGGCAGCAGATCCTCGCCAGGAGTGACTGCCCGCTGCTGCTTCTCCAGCTGGTCCACGGATAGCGGCTGGACGCGGTGAAACAGTGACTCGGCTGTGGCCTGCTTGGCCGACTCGAAGAACTTGAGCACATTGCCGGCCGTCACGTTCTCCGCCGAGGGCGTCTTCGGCTGCCCGCCGCCGCCGCTCACCTGGGCATTGTAGTCCTTCTGCGCCTTGCTCAGCATGTTGAATATGCTGGCCGGCTGGCTGTTGTCCTGCTTGGGCTGCTGCTGCTGCTGCTGGGGGGCGGCGGCGAGGCGCTGGGCCTGGCCATTGGTGCCCTGGTCCTTGGTCTTGAGCAGCCCGTTCACCAGGACGCTGATGCGGTCGCACTCCTCGCTGTTGTAGAACCAAAAGCCGCGGATGCGGGAGCGCTCGTTGCGGTAGAGCAGGAACGGCGGCTGCGACTGCAGCTCCAGGCTGCCGGTGATCGGCTCCACGAAGGACGTGGTGTTCAGTCGGTTGTTGATGAAGATGCTGTGGAAGGGCTCCGCGTTGCGGTGGTATATGAAGAAGGCTCCCTCGACATCCGTCTTTTCCCACTCGTTCTGCGCCGAGTTGAACGTGTAGAAGGCGACGTGCGAGGAGGAGTCCACGATCTCCTTGGCGTACGGGTCGATCTTCTTGATGGCCGAGAGGTTCATTCGCGTGATGCTTTCGTCGGCCATTGTATTTGTTTCGTATTTTATACCCGTGATATTGCGAATTGCAATTATTTGTGAATTCAACAATTTCACTGCTCTTTTGACAAAAGTTGGTATTCTAAGACGCTAACGCTGCGGTCACACTGTTCTTGAGGTATCGATGGCACACACTAATATCGATATCTTACTTGTAATTCTTATTTCTAATAATTAACAACAAATAGCAGGGGGATTCCCTAAACTGTTGAATTGCTGAATTGTTGAAAATTCAACAAAAAATTTCAGCAACTAAGGGAACGACCCAAAATGGTTCCTGTTGAATTTTCAAACAGCTGTTATTTGTTGAAAAGTTTCACGGAACTTAAAGCATGTAAAATTTGATTTATTATTGCTAGTTACTGTCTAAAAGTGTTACCAAGGTAAAAAGAACCACAAATATGCCTTCTAAGTTGATTTTAAAATAAATAATGCATACTAATGATACTAAAATGTTACGACTTTTAAAAAAGGTGACAACTCTGGCTTTTCAGCAATTCAACAAAATTTTCAGCAGCCTCGGGGCTGTTGAATTGCTGAAATTTCTGAAAGTTGACTTTGTATGGAACAGCTGATTAACAGCTGACCAAAATTCAACAATTCAGCAATTCAACAGTTTAGGGAATCCCCCTAGCCAATTCTCATTAATATAAAATTAACTTTTTTACGATTTTGTAAGAAAAATTTAAAATTGTATGTGCAATAAGATTCGCACAATTTCGTGATCGATATATCGATAATATCGTAAGTGGTCAACCCATCGCTGAAAACTGGCGGGAAATCTGATAGAATAGCATTGCAATTTATATTTGTTTAAAAGCGGCTTAATAATCAAAATGCAAAAGTCCATAACGTAAATATACGAAAATAATGGTGTTTATAAATTCCGCATCTGACAATCCCTTATTTCAGATCCTTCTTCAAGAAGAAATCCGATGCCGCCGACAGTCCATCGCCGCCCAAAAAAGTTCCCAAGTAAGATGTGCGAATGTTTCTTTGCCAATTTCTTATTTAAATATCCCTAATTAACTACAGGATCGATGCGAAGACTGAACTCCCAGATGAACCCATCATCAAGGCTGAGAGTGCCTCCCCGGAAATTAAGGCAAAGGTTGAACCTATGTCTGTGGACTCCGAGGATAAGAAAAGCCCATTGAAGGAAGTTAAGAAGGAGTCAAAGGATGTCGAGGAGAAGTCAACCGATAAGAAGGTCACCACCATAGGTCTAAACTCCACTTCAGCCAGTAAGGAGGATATGGAAAACTACGATCCCTCCGCCGATTCCTACCATCCACTCAAAAATGCCTACTGGAAGGAGAAAAAAGTGTAAGAAACCAGCAACTTCCCTATGTTTTTCATACTTACCAACCATTTGCAGCACTCCCTACTTGGCCTTGGCTCGCACATTTCAAGTAATCGAGGAGACCAAAGGCCGTCTCAAAATGATCGACACGCTGAGCAATTTCTTCAGCTCGGTGATGCTGGTGAGTCCGGAGGATCTGGTGCCCAGTGTCTACCTCAGCATCAACCAACTGGCCCCCGCCTACGAGGGATTGGAGCTGGGCGTGGCCGAGACCACCTTGATGAAGGCCATTTGCAAGGCCACTGGTCGGAATTTGGCTCACATCAAATCGCAGACGCACCTGATCGGAGATCTGGGCATTGTGGCCGAACAGTCGCGCGTCTCGCAGCGCATGATGTTCCAGCCTGCCCCTCTGAATGTCCGGGATGTGTTCAGGAAGCTGCGCGAAATAGCCAAGATATCCGGCCAGTCCAAAATGGATCTGGTGTACAATATGTTTGTGGCCTGCCGATCGTCGGAGGCTCGCTTCTTCATCCGCTCCTTGATTGGCAAGCTGCGCATCGGCATTGCCGAGCAGAGTCTGCTCACAGCTTTGGCCATTGGCCTGGTCAAAAAGAATCACATTGACGACTGCAAGGCCAGCAAGGTGCCAGAGGTTTACAAGGATGAAATAGCAGAGACCACACTGCTGCTGAAAACGGCATACAGGTGGGGGCATTCTTTTGCATGTAATAAACCTATAATAAACCTAATTATTTCAGCCAATGTCCCAACTACGACATCATCATTCCGGCCATTCTAAAGTACGATATCAAGGAGCTGCAGGACCGCTGCCCCATGCATCCCGGCATGCCGCTGAGGCCTATGCTCGCCCAGCCCACCAAGGGCGTCCACGAGGTGTTCGAAAGATTCGGCGGCATGCAGATCACCTGCGAGTGGAAGTACGATGGAGAGCGTGCCCAAATCCACCGCAACGAAAAGGGGGAGATCAGCATATTTTCGCGCAACTCGGAGAACAACACGGCCAAGTATCCGGATCTGATTGCCAGGAGCAGTGGCCTTCTCAAGGGCGAAGTGAAGTCCTATATCATAGACAGCGAAATTGTGGCCTGGGATGTCGAACGCAAGCAGATTCTGCCCTTCCAGGTGCTTAGCACGCGTAAGCGAAAGAACGTCGACATCGAGGAAATCAAGGTCCAAGTCTGCGTCTACATTTTCGATCTCCTCTACATCAATGGCACTGCATTGGTGACCAAGAACTTGTCGGAGCGTCGCAAACTCCTGCTGGAGCATTTCCAGGAAGTCGAGGGAGAGTGGAAGTTTGCCACGGCTCTGGACACCAACGACATTGACGAAGTGCAGCAGTTCCTAGAGGAATCCATCAAAGGTTTGTCTAATTTTCGCACCCAAAAACGGTTTAATTAAAGCTACATTTGCTAGGAAATTGCGAGGGTCTTATGGTCAAGACTCTGGACGAGGAGGCCACCTATGAGATAGCGAAGAGATCCCGGAATTGGCTAAAACTGAAGAAGGATTACCTATCCAATGTGGGCGACTCACTGGATCTGGTGGTGATAGGCGGCTACAAAGGCAAGGGCCGGCGAACTGGAACGTATGGAGGATTTTTACTGGCCTGCTATGATACCGAAAACGAGGAGTACCAAAGCATATGCAAAATTGGAACAGGTGCGATTGTGCACTTTTAATTTGTATGCAAATCATCATTTACTATCCATTTCAGGCTTCACCGATGAGGATCTGCAGACGCACTCCGAGTTCCTGGGCAAGCACGTGACCAGCGCCGCCAAGTCCTACTACAGATACGACGCCAGCCTGGAGCCGGATCACTGGTTTGAGCCCGTCCAGGTGTGGGAAGTCAAGTGCGCCGATCTGTCCCTCAGCCCGATCCACCGCGCGGCCATCGGCATTGTGGACGGCGAGCGCGGCATTTCCCTGAGATTCCCCCGCTTCATTCGAATCCGCGAGGACAAGAACAGCGAGAATGCAACGGACGCCAATCAGGTGGCCCACATGTACCAGTCGCAGGACCAGGTTAAGAATAATCAAAAATCGAGTACACAGATGGACTTGGAGGACGAGTTCTATTGACCTTGCTGCTCCAATCATGTGTACCACATTTATTTAACAATAAAATCCGTTATCGCTATTTGACACTGTTGCTGCTCTCCGAGGACTTCGAAACGCGTCGATCCTCCTGTTGACTCTCCCTGACCTCCTTGGGCTTTGATTTGTTGCGCCGGTTGGACCGCTTGTTTTTCTTGGCCGCCTTCTCTTCGACCACCGAAGCCTCGCCATCTGAACCATCTTTTCCCGTACCTGCACCTTGTGGCAAATCATCTGATCCTATGCGCACACGAGCCTTGGGTTGGTAAATGGCAATCGAGGGGCGATCCTGTTTGGTTTAATGAAACTTGTAGAGTAGAAGATAGGGGATTTTGTAAGACGTACCTTGTTGCGGATGCGTCGCTCCTCTGAGGCTCGGAACTGCGCCGCCTTGATGGCTTCCTCGGCAGCTGTGTCGTGGGAGGTAGCTGCACCAGCTTCCTTATCCTTCTGACCGCTGGCAGCCTGTATGAAAGTCTTCACAGCTTCTGGAATCTCGCTGTTCTCAGTCCTGGTTTTTTCCCTGGCTTCGGCAGCTGCCTTTGAAGTTGATGGCAATTCGGAGTAATCTTTTGGCTCCGGTTTGTTTTCCTTCTTGAGAATAACGATGTCCTTGTCTGGCTTTCTGTTCTGCTTTCCACCGGTTTGTTTGCCCTTCTCTTGCTTGGGCGGGCCTTCGTCCTTTTTCTTATCCCGCTTGGCCAGTTTCCGCAGTTCGTGCTCCTCCCGTCGCCGCTGGTCGCGCTCAGTTCGGCGCTTGGAGCGCGAGGTCTTGGAAGGATCGTTGCCTTGGGCAGCGGAAGGTGGAGGATCCTTGAGATCCTTCTTGGCATTGTTGCCGGCAGGCTTCTTGTTATCACCTCCACCGGTAGCACCTCCAACTTCCTTGGCTTTGCTGGGATCTGATAGCTCCGCCAGACGCACCTGCTTCTGCTCCTCCCGCTGCTTGCGCTTCTCCTCGTTCCGCTTGCGCGCCTCCTCGCGGCGCTTCTCCTTCTTGTTGGCCAGGTACTGCAGCAGGGGTGTGGACTTGACCTTCTCGTCCGCCCGCCGGTCGAAGGAGAAGTCCAGCTTGACGTCGCCAGCGCGACTCGCCTCCTCGCGCTCGTCGGCCAGCCGCTGGACGAACTCCTGGTAGTGGGCTTCGCTCTCGATTGAGTTCACCTTGCTGTCGTCGTTGCGCGCCTTGTTCTTGAGGAAGCACTGGAAGGGGGCGTACTCCACGATGGCCATGTACTCGACGCCCTTCTGGTCCACGAAGACGTAGCCGTCGAATCGGTCGCGGAACTGCAGCACGTCGGCGATGTCCTTCAGGGACATGTCGATGTAGGCGCGACAGGTGGCCTCGTGGCCCAGGGACCAGTCCGCCTGGCAGTAGTAGTAGGAGTCGTTCTCCGGCAGGGGACCCACCTGTTCCAGGAACTCGGTTTCTGTCATGGTGGGCGGCAGATGCCGCATCACAATCTGGTTTGGGGGATCGAGAATCAGTGGGAAGCCACGAATAACCAAAGGATCTAGAGATTACCTTGACGACCTGGCTGGTCTTGTCCTTCTTGTCCTTGCGCCGGTTGCCCCGCGGCTTATCCTTTGGCTTTTCCTCGGCCATTGCTTCGGCCATTTTCGGTTGCTTTTGTTTTTATCAGAGCAGAATCAAAATCAAAACAAACCCAAAATGCGGACAAATGCAAACATGATGTGGAGCCGATAGAGATGGCACTTTCGGTTCGGGACTAGTAGAGTTCGAAAGCTTTTAAATTAAATAATTTAGGTTATTTTTAAAGCTTATATTTGTAAATAAACAAAGGAAATTAATGGATATGTTTATGTTCAGCGAAATCGATACGTAGTTACAATAAACAACAGTAGATTTAAACACTTGTCAAATAAGAACCAGTGAACTAGTTCATTTTAGTCGAGCGCTTTTTTTAACCATTTCACTATTTCTGTCAAACTTTGAAAAGTGTTTGGCCAAGAGGCCCTGAAAATGCCATAATACGATGAATTAAAAGTCAGTTAACAAAAATATTGGGTAAGAATATTCACCATTACGCATTGTAGAGCTTAATACATGTATTAGTTACATGCCTTTTAGGAATTTACGCCTTTAAATATGATGTCGGTAAACCCACCTTCGGGATCGTTCCTCAAATGCCATGTTTGCGTCTCAACTGAAGGCAAGATCTGGAAAAAAGTTATGCTATGTAGTACCGAAAAATCGAATGACCTAGAAGAAACCCTTGTGAGTCTACAGAAACTTCTGGAGAAGGAAAGTGTGCCGCCCAAAGTTATTTGCAGGGGATGCAAAATGCAGCGTTATTGCAGCGTATCCCATCTCCTGAAAGATCGTCCGGAACACCAACCCGTCTGCCAGGTGCTAAGGGATCTGCAGAAGTTCAGGAAGATCGATCATCCGCTGCTGCTGCACGGCAGGATCTCCGATCGCCGAATGCTGCAGTTCGTCATTTCCCAGCTTAAGCTGTTTGTGTGGACCAAGTTGGGCAGACCGCTCCTCCCGCGGGAGCATCAACTTCTGGGGGAACCCGCCGTTTGCGATATCTGCTTCAGTACTGGAGCTTTGCAGGACTGCGATGGATGTGCCGGAGTGGCCTTCTGCTCCGCCGAGCACCACAAACTAATCGGGGAATATCACACTCCAAAGGATTGTCGAACTCTGGCCATGATCGCAACTCCTTTCCGTCAATTGGACAGCATTGTGAATATCAGGCACTTCTACAAAGGATGTAGAATTAAGGAGAGCCATCTCATTGAGGCCTTCCGCAAAGCCACCAACGTGAGGATTAGCCCGACACCTTGGTCCGATCTGGAATCGTACCAGCTATTCGCCACCTGTTCCTCCTTCAGCGGCATCGGCAGCCTTTGCCTGGCCCTCACCCACATTTCCTGGATCCCTCATCCGGATAAAGCTGTCATCGTTTACGTGGTGGGCGCCACCAAGGAAACGTTAATATACTTCCAGGATATGCACTTGAATTTCCTGTTTCTGCAGTATCCAAACATTCGCCACTTGGAGTTGCACTTCATCGGGAAAACAATTGGTCAATTCGGGAAAATCGAAATTTCATTCCCTAAACAGCAGGTGATAAAACACTTTTATCCCCTGTCTTTCTTCCAATTTTCAAGCATTCTTCATGTGGATCCCACTTTGATTCTTATACTGCAACCCGATTTCATCGGCACTGGGACTATAACCCAGAATATTGCCAATTTTTTACAAAAAAAGGACACACTTGATGACTGGCAGGATTGTCTTTCAAGTATTATCCGAAGTTTTGGTGTTCCCATTTGCTATACGTCGATCTCAAAGCTCCAGGCAATGTCCGACTTCACAGCCATCAATAAGATGGCCAGGAGTAATAATATTGACATTAAGAGGGCCTACAACATAACCGACAATCCCTATCGTGAGATATTACCAATCCACAATCCCGCTCCACTGGATCCTGAAAGGATTGTATATGTCAATAACTACCTGGAGGTTGTTTTTACCGGAATCAAAAAGTATTAGTTAAATACTACCAAAGACTAAATAATATGATTAGTTAAAAGTAATTAAGAGAACCAAAGACTATATCTAATGACGATATTAAGAAGTTTCTGGTCTTACAATTTAAGATACTTTAAGAAGTATACAACATTCATTTCAAGCTTCAGAAGGCTATAGGAAAATACCGAAAACTTACAACTCACGATTTATAATTAAAACATTTACAAAGTATATCGACAACCGATATTAAGAAGTTCCTGGTTTTACAACTTAAGCTACCTCGCTACTTTAAGAAGTATAAACAATTAATTTCAAGCTTCAGAAGGCTATAGGAAAATACCGAAAACAACTTGACAATATTATTATTTTTCTTGGAATGCGGCTTAGAACACGCGACTTAAAGGTTAAACAAAGTATATCGACAACCGATACAACTTAAGCTACCTCGCTACTTTAAGAAGTATAAAAGAAATAACTTCAAACTACTCAAGACTATAAGAAAAACAACAAGTACTATGGTTTCGTTTCGAATGCGGCTTAGAACTCGCGCCATTTAATTTAAACATGTTTATCCATTTACATTTTTGGTAATTGTTTAAGAATAAATTGTTTACCTAATTTATAGCCTACATTTGTAATAAGTATAAATGCTCAGTTTATCAATGCAGCCACTTAACTCTAGGAGGAAAACGGTTACAATTATTTCAGAGGGCTTGGAAGCTTTGATCTAAAAGGATTTCTTTGAAATGACAACGATTAGGTCGATTAGCCAGTAGAACGACTGGTGAAGATCGCCCTCGCACAAGTACGGTGCCTTGGTCCAGGACTCCACGCGGAAGCCGCAGTTCTCCAGCAGCTCCATGAACCGGGCAGCCTCCTCCTCGAACGACGCCTGCCGTCCGTTGTTCTCCAGCAGCGGGCGCAGGGGTAAATGCGAGGTGTTGGTCTCCACATAGTGCATGTAGGGCAGAACTAATGCGACCACGGCTCGGCCATTGGGAGCTAGAGCCACGTGAATGTCCTCGAGCAGCTTGAACGAATCGAAGCACCGGTCCAGCACGTTTAGGCATAGAATTAACTCGAGGTTCTGCAGGCCTTCGATCTCGGTGATTACGTTGAAGTTGAGCTTCTTCAGCCTGTCCCGCATGGTCCAACTGGCTTCGGTGGCGAAAACCCGCAGACCAGCACTGCCACTCAGCTCGGAGACGGTGTTGGCCACTCGCAGCGATATCTCGCCATCGCCGGCTCCAATGTCCAGTAACGTAACCTAAGAAAGATGAAAGCGGGTGAGTAATGACAATCTATGGAGGATTCTTCTCCTACCGGTTCGTCGCCACTGGCAGGTTGAAAGCCTCCCGCCACCAGCAACTGGCGGAACTGGTCCTCGGACAGGATGAACATGGAGCCGCGCTTCAGGAATCCATTGATGTCCGTCTGGGTCATGAAGAACTGGAGAATCGACCTGGCGAGGGCGTGCCACAAGTGGGTCCAGATGTTCGCCGACAGCGCCTTGGTGCGCTCCAGCCAGCTCACCGTGGTGGCGTCCGGCTCCAGGGGCACGAATCTGGCCTGGAATCTGGGGGGCAGCTCATGGTTCAAGCAGTACCACTGAAATGGAACCATATGCATGGGATTCTGCAGCACAAATCAAAATCGAGGTTTACCTTTCGGGTGTCTATGTCCTCCAGCGAGTTGTCGTTGTGAAATTTGGCATGGATCACTCTGGCCAAAGTGCCGCGGGGACGATAGGTAGCCATTTTATACAAAATTCTAATTTAATTATCTTTTATTTACATTTTATGATTGGGATTGTGATTGTGATTGTGATTTTTCGTGTTTGAAGAACTGGTGTGTGGTATTTTTCATGGTATTTATTTCCAGGGCTGAAAAGCGTGTTCTAGCAGGGTTGCATTGGGAACAGCTGAATGTGGCGCCACCTGGAGGTACATTTATTTTCAAACTGGTTAACAAAATAACGGGTATCTGATAGTCGAGTTACAAGAGTTATTAAATAACTCTATTCTTGCTCACTGATAATACAAGTTAAGGTCAGTGCTAACGCCGTTTTAAATACTGATTCAAAGTTTAATCTTGTCCAGTTCATTGGAACACCTTGAGTAGAAACAGGAAATACTAATTGCTCCCAAACTCACAGCAATTATACGTAATCATAAGCCATCAAGATTAACGAAATGATAGGAAAGCCTTATCGCCGTTGACCGCTAGCCAGTTAAATCAACGGGGATCGAAATTCCCACACGATCTATCAGTCTTGTCGAATCAGACGAACTTTCAGGCAAAAATAAACAGCCATAAATTAGCCAGCCAAATCTAGGAATCCTTATCAAGTTCCTGGGGGGCATATAAAAGGCACGGGCGGCCAAGTCAGTGGTCAAAGCACCTGCACCTGTGGAATAAAAAATGCTGCTGGTTCAATTAATTGCGGTTCTTTTAAGTCTGGGCCTGGCCGTTGCCCTGCCTGCGGATGCGGGGCGAGCCAGCTCGGTGACCACGGTAAGTTTAAGGAGGACTTTTGTCCTTCCTATCTAAGATCTATCTATCTTTAAAGGTCACCATCGCCAGAGGACACGGCTATGAGATCGAGGAGCACGAGGTTCAGACCTCCGATGGCTATCTCCTGACCATGCACCGCATACCGTACTCCAAAAACACTGGTTACGATGGCCCACGTCCGGTCGTCTTTCTCATGCACGGACTGCTGTGCTCCTCATCGGATTGGGTCCTGGCTGGACCCCACAGTGGGTTGGCTTATTTGTTGTCCGAAGAGGGCTATGATGTGTGGATGGGTAATGCCAGAGGAAATACCTACTCCAAGAAGCACGCCACCAAATCGCCGCTGCTGCAACCGTTCTGGAACTTCGAGTGGCACGACATCGGGATCTACGATCTGCCCGCCATGATAGACTACGTCCTTTACCGCACGGGACAGCCTACAGTGACTTATGTCGGTCACTCTCAGGGGACCACCTCGTTCTTCGTTCTCAACACGATGATTCCGCGCTTCAAGAGCCGCATTAGTTCGGCCCATTTGTTGGCTCCTGTGGCCTGGATGGAGAACATGGAGAGTCCCTTGGCCACGGTTGGCGGTCCCTTGCTGGGTCAGCCCAATGCCTTCGTGGAGCTCTTCGGCAGCGCCGAGTTCCTGCCGAACACGCAGCTTATGAACCTTTTCGGAGCCCTTGTCTGCAAAGATGAGGCATTCACTCAAGCCCTGTGCACCAACACCCTGTTCCTCCTGGGCGGCTGGAACTCGCCGTATATTAACGAAACCATGTTGCCCGAAATTATGGCCACCACACCGGCTGGCTGTTCGGTCAACCAGATCTTCCACTACCTGCAGGAGTACAATTCCGGCTACTTCCGGCAATTCGACTACGGGTCGACGCGCAACAAGAAGGAGTACAGCAGCAAGACCCCGCCGGACTACGATGTGGAGGGCATCGAGGTGCCCACCTATCTGTATTACAGCGACAACGACTACTTCGCCAGTCTGATCGACGTGGATCGCCTAAGGTACACCATGAATCCGAGTGCCCTGAAAAGTGCATACCGGCTGCCCGAGGAAAAGTGGAACCACATCGACTTCCTGTGGGGACTCAATGTCAAGGAAATTCTTTATGATCGCGTCATTGCCGACATAAATAATGCATAATGTGCGCTTCGAATAAAGCGACATAACAATGTGATAGAAAAGTTCCACTGGTCACTACTTAATCGGGGGCTTTGGTAGCTAATGAGCCGATAATTTACAAGTGGTCATAAATTCAAATTGAATTGCTGACACTTCACCGTGACTAAACTACGAAAATAGCCTCTAGCCATTTCACAGTATTTGTTTAGTAATTTTTACTTGCCCACCGGTGTCATTATTTATAAGTTTATTTTAGGGGAAATACACTACAAATATTATCAAAGCTGATTCTTTACTTTTATTAGGTACAGTTAAATAAAACGCAATAAACGTATATGTTTAAACTACGCGCCATATTTCAGGGCTGCCATTACTTGTGCTAATCATCGATACTTGTAAATAATTTTTGAGTACTATCGCACTCTTATCGAACAGGGCTATTCCGTCAATGAATCCAGTGTAGTCGTGCAATAAAACATTGAAAAAATAAATAATTTATTATAATTAAAAAAATAACATAACATTCTTTTAATTTTATGCACATGTTTCGATTGCTCATTGTTAAAGATTCCCGGGCACCATTAAATTATATCTCATTTTCTTTGTGTTAGCATTTATAAAATTGGGCATTTTTTAAAATAAATAAATAACTTATTTTAACACAAGCATTTAATAAATTTTATATTTTTTTTGTAATTAGAAAGTTTATAGTTTACTTTTTCGATACTATCGGCATTGTTAAATAAATACCACACGCCAGACCCAAGCCGATACTATCGATAGATGCCATCCTCACTCAAGCAGGTACATCCACGCGAAAAAAGCTAATTGCAGCGAAGAAAAATTCTTTCAGGCGCTAAATTGTTGAAAAATACCGCCCTCGCTGGCCCAGTGGTCGGGTATTCGTGAGCTCCAAGATGACGCGCGTAACGAGAAGTGAAATCTCCCTGGACATGGAGTTCTGGGTGGAGGAGCTGTCGCCGGCTCAGTTGGCGTACTACGAGAAGATCACCAACGAGCACAACGCGGTGAAGGGTGCTCTCAAGAGCGCCGTGAGCGCCAACGAGGGCAAGGAGCTCTTCAGCGGCCAGGTCTTCCAGGCGTACTCCTTCAAGGGCAAGGTGCTGCAGGAGCTCAAGGAGGCCACGCTGCCCAAGAAGCCTCCCAAGGCAGCGGATCCCCCGCCCACGCCCACTGCGCCGGCCAGTGGAACGGGGCGTGGTCGTGGCCGACCGCCCAGGCAGCCCTCCAACATCGCCTACCTGGAGTCCTCCGACGAGGGCGACGACGATGTGCCGCTGGCCAAGCGACTGGCCCTGTCGGCGGGCAAGAAGGCGGTGGCCGTGGCCAATGCCGCATCCTCTCCAAAACCCGGCAAGAAGGCAGGTGCGGCGGCTGCTGCAGCCTCCTCCTCCGGCAAATCATCACCCGTGCTCAAGGGCAGCGGCAAATCGCCCAAGGAATCCAAAGCCGGACATCGAGTCGCCGCCAAAGAACTACCGCCCCGCCGAGGTTAATTCGGTGGGCGGTCTGGTGGTGGGCAGCACCGACGAGAGCAAGGACAGCAAGGACGGCAAGGATGGCAAGGACAACAAAATGCAGGGCAAGACCTATCCATCGCTGGTGGTGCTGGCCAAGCCGTTCCTGAAGATCAAGGACATGGCTGCCACACGCAGCAAGCTGGACTCCAAGGTCAAACTGGTGCTCATGCTGACGCCCAACAAGTTCTGCGAGTGGCTGCTCCAGGAGGGACTGCTCCGCGCTCAGCAGCACTGCATTAACCACCGCAACAACGAACTGAAGCTGGGTAAGTAGTAAAAGATTCCTTACTCTCATAAAATCTAATTGAATTCTTTTCTTATTTAGGCATTTATTCGGATGTAACCAAGTTCCCCTACACTGGTGGCTATGTGTGGATCAGCGATTGCTGCCCCTATCGCTTCGTGTCCGTATTCAACAATTCCATTTTCGAAGGAGCCCAGCACCCGCCCACATTCCTGCTGAAGCTGATCTACCACTGGGCCTGCCAGACCAGCATTCAGAATGTGGTGCAGTGGGTCAAGGTGGACAGTGTGTACATCAAGGGCATCTACACCTGGCTAAGAGCCATTTGCACCTTGGCAGTGCATCAGAAGTGCAAGAAGTTGGGCGGTCCCGGCAAGTTTGTCGAGGTAACTATTACATGTCACTTGAAAAGAGCCTTTAATCACAGTTTTTATTATTACTAATTCAAGGTGGGCGTAATTTCCCTGGGAACCACCTCACAGGACGGCTCCCAGCGGCAGGTCAAAGTGGAGGTTCTTGGCGTCTATGACTACGCGGAGAAATCCATTCGCCTGCGGGCAGTGGAGCCAATCACCGATGGCGATCGCAACTACAAGAAGCGTTTCCAGGCCATTCTGGAGCCCCTGTCGCGCTGGGTGCACAAGGACAGCACCATTTGCATTGATCTGACCGTGGACAAGATCACGCTCTTCAGCATGGGCTTCAAGAATATCGTTCAGGCAGCAGCCACCGACAACACGGCCAAGCACAACAACTCAGCGGTAATGGAGTACTTGCGACGGATTGTGCCGCGCATGTTCCAGAACACCCTGTCGCTGCTCTCTCGCCAGATGATCCAGCAGTTCCTCGACGAGCTGGTCTGGCGGGAATCATTCGGCACATATGCCTTGCAGGCATTCAACAATATTATCATACATATCGCCGAGCAGACGAGGGTTACCACCAATGAAACCATCACCCAGCGCCTGTATCAGGTAAATAAAAAATCAAAATAAGTATCTAATCAGCACCTAATGCCTCTTTCGTTTAGGTCGCCACCAATCCGTTCAAGGACTGGAGTGTCCTGCCGGCCAACTACAAGGAGACCCCGGCCAATGCGGCACCCAAGCGCCTTAAGAAACGTTAGTACTTTCGTACTTTTCTAGCCAGTTTTCAATATAGGCAGTGAATAGAATAATTCGTAATGATAATCCACTAAGCAAGTGCCTGCGTTTCTCACTCCAAAGTGAAATGTTTTCGTTTTGTTTAACTACATTCTTATAATCGAAGCCAAATGATGAGCTCAGGTCAAAGCCTTTGTCCTCTGATTGTGTTGTGTGAATTGTGAATTTACGCAATCATTGCATGTGAAGTGTATTATCAATATGCACTCACATGGCGCACATAAAATTTAAGTTCTACTCTCTGGCATCATTCGTGTTAACTTATTTTAAAGCAATCTCTTGTGAGATAAAAACCAATAAACTTGCAAGAAATTTATTAACTGTTTTTATTTGAATTACTTTTTCATTTGGAGTGACAAAACGTAAAAAAGCAAGTACTAATTAAGCTGTTCTACCAGATTTCCCATAAAAAATGGACGAAAATGCTGCGTGAATTATTTGTATATCTCTTAAAAAGACAGCATTTTAAACCGATTCCTTATTTGTTTTCAGCAATCAACGATGCCGACTACGTTGTCTCCAACAAGGTTCCAAAGAAGGAAAAGGATCGCGAGAAGGATGTAATTCCCACTGGACCGAAGCGTGGCCGTCCACCAAACTCGTTGAACACTCCACCGCCCCAGGTGCCAGTTAAGAAGGGTCCAGGTCGTCCACCTGGCAGTACCAACCAGCCGAAAGGAGACAAAGCTTCGACCTCCAAGGCCGGACCTGCATCATCAAAGGCACTGTCCAAATCACTGGCAGCCAAGGCACTTGCCATTAAGACTCCTGGTAAAAAACCGAGGGAAAAGGATGTGAAGGTCTCGCTGGTCATTAAGAAGGAGGATGAGGATCTTAGGGGTCTGGAGGAGCTCTACTACGGCATTAGCGATGGCACGGACGAGTACTATGAGATCTTTCCATTCAGCACGCCCCGAACCGCTCACAACAATCTGGCCAAGACGGTGGAGTGTCCAATATGCCTGAACGGCGACTCCTTCGATTCCAATGAGAAACTGCAGACCCACCTGGTGTCGCACATCTCGCCCGAGGGCAAGCAGCATCAGTTCCAGTGCCTCTTCTGCCTGGAAAAGCACCCCACCGAGTCGGTTCTGGCCAAGCACAATCAGATCATGCATCCAACCGAGACGAAGACCGAGGGCTCTCCCTCGTACTACTGCCTGATCTGCCAGCAGCGTCACAATTCCCTGCACCTGCTGACGGCCCATCTGCAGAAGGCGCACAGCACGCTGGAGCTGCCCTATTGGTGCCACTCCTGCGGCTATCGTTCGTCATCACACCGCGATTTGGTCAGGCATTTCTATGACGACCACAAGCACCAGAACTTCCTGCAGTGTCCTTATTGCTTGGATGTGAGTAGCTTTGATTAGTAATCCCTTCTTGATGTTTTCATTCAAATCATTCCCTTCTTTTTCAGATATTCTACTTCTCAAAGCGCGGCGTTGTCAATCAGCTGCGCATCGAACACTATTTCCTGCATTTGGACGAGCACATCAACAAGCGAGATCCCTCGCTGCGCTGCCAGAAGTGCTCGCTTACCTTCCTCGAGAAGGGTGATCTTAAGCAGCACGCGGTGCAACATCATGTCAGCATGATCAAGACCAACAAACCGGTGCGTCTCCTGCTCAACAATTCGCTGTTGATTCCGCCGCCAAAGATTCGCACCCATCACCGCGAGCAGCCGCCCTTCTCCACCTACAAGCGCCCAGTATTCTTTGCCTTCCTGGAGGGCAAGACTTGCGCCGAGTGCAACACGGATTACGCCAGCGAGGAGACGCATTACACGTGAGTATAGAATTTGTATTTATTTACTAAGTTAGGCAGAAAGACGCCAGGGGTAAAGATGCCAGCGCTCGACAGCGAAAACCAGGGCAGACAGCAACCAACCAATTCCCAAAACACACCAGCCCAGTCGCAAAGTATTCACATCAATAGGTTGATAGCCCAGGACATTGTCCAGAAATCTCACATATCCAGCGCGCATGGCATCATTGAAGTCGGAGACCAGCCAGTGCTGCAGCAGACCAGCATCCTGAATCCTCATAATGAACATGTTGAGGGTCGACTCCAAATGGCTGTCTATGCGCATTGGATAACCGATGTGTGGGGATCCCAGGCAAGCGGTTGAGAAGCGAAATATCGGCTTAAAGGCATACTGCTGTTGCATGGCAAAGAACTGCCAGCGTTCTTCGGTGAAAGGGTAGGCGTAGCTGCGATTGAAACTGAGCAGGGCGGACACCTGTTCACTGGCATTTACCCCCACCAAAAGCCGACTCACTTTGTCCACCAAACGAGGTTCAACATGGCGCAGAATAGTGCTAATTTCATACTCCTTGGACAGAACCTTTTGTTGCTGCTGGATGAGCTGTTCCACGCTATTCACTTGCTCGCCCACGACCATGGTTGTGAAAAAGCTGTCCAACTCAATGTTGTACCAACTTGTGGTAATGAATCCCAAGGACAGAAAGTTGTAGGAAAACCATGTAGTAGCGCCACGATGGTCTGTAAGTTACTACGGGTGAGCTGATGAAGAGGATCTTGCTTACGGCATCCAGAAAGTTCAAACCCAAGCGCTGGGGCCAGGAAGTACCTGGTTTTGGACTCATCAAATAGAGAATTCCCGTGATGTATACAACTGCGAACGACAGAATATACCAGCTGTACAAATGGAATGGTCGCAGGAGGTACATATGTCTGGGGATCTCATTTCGCACTGGCACAATCAGGCAATTTCTGTATATTCCCAAGGGGTAACTCTTGACTGTCCTCTGCGGTGTGCTTACGTACGGGTGCATGGAGATCTCCAGTTGTCCGTCCATTATTAACTGCAAAATGCCGCTCATATTCACACTAGTCGTAGGGTCAAGACTCTGGTCGGGATTTGTGAGGTGTAGCGAGGCGTTATGATGATTCAGATACTCCACAAACGCGCGATAGGCATATCCCCGCACCGTCTTCCGCCCAGTGCCAGGTTCCTGGACATGAAATACTCTTGGAATATCATTCTCCGCTGGAGTGGACACCACATATCCCTGGAAATTCCTCGCTGCAGGTGGAAAAAGCGGATTCGAATGAATATCCAACTTGAAAAAACGCACCACAGGATACGGAGTGTAGGAGTAAATGTGATCTTTGTGCAGGACGAGAACGTTGAGGAATTGAAACTGCCAGAGAGTGTTGAATATGGATTGAATAGCCTTGTGGGAACCACTTCTTTGGGAACGCAGCATGATGATCAGACGAATGCGACGCAATTTTTGTAGACTTCTATCCAGAGTAAACCACACAACATCTTGTCTACCATGACAAAAGAACAAACCGATGGCATTGTTTCTAGTCATTCTAAAGTGACCAAGGGGCTTGAGCCTTTCGGGTTGGAGAAATGCGTTCATCGTTAGGCTAGTAACTCCCATTGTTTGGTGAAGCCAAATAATCAGGTCATTTAGATCCTCCCTTTTCGTATTGTGTCCCACGAAGATTGGGGTATTTATCCACTGCTCCCGAGTAGAGATGCCGCTTAGAATAGATTTCAACAATGTCACATTGTAAGCACCTCTTGTTGGCTGTGATACTAGAAACAGGAAGAGAATTGTTAGCACTTTGAACATGGTGGTCAACTCGATTATGGCAGGTGAGAAGGCAAGGATATGGTTTATAAGCCAGCAGGTAATTTATTTAATTTGCTTTAATAGAGCCTGATTGGTCTTATCGGTGAAATTCATTAGTAAGGGTAAGGTAATAAGTTTTAAGATAGGGTTTTGCTGTAAGCCTTGTATGTAACCCCTCATTAAAAATACTTTCTTTTATATTTTTAGCGGTTGGCTGCACTGCGTCAAGTGCAATTATCAGACCTGTTGCGAGCGAGCTCAATTCCGTCATGGTGTCGATTGTAATGGAAACTTTGTGGATGCCATGGAGGTGAATATGCCGCAAGAGATGCACTGCATCTGCGGTTTTGCTACCGGCAACGGCAACAAGATGGCTCAGCACTTGGCCAACTGTGGCCTGAGCACCTGCTATCCCAGCTTGGAGGCGGCCAGCGAGAATGCCGTGAAGCGCAATATGCTAGACATGTTGGGCCTGGTTCGACGCGATGGCGAAACCTCGGGTGAGGGTGCCGAGATCAGCGAGGCTGCCGACGATGTTGCGGACCAGAGCAGCGACCTGTTGCCACCGCAGGAAGATCATCAGTTGCAGCAGCAGCAGCATCATCATGAAGTGGAGCACCAGCAGCAAATGCAGAGTGAGCCTCAAGCTGAGCTGCAGCAGGAATACCTGTCGGCGCCAGTGGAGCATGAACCCGTGCAGAATCTGCCAGTTCATCAGAGCATGCCAGTGCAGCAGAGTGGGCCCATACAGTTTGGGGAAATGGAGGCTGCTCCCGTAATGCTGGATCCCCAGGTGCAGCAGGTGCAGGCCACGCCGGATTACGCACAAGTGTCGGTGGTGCAGCAGCACCAGCAGCAGCAGCAGCCCTACGGACTGAGCAACTACGGCCAGAGCTCCCTGGCCACGGATATCGACATGCCGCTGATTGGAGAGCTCTCTGAGCCAAATGCTCCGCCGACGCCCCAGTTCCTGGGCGAGGTGCACACGCCCATGTTCGATGCAGTGGCCGCCGCCGAGCAGCAGCACTATCACGCCCAGCACCATCACCACCCGCAATGATACAGGCCACCCGGAAAGCTGAAATCACGCGACTACACTCTCCACTGGCAGAACTACTAATTGGAGTTCATCCCTGACAATTTGATTGCACACTGGCCATATCCCGGACTCATAAATGACATTGCAACTGACTGTAGCATGCAATATCCAGGCACGAACAATACAATACGAAATACGAAAATTGTATAGCATCTAATTAAGTACTTGTGACATTAATGATCCATCTTGAATGAAATCTCAATTGCACAAAGGCCTATTCTACCGGAATTTCGTACTTTCACGAAAAAGTAAGCAGAGATCCGTTTACCGCGGCATAAGAACTCCTTTACAATGGGATCTGCATCTTTACATTTTAAATATCTCTTTTATACATTACATAATTCACTTGGATATTGGTAACTAATCATTTGTAAATTACACAAATACATTGTAATTTTAATAAATCTACTTGTCCTTAAACCATAGCCTTTTATATTAGATATTTCAATTAAAATTAAATATATATTGTGCTCGAAGGACCAAGCTTAATTGATACTTATCGCCTACATCATCATCCTATTTCTAGTAATTGGTAATGACAAATTATGGTATAATTGGAATGCTCAATTTTTATTGACAGGCTGAATTAAATAGAAATATAATTGGATTATTATAACGTGAATTGGATAAATTAGTGCCGATGGTAAAACCGCCAGCGTTCGCAAAGGAAAATTATAGCGGACAATAGCCATCCACATCCAAGGGTTGCCCAACCCAGGCGCAAGGAATCGATATCCAGGGAATGAAATCCCAGGACGTTGTCCAGGAGTCTAACGTATCCAGCGCGCATGGCATCGTTGAAATCGGAGACGAACCAGTGCTGCAGGAGTCCTGCCGCCTGGATCCGCATGATGAATATGTTGAGAGACGATTGCAGGTGACAGTTACTCCGCATCGGATAACCAATAATCGGGGATCCCAGGCATGCCGATGAGAAGCGAAAGATCGGCTTGAAGGCATATTGCTGTTGGAGAGAGAAAAACTCCCATCTTTCAAGGGTGAAGGGGTAGGCGTAGCTGCGATTGAATCCTAGCAGAGCGGACACCTGTTCACTGGCATTTACGCCCACCAAAAGTCGGGCTACTCCGTCAACCAAATGGGGTTCCACATGCCGCAGGAGAGTACTGACTTCGTAATGTTTGACCAGAACTTTTTGTTGTTGCTGGATAAGCTGCTCCATGCTATCCACCTGCTCACCCACCACCAAAGTGGTGAAAAAACTGCTCAACTGAATGCTATACAGGTTGGTGACCACAAATCCCAAAACAGTGAGCTGCAATGAAACCAGAATATACCTCAGTGATGGGCGGTAAACCCTCGAGGGAGAGCAAATATATATTATTCGGCTGATGCTATCCAGGATGTTAAATCCAATCCGCTGATCCCAGCTGCGATGATCCAGTCCAGGTTGAATCCAGTAGAGTACTCCGCTAATGTAGATTACAGATCCGAGCAGAAGAATCCAGCTCCACTGGTTGAGGGGCAGCAGCAGATACATGTGACGGGATATTTCATTTCGAACAGGGACTATTAGGCAATTGGTGGCCACTAGCAACGGATAGCTGTGATCGCCCATTGTCTCCGGCACGTCCACATAAGGATGCAATGATATCTCCAGCTGGCCATCCATTATGTGCTGCATCATCCGTCCCATATTCACACTACTATTGGTCGCATGGTCCTGCTGGGGGTTACTCACATGCAACGAGGCATTGTGACGATGCAGATACTCCACGAATGTGCGATATCCAAATCCTCTTATCTGCTTGCTTCCAGTCTTCTGATCCCGCACAAAGAAGACACGAGGAACATCATTCTCCACTGGTGTGGATACCACATAGCCCTGGAAATCAGTTGTACTTGGCGGAAAAAGCGGATCGGATTGAAGATCCAGCTTAAAGAATCGAATTACCGGATATGGAGTGTACGAGTAAATCTGATCCCTGTGAAGAACAAGAACATTGATGAACTGAAAGTGCCATAGTCTCCTGAATATGCCCATTATGGCGTTGTAAGATGCACTTCGTTTGGTGGGTAAAACGACAATTAGACGAATACTATGTAGTCTTCGAAGACCCTTGTCCGCATTGAACCAAATCAATTCCTGGGTGCTTTGGCAAAATAACAAGCTGACCGAATTGTCCGCATTTATATTATAGTAACCCAGAGGATGTTGCTTGTGGGCTGGAATAGCTGTATCTACCGTGTGGCAAGTTACCTCCATTGTCAGTTGAAGCCAAATCATCAGGCCATTCAGGTCATATGAATTCGTGTTGGCCCCCAAAAAAATGGGGGTATTTTTCCAATTCTCCCTGCCGCGAAGGGCTGTCAGCACGGATTTCACCAAAGTCATATTGTGACCTCCTCGGATGAGTTGCAACTGGGCGCGGGTAGAAAGCAGCAAGAGGATTACAACAGTTATGCGCATGGTGGTTGATTACGCTATGATTTCATTGAGTCCTTGCATTAGACTTATAAGGTAGAAAATAATTGAAGTAATTAAATATAATAAGTGTTGATTGCCCTTATCACTGATCAGAAGGAAGGAAAAAAGATATTGCATTACTTCTTTATTTAGGATTTTATTCAATGATTTGTCAGGATATATAATCACGTTTTTTATTTAACTATTTTTTTTTGGAGGTGAGCATTGATTTATTGCACTTTGAGTGGACAAAAAATATTAAACATTCATACATTATATTATTTTGAAATCGTATGGAAATACACAAAACACGTAAAATAAATTATAATTACGGCTAAACATGGGAAATATCATTGCACGAAATCTTTGAAATTTTTAAAAGTCCACAACCTTTACGGAATATTTGCTATTGGGGGTTATCGCAAGAAAAATCAACCAGTAATACTTTTGAAATTTCACGAAGAGATTTGTGATGTTTTGGAATATAGAACCTTGCAGTCTGCGAAGGATCACTTTTGTTGCTGTCGTTGCTTCGACTTCAGTAGAGCAGACAAAACCAAAGCAGTATCTAGTTCCTGCTGATTACCAGGCTCATTGTCCAGAGATATTTCAGCAGCACGTTCGTGGAATCGAGCCAAGACGCGGGAACGATAATCTGAAGGGTTGTGAGATTTTCTTTATAATAACTATTTCAAAATATAAACGTGTAAAACTTACCCACACTACCCGCTAGTGGATTTCCAGTGAGCCGTAGAGTTTCTAGAAGCGGAAGATTGGCGACATGATCGACCTCGTCGAGCTCTTCGATTTGATTGGAGCTAAGATCGAGATTGACCAGAGAAAGCAACTTCCGCAGACCACTTAGGGTCTTGATTTTATTCTGAGCCAGCTTCAGTGTGACAAGATTTCCCATCGTCAGGTGCCAGTCAACGCACTCTGCTATCAGATTTCCGGACAGCGAAAGCAACTGAAGGTGAGGAAGTTCGGCTAGATTCTGGACGGTGCGTATACGATTCTGTTCGAGAATTAGGCGTTTCAGTTTTGGAGCAGTTCTCACACTGCCATCGATTTGGGTGAGCAGGTTGCCGGTCAGATCCAGCTCGGTTATCTCCTGCCACGCGTCCGCACTAACCAAGGCACTGCCGTTCGAGGAGGAGGAACCAGAACCGGAGGTGGATGCAATGATTGCCTCTGGCAGCAGGCTTGGCACATCACAGTGCTTGTGCAGATTGTCGCACAGCAGCACTTGGTTTATGTTTTGTATGGTTGTGTTATGCACACAGATTGTCTGGAGAGTGGGCTTTCAGAAGCTCGATGTCCACAATGTTCTCCGTGGACAAGGCCGAAAACTTGAGCATCTTGAGATTGCGAAAGGCATTCAGATTGAAGTTTAGTCTGTTCGGAATGATATTACTGCGACCGATTGGCACGTCCACCGTGTTGTAGTCCTGGGCATAGCTGCAATTGTCCTTGACCGGGGTAACCACCAAGGCCACAAGCTGTGTGCAAAAGTCCAGAACATGCGAGAAGTCGTATTTACCACCACGATCCAGGTTTGGTGGACAGGGAAGACTTAGCCGCTCACTAATGGCAAAGACCTGCGAATCGAGGGTAAAAGTAAAAACATTAAGTATTGTACTATTTTAAAATATATTTAAGTTATATTAAGCTGCCATTGCAGCTTTGAGTTCTTCAGTTTTTGGTTTTCTTCAACGGAAAAAGTTCTTTCTCTTCGCTTGCTAGGAATTTCAACATCAATTTGTGGAGCAAAGCTATTCCCAGATACTTTCGCTCCTTACTTGATAAACTACTTCGAGCTGGACCGCAGTAAACACCCAACCGCCGGTTGGTCAGATGATTCATACTTAGGGCATCAATAACAGATGCCTCACGAGTTTGCGCATCTTGTGACGAAATCCCTTGGAAAGCTCGGACTAGCAAGACCCCACGATTCGCCCTCCAGATGGACACTATTAATGCCAATTTTCGGGTCCTTAACTAACGTAATGCTGTTGGCTTTCATTCAGAAATTTCTGGGCTTTTTTTAAATGAACATAAGGGCGGGTAGCCTTGCCTTTTCCTACATAGAAAATGGCTCTGAGAAAGGTATACCAAACATCCATGAGATGAAGACGACCAGCTCGTTCCCTCAGCTTATTCGTAACTCGAGGATCCAGCAGCAAATAGTTGAAGTAATGCCGATTGATGCAGTCATTATCTCGATACCATTTACTATGCTGTCGGACAAACTTTTCAAGGTGACTGATCTTTTTAAAATTGATTTCGGAATTGATGGTCTTTTCCAGCTCTGCAGAGAAGTTGGTCTGATGTCTGTGGAGCGTACCCAGCGAATAGTTAATACCTCTAGCATTGACTAGGCTGTCGAAGATATTTCTAAGCTGCAATGGGCTCGTTTGGATCAAACCAAATACTAATAATTTAGACATGTTTCAGTGTAGGATCGTGAACTTAACAAGAAACTCAAGGGGATTACATATATTTTCAACTCACCTCCAGGGCCGACAGGTTGTACTCCTTCTTGGAGCTGAGCAGTGCATCCCCGCTTTCGTTGAACAGCTTGGCAAGATCCTGCAGGAGATATATGATGTCGTACTTGTTGAAGTCCAGGAATTCGGCCAGAGCCCGCGGCAGTTCTGTCCGGAAGTAGATGAGGAGTTCCTGGAGATATGTTTCCAACTGTTCGCGGCGCTGCTCCAGAAACGAAGGCTGTTTATTCCCGACCAGCTGGGAAAAGGGTATTATTTGCATAAGTGGATCCCTCATAATTATTTGGGGGCGTACCTTCTTCGGCGGCAGCAGCTTCTTGCTGATGGAGATCTCCCCGACCAGCTTCTCGTGGAGACTTGCAAAATCCCTATAGCGCCTCTCCACCACCCACTCCACCTTGCCCACTCGCAACTTGATGTCGTAGTAGGTTGTCCCGCTGGAGTTCTCGTTCGTGAACTTCGGTATCGTCACCGCGGTGTCCTCGTGCTGGCGATAATAGCAAGCCATTGCTGTCCTTTCCGCGTCCCTGAGATTTTGTCAAGCATCCGGATCCGCATCCAGCAGGTAATCATTGATAAACATCATCAATCAGCCAGTGTTGCTAGTGGTGGTGCCAAAATCGAGAGAGAAAGTAAAACGGAGAAATAGCTAGAACTGGCTATAGCCAATAATAAGTTACGACCGGCTGTGTCGAAAGGAAATTACCAAATTGGTGTTTTTATTTTAATCTCCTGTTTTAACTTATCAATTTAAAATATGCCGTATAATAAATAGTTTATTTTTATAAGCTGTAAATAAGAATTATGAGAATATAGCTACAGGAAAATTGACAACACTGTCTCGCGCTTCAATTAAATACCAAATGGTATATTTTCAGTATATCAGCAGCCCGTCCTCAAGTGCTATCGAATAATCGATAGTTGGGCATTCGGCTTTTTTGTTTATATTTCCTTGTTGGCATTTTAAAGAACGTTCTTTAAGTTAATTAGTTTAACTAAGCAATGCCAGTAAACAGGCGAACTAAAAAGTAATTGACATATCCGAGCTGCAGGGAGACGAGGCCTAAAAATGGCCTTCCTGGGCGATTGTGTGATCGTGTTTGTGTCGCAGGCAAGTGGGACTCTTAATTTGGATATGGGAGTTAGAATAACTCCTGTTTACTTAATTGCAGATGGTATTCTTTGCCGGCGGCTGGCTCTTCTTCAACAAGGAGCTCTTCAAGCACTATGAGATACGCCACATATCCGTTCAGCTGATCTTTTCATCCACATTCGCCTTGTCCATAACCATGTTTGAATTGATCATATTCGAAATCATCGACGTTCTGGAGTCCAGTTCGAGATACTTCCATTGGCGACTGGGCCTCACGTTGCTGCTCCTTATGACGACGGCTGTGATACCTATATACATTTGCTATTCTGTGATACACAGCATTTCCTTCTGTAAGCGGACCTCTATATAAGCTCAAGTGACGCCTGTAACTTTAGCTTTTCTTTCCAGTTTCCGATAGATGGGTCAGAATTCTGACCACATTCTGTTGGTTTGTCTTTCTCTACGGACTGTGGCGGATTGGCGAGCCCTTTCCCTTGCTGAGCGCCTCCCATGGCATCTTTACGATCGAACAGGGCGTTTCCCGGATTAGTGTGATTGGGGTCACCGTAATGGCCATACTCTCCGGCTTCGGTGCCGTCAACTATCCCTACACCAGCATGGCCTACTTCATCAAGTAATCGAATTGCTATAAAATTCCCTCTTATCTCTGTGTGACATGCACTTAATTCTCGTTTTTGGCAGGCCAGTGTCTCGAAATGACATCATCTGCTTCGAGCGACGATTGGCCCTGACGGTAGACATGCTGACGGCCAAGAAGCGTAGGATTGCCCTGGCCGTCTATAATCACAACAAGCTGCATCCAGCCAAACCTAGAATTTGGGATATGCTAACCTCGGCAGTGCAACGCAACACGAGCAATGGCGAAGGTTGTTATATATGCAATCACAAAATATATTTGTTTACTCATGCCATGCACTCTTTCAGACATCAATCAGTTAAAGCAGGAAGTTTACGGCTTGGAGGAGCTGTTACGCTCTGTTTTCTTGGAATTAAGTTCCTTGAAAAACATGGAAGAACGCCAAAGGTGGTCTCAAACGTTGAAGGGAAAGTATTTCAATGTCCTGGGACACTTTTTCAGTGTTTATTGTGTCTATAAGATATTTATGGTATGTCAAATATTTATAAAATATTTTTCCCCTTTACTAATAGCTACTTTATTATCTTAGTGTTGCATCAACATCATCTTCGATAGAGTGGGTCGCAAGGATCCAGTGACACGTGGCCTAGAGATTGCCATTCATTGGTGTGGCTTTGACATAGACTTTGCCTTTTGGAATCAGCACATATCATTTCTGCTCGTCGGCTGCATTGTGGTCACCTCTATAAGGGGTTTGTTGCTTACTCTCACAAAGGTGGGTTGATAAAATTTTAAGATTTTACAAAAGCTAAGTTTAACTTCTTACAGTTCTTCTACCGCATTTCATCGAGCAAGTCGAGCAACATTATCGTGCTGATTTTGGGACAGATCATGGGCATGTACTTCTGTTCCTCGGTGCTGCTGATGCGCATGAATATGCCAGCCGAGTATCGGGTGATCATCACGGAAGTTCTAGGAAATCTTCACTTCAACTTCTATCACCGTTGGTTCGACGTCATATTCCTGGTCAGTGCTTTGACCACCATCATTGTTCTCTATCTGTCTCGCAAGCCAGTTCGCGTGGACGATTCCGATCTGCACTGATTCAAGCTTGAGCGCTTGGGAGAGCCCTGCAGCTCTTCTTTTAGGATAAGCAGAATTGATTTAGAATCAGTTAGCCTAATTATTGCAAGCTTTAAGTTATGTAAATCCGTGTATATACATACCAGTGTGTATATATGTATGTAATGCAGAATAAGATATTTAACTCTATAGCGATGCACAAAAATCAAAGTTACATATGTTTCTTTAAGTGAAATAAAGCAACGAACTGTTACTCTCTAGAAAAGTACTGGGAAATATTCCCTGCTTAAAATATGGGGAATTTATACGAATATCCTAACTCCAGCTTTCAAAAAGCTCTTTAGCTGTTTGATTTAGGTCTTTAGGTTACGGTTACCAGTTGCCTGCCACAACAAGGTTAGCTCAATGTTGAGTGAGTCACGTCCTAACATTTGAGCAGTTAAAATTACTACAATATTTCATTCCCAACATTCCCCTAACTCAATATATTGCTCTGTAGCTTCTTGAGGTAAACTGTAAGGAATTGTTGGGTAACTAAGTGGGCGTAAGCTTAGAGAGGGAAGTTGTAATGGGCTGCTAGTTTGGGACGGGTAGAAAATTTGTGTACCACAAATAATAAATGTAAATATTGTCTTTAAAAAATTTTTTCCACCCGTCGGCATACTGAAATAATATCAGTTTTTCTTTTAAATAATAACGCCCTTTAAGAAGTGCGGTCTAGGTTTTCCGAAAAAATATTCCCCATCATTACTCGCTAACACCTGAGGCCATTTTTAAAGGAACTTCTTAAGCGCTCAATTCCATTTCCTGCTACTTAGGGGCTCTTAAAAGAACAGGACAAACGGCAACATAAAATTGCAATTACAATTAAAGATGGGCAACTTTTTAAAAGTCCCGAAAAAACGAGATGTTACAGCACAGAAAGATAAAAATTGTCAACTGTCTACGGTCCCAGGCCGCCCGGATAAAGATATAACCATGTGCGCATTTGCTGGGTAAAAATGCCATTAAAATGTTGCGGGTGCCGCAGATCCAACCGAGCGAAAAGCATTTCGAGTGTCTAGATGAATAAATCATGGAATAAAAATGATTGAAGGGTTCCCAAAGGGCGACAGAAAGCGAGTGTGGAGAAGCCGAGAAGGTTGCGGACCCAAAACTGCAGTCAAAAGCGCAATATATGGCGGGGAATCAATCAGCTGGAAGCCCAATGAATCGGTAACCAAACACGGTAAAAAGACAACGCTTTGCTTAATTAGACAGAAAATAGCAGGTAAAATGGGGCTCCGTTTGCCCCCCTTTTGCGTGTTTACTTTTAACCTTATCGATTTCATCGATTAGTGATTGATAATGTGTGCTGGCCTGCTCCACTTGCTCGGCCTGGGTCGACTTCATGGCCATTATGCAAATTTGCCGAGCAATTGATTAGAATTTCACTTACATTACGCATACGCCCCCTATGCCACCGTTGGCATAATTAACGCTGCATGCCCCAGTCACGGTGGGCTAATTAGCATAAATTCAATTAGTGTCCTTGTTTGCACCTTCGGTTGTCTCCGAAGTCTAGTTTCCAAAGTTGCCCCTCCATCCTTTCCCATATAATATATCTAGCTGATCTTATTGACAGGAAACATATAGCTTGGCTTAGGGTTTTTCGAGGTTTGTTGTTCCGCCTTTTCCCTCATCTCTTGATGGCCCTATGCATATTTAGCATATTTCCGTCTTGACATTTGACCTTTTCTCTTGCATTGCGTCAGATTCGCAACGCCTGACTTTCAGTTTCAGTTTCGGTTTAGCGTGAGGTAGCAACTGGCGTTTGTTCCGACTGCGGTTATCTGTCTGAGTCTCGCCTCGGGACAGGAGAAAGACATTAGCATAAGCAGGCGGCATTTGTTCAGATTGCCGACGAATTTGTGACAAGTTATGCAATAGGTCTTCAGTTAGATTTACATACGATTCCCCGTGAGATAAATGTGCCAGGGATAAGAGCACGTGGGGGATTTTGTTGGAGCTTGGAAAAAATGTATTTTTTTCCTTTAATCAGGTGAGCAGATAAATGGTTTCAAAGCTGGTTGAGTTCAAAAAAGGTTAGTTTATTACAAAGAAATTCTTGAATAATTTTTGTAGCAAAATCTTCATTTTCTGAAACTCTTAAATAGACAAGTGGCAAAGATTGGTTGAAATCGACATTAGCTCGATCAGATATTTTTTCCTCATCCGCAGTCAACTGGATCTGGCTTAATGACCATCGTTCGCCATCCATTTAACCTTTTGCCTTCGCTCTGGTCCATTTAACCGCGTCGATTGCCTCGGTCCAAGTGTTCCCACCTAGCAACGAACCAACTAATTAGGACACCCATCCCCATCGACGAGCTGAGCGACTCATTAGCGGACGGCTCCACATAATTAAAGCAGCGGTTCCGACGGGCGAGAATGCAACAGCACAGTAATCAAAGCACTTGGCAATTATTACATTGATTACCAGATGAAAGCCATAAATGCCCGAAGGACGCGATGGTCAGTCCACAGAGGAAATGAAAAGAGAGTCTCTTGTATAGGTAGCAATATCGAATTCATTAGTCCTGACATGAGAGGATTATCCACCTAGTCGTTCCACTCTTAAAGTTTCAAAGCTGAATACGAAATACCACCACTCAGTGCCGATTCGCAATCAAATTATTTGCTCTATAAAATATTTAAAAGTTCTGCAACGTTCCCAGGCCGTGGGTAATGATAGCAGGGCAATTGAAATTGACAGTCGAACAGGGTTCCTAACCAGGTTATTAATATTTAAAAGGATTTAAGGGGTATGTAAGTATATAAGTGTAGTTACAGACAAATCATTAAAATTTCTAATTAGCTACGGCTTTTAAACCTATTTATTCTATAATACTGAGCAGACACCCTGTTTCTGTAAACGTATTAACGTTTTTTGCTGCCCAGCCTTGATGTATGTGAAACATGGCACTTTTTGTATCCCCATCAGAACTCAGCTGTGCGCCATCATCGTGGATAATCATGATGCTGCTGATACTGTGAGTGAGGTGAGTACAGGGGGCAAATATCTGTATAGCGATGTAATAATTAAATGAGCGTTCAATTTAAACATACGAAATAAAAAAGGACACAGCGTGTGAAATTAACGAGTGACCCCCAGCGAAGGTATTTGTGATGCAGGTGCCTTTCCCACAGCCTCGCATTTTTATCTGCAAACTTTGCGAGGATTATTGCTCCATTTTGCGCTCCAATGCTTTTCGCAGAACTCACGCCAAAGTTTAACGGGCACGTAAGTGTGCCGTCGCCCCATAAAAGTGTCATAAATGTTGATAAGGCATGTTTGTCATAGGTGAGACTGTGTGTCAGCACCTCTGGCTGCACCTGCAAGATTGTCCTGGCGGAGGAAGAGCACCAAAGTGCCAAGTAGTTGGTCGACCCAATATTCCGCAGATTGCTTTATTACCCTCCCAGCGAGCACAATGTGGCTGCTGAGCTGAGCTATGTATTTGCGGGGATTTATGATTTGCATGCCAATTTGTCAGCTTATTAGACGGGGCTCAAAAGCCATCTTTACTACCGAAGGAAGCGGTGAGACATCAAGGAGATTTTTCGCTTAGTAGTATTTGTGCATAGGCAAAATGGAAAACATCAATAAAAAAATTGTATTATTAATATTGCTTTTTTGAAAAATAAATAAAATAACATACATTTTTATCATTTAGATTTTTAAAAATAATTGGATTTTGCAGACATCCACAAAATATACTTTCTCATAGTGAAACAAAACCAATTTAAAGTTTCTAGGAAGTTTGGGGACCAAACTGTGATCAACTTTGAAATATACTATATCTTTTTTTTCTGTGTGACCACTAATTTCTCTTACAGTGAAATTGCAGCCATTTTTCCATTAGCGAAAGAACAACCCATGATTGTGATTGTACCGCCAACTGGCCATTTCCAGGGAGCAGCTGACGCTGTCAGTGATGGCCTCAATCAGAGCTGTCATAAACAGCGGCTGTGTCCTTCCGTCTGTGTGAACCCGTGGCTACACGATGGTCCATCGACAGGGCAGGATATGCAGGATACTTTCAGGATGCCAGCGAGGCGGACGAAGGGGGGGATTGAGGAAGAGAACAAGTGACACTTCCATCGGTTGAGTTTTGTATCTCTTTTGTGGGGCCATCCAGTGCTATTAATATGGAAATTATGCAAATTGAATTGACTTTCGCCGAGCCTGCCTGAGGCCCATTAAGCGGTATTTAAGTTGTTTTCTCACTGCGAAGGTGTTTATTTACGAATTCCGTGAAGATTAGGAATCTCTCAAGAGACTGGAGTAGTCTTTAAGGGCTTAGATATGTTTAACTTAGCCTTTGACGGGATTTCGGCATCTCCGCGGTGAGCGGAAAATTGTACAAATAATTAAAAATATCTTTCATAAGTGTGCCGGTTTTTTCTTTGGTTCTTCCGTCTGAAAAGGTGTTCTGATATTGATAAAATAAAATTCGAAAAAAGAATTTGAGTAAAAGAAGAACCTTTTAAATAGCTTTTAAGCAAATATCATGTGAACGCCCCCTTAACGCACGACCTTTTCTTTAAATTAATAACTGTGTTGCGTATATAGTAAAAGTAGGGCAGTATTTGAAGGCTTTACTTGGAAACTTTAGAGTTGAACACATGAATTATAGAATTCAAGGTTTAACGAAAGCCAAACAGTAATTTTTCAGTATTTTTCTTCAAGAAAAAAAAGCGAAATATTTAATCCAAATCAGGAAGTTTTTTGTTGTTATAAATGATTTTATTTGGAGTAATTTAAGTTAAGGCAATAAATTTTAAAAAATATCCCAGAACCCAAGCTTATCATTGCAATCATTTTACTGGGCCTGCGGCCAATGATGTGTTCGTGGCCAAATTTTCATTTTGCCCGCTTCGATTTGCCACAGGTGTGGTGGCGCAATAATTTGTCATTTTTCTTTCCGAAGGCTACTGCTACTGCTCCCTCTGGAGCGAAGGAACCTGCCAGTTGTGTGACAATCGCCTCGGAGCTGAAAGACCCCATACCGTGGCTAATCGATAAGTTGTGGCGAGTGGGGCACGAAACTGAAAGAACGGATTACTCGAAATGGAACTTTCTCCAATGATTGTCGTATTGATTATGATTTTCAATGCCGCTGGTGGGAAATGCCCATCGGGCAAGCAGTGGAGCCCAATGACAAAAAGGTGTATAAAATATTATTTCGGCTCATAGTCAGACAATAGAATGCTATCGGACTTAATGAACCCAAAGAGCCCATTAAGGTCTGCAGCATTAACAACTATAAAAAAGGTGAGGCGAGACTATTAAAAGTAATGACAACTAATTTTTAGTTTAATCCCGGCAAAGCCCACAAAGCATAAACATAATTTATAACATTTACGAAAATAAAAGGATTTCCAGACAAATAAAAAGAAGGCAAAAAGTGTGAAAAATTAAATGCCATTTTGTTGGGTTGAGTTGGGTTTGTCCTGGCAAAACAAAGCGATACTTCTGGGCAATGGTGTAGAATAACCTTTTGGGCTTCTTTGGGCTTCCCTTTATTGACTTGTTTCGATGCCTTTGGTTACACAAAATGGACAACAATTTGTGCCTCAATCAAAACTCTTATAAAGTTCAAGAAGTGCCTGAAATATTGAAGTTGGAAAAGGGTTCGTGTCGGGGCCTTCCCTCAAGACTTTTCATTAATCATTGAAAGCCACTTTATTTTAAGCAGGCATCGAAATGAAAGGAAAACAAACAACTATTGTGTGAAAATTGTTTGCTGACCAGTCAATGCCCATTGAAAGAACACAAATTTTCATTACATTTATGCATTCAGGCAGCACAAAAATAAATATAAACGAGCGAGCAGTGCAACAAAATATAATCAAGATTGCCTGTCAAAATATCTGCAAAACGGCAGTACGTGTGCATGAAAAATTCTTGAATGCTCATCGATTTTTTTTGCCTCGCTTTAGTTTTATTATTATTATCTGTGAATTTCCGTCTGTCGTGTGCAAATTGGATAATAGAGCGGTAAATTAAATTTACCGCCCCGTTCCGTTCTGGATTGAGTAAAAGTAATTACAGACAGGTGGAAAGCTGGCCATGCAAAATGCAGACCACCCACCCCCAACCCGATTACATGTGTACCTACATACAAATGTGGCCTCATTCCGCCCGATAATTAAATAAAATGACAAAAATCCATGATTGACAGCTCTTACGGGGAGTTATAGATCCATGGCGACTTTATTCAATGTTTGGATATTTTACAAAATGTACAATTTTAATAATGCCGAGCAAAGAAAAAAAAAGTAATATGAAATAATATTTCTACCTTTAAATAAAATTAAAATTAAAAATTGTTATATTATGAATTGTTTTTTTTTTATAATATTATCATAATATCCATTGAAAATTCAAACATTTGTCTGTGTGCTGGCAATAGCCACCATAGCCAATGCAATTTGGCATAGCTAAAGTGTCTCCAAAATCGCAATACTAAACTTCACTTCTATTTGGGATTCCTCATGAATCGAATCTATATATTTTTACTACTCGCCCTGGGGTTCCTTGCCTTCAGTTGGGCTCGTCAGTGCAAGGAAGGTTTTATTTTCAATCCGAAACGGGAAAAATGTGAAGCAGCACCGGCCACAGAAGCACCACCAAAATGTCGACGTACGTATAATATTTATCAGTATTTAAATAAGATAATATAATATTTATAGTATTTTAATAATAATACGTAACTAAATCGCTTTAGGTGGAAGGTACTGGGTTCCAGCGAAGAAAAAGTGCGTCAAGCTACGAAAAATTATTTCAGGATTTTACCCCGAAACACATCATAACTCAACCCATAGTGGCTTGAAACTTCCATGTCCTAAGGGCACCTTACCTTTGGGAAAACTTTGTGTAAAGGAATCAATCAGGAAAAAAAATAATACCGAGACTACAGAAAAAACGATGTTTTTGGAACCGAAGGGTTCCAAGTATCAAATTTTCATAAAAGCAAAGCATTAAGTTTGTTGGACAGTTCCTGCTTTTTCCTAATGATTTTAAAATTTGATTGCTTCATGTTATGAAGCTATTATCATGTTATGATAAAATTTTAAAAATCAATTATGAGAAAAGTTTACAAATCAAAATCCGCTGTTATATTGTTTTTTTTTTAATTTACGATTTAATATGATTTAATAAAGTCAAATATCAGGACCTAAAAAAAACCAAAAAAGCATTTTAACCAACCTTGTTTAACTGCGAGACAAAAATTGAAAAAAAGATAGAACAATAAACAGCTTAGAGCGAATTTATCCGGCGATTGTTATAATGAACCACAGCAATCAATGGGAGAAATATGGGACAGGGAAAAGTGATGGAAAACAAGTTGTCTACAAGCTGAAAGTCAAAAGGAATGTCATGGCTGTTGGGCAACAAATTGAAAGCCCGAAGAAATGACAATTGTCATACTGAATATTAAACTAGCGACAACTATTCTGATTTTAAAATTTAAAAGAAGACGCTAGGATACAAATAAATACCAAAAGTGCTACTTTAAAAATTCAATATAGTTTTTACAACTCTGAATATCAAAATGTCAGTCCCCTTTAAACCTTTTTATAAATCTACACAAAACTTCGTGGGACACCTGGGCGCAAACATGATATTCGTTTAACAACAACTTTTCTCAGCCCTTATTCACTTGAAAGTTTTCATTTCAAATTTATGTAAACTAATGAGAAAAAGTTTTTGCTATTCAGATGGTTTTGTTTTCATATTCATAAACTGGAAATGGCCAAATTAAGCTTTAATTTCAGGTAGGCTGCATATTTTGTAATAGATTGAGTACCATAGTCTTCTCCTCTTTCTAGAAAACGTCTTGACGTGCTGGCATAAACAATTAAATTCACGACATAGTGAAATAAATTGAATAAGTAAGTTGCAGGCAACATTTACGAACTGCAAATGGCAGAAGCTGTGTGGTAATAATCGTAACCATTGCGAATTTTGAAAGCACTCTGGGTTTGCAAGGGCTCTACGTCTCCATGGCGTATTTTGCGGTTGAAATCTGCACAAAAGGTGCGAACTTTAGCAGCTAAAGCAGATGCAGATGCGGGATGGGATGGGAAGTGGCTGGGATCCGGCGCTGCCGATTGGATGGGTTTGTTGCTTATTTGGCACGGATTTGGTGGCGTTGCCTCTGCTGGCGGCTGTCACCGCGCAAAAGAGGTTTTTAGAAATGGAAAGTTGATGTGTGCGCCACTGCAAATGTGCGATAAATGTACGGGTGCAGTGAATGAAAGGAATTGTTGTGGGATTTTATGGGTGGAGAGAAAAAAAACAGGAAATTTTAAAACCTCTATTGCATTTTCCTTCAGCCAACACAAATAAAGTGGTTCCAGCAATAAATTGAGCTCTCGTCAAAGACGCGTTGCAAACTGCTATTAAACTGACATTTGTTTCCCTTTTAGGGGGCACTCAATGCACCAGCGATTGCTCCATTTTAACACTGTTCAGTGTTCAGTGTTGCTGTTCACTTGCACAACGCTTTGTTTTAAAAGCCTCATAAATTGCGCATACGCCATGTTGCACCAGCAAGCCGCATGGCTTCTCTCTTTCAGCACGCATAAATTCAACGGGTGAAATATTTGCGAACCGTGAAGTGACGCCGCAAAAAAGCGAGGGAAAAAAGCACAGCACAAACAGCAGTTAACTGAATGCTCCGAAGCACTTTAGACCATCCACGTGGTGCGCCAGAGGAGCGAGGATTCCCAATTGACATGCACCATGCTATGGAATGCAAATTTCCCGCGCTATCTCTCTGTCTTTTTGGTGGCATGTTCAATTTGAAAGTCACACCTACACTGGCACCAAATTCTGATGATGCACTCTCCGCGGATTTGGGGGAAATTTCATTGAGAATTTTCCGCTTCGCCATGTTTCACATCTCCTTGGGGAGGGCGAACTCAAATATTTGATGCCTTTGACTGCGCCTGCAAACTGTAAACACCGGCGCAAAGGATAATGCGCTGAAAGTCCCTTTACTGGCCCTCTGACGTCTCAAGTGCCCGGGACTTACCTCCACTACGGAATTTACACAGGCCCATCTAGGTCAAGTATTGTCAGAGTCAGCCACATCAACGTCATTGTCATGAAAATTTCTCGTGCTAAAACTGTCACTGAAGTTCATGTCAGTCGACTGGCACAGTGGGCCGCAGGCCACCTGAAAAGTGTGGTTCCCGAGCCATCAGCAAAATGAACCGAAACTCTGAGGCAAATACTTGCGAAATCCAGCAGTGATTTTTGAGTATTTTTGGCCCACCATCCTTTAAAATGTTCAAATGTCCTTGACGACTGACAGTTACAGTGGCAGCACCACCGCCGCAGGAAGCCTCTGTTTTGTGGGTTGAGCTCTCCTCCACCTCTTGAGGTGGCAACAAAAAATCGTTAAATGTTGGCCATGTGCAGCGAGTGGTTGAGAATGGCTAAGAACTAATGCCAAACTGGGCAGCAAATGGTTATGATTATGTGATGATGCCATGAAGATTAAGTGCTAGTTCTCGAGGGCTTTGAAATCTCTAAATATTCGTAGGATAGATTTTTATTGGTATATTCTTGAGGCTAACGAATTTTAACAAAAGACCAGATTTTGCTAGATTTTCAGTTCCATAAAATCTTAATTTTTATTACTCACCTCTCATTTAGTCATGGAAAATAACAAGACTTGGCCTGTTTATTGTATTTATTTTTATTACTCAATTAAAATTTAGTTGGGACATTCTTTGTTTTGGTTTCTTCGGCTTGTATATGGTTTGCTTTCATATTTGGTTTTTTTCTTTCTTTTATCCACATATAACTGGTTTTACCCATTTGCTTTTTAAATGTAATAATTTTATGCAATTTATTTGAATTTGACTTTGATCTCTAATATAATTTCAATTATCTGCATTAGCTTGTTATTAATTCATTGTAGTTAATTGATTTGAATTTTAAATATTTCTTTAGTGGCCTTTGCTCGCCACATGGTAACAATTTTCTCAGCCGCGGCCGAAAAAAAATATTTTCCAATTCAACTCGCTCTAATACATTTCTTTGCTTTTGCTTTTGTATAGGTATGTATATATATATGTGTGTATTTCAGTTTCCCTCTCGAGGATCAATTGTTAAGTAGACAAATATGTAATACACTTGGTAGAAAAACGAAAATTGTGCCACCAGATTAGTTATCTTCATGTTCATTGACTTTCAGTTAATATAGAGCCCGTGGGCCGAAAAAATTGTTGAGTTGACGTCTCGAAGCTGCATCATGTTGCTTGGGTACCCCTAATTTGCCTTAATTTGAAACAACATTGAGTTTCTTTGGTTTTTACTTCATTTTCATATTCATATTCATACGCATGTAGGTACAATTACTTTTTACTTTTGGCATTGGCCAGACAAAATGGAAATGATTTCCCAAAAATTGTTCAGCATTTTCCTTGCATTTGTCTTTTTGGTTTGTTTGGTTTCGCATTTTCCTACAATAAATTTTATGGAACATCGTGCCTTTTATTTATCTTTTTGTAACATTAGGTTTTTCTTTGAAAATTTAACTTTAGTTTACTTTCGTTTTGGTTTAGTTACTGCCTTGGGTTTAATGGGAAAGTCCAAAAACGAAGTAGGATTTAATTAAACATTAACTAACGCAAATTACGATTCTAATGGTTAGTAATTAAACAAGACAAGCCGCAGGTATTTTTCTGTAAATATCATCTTATGTCGAATAGTTATCCGCAAAATGTGATCTCTTTTTATTAATTTATTAAAGCTTTGCAAACGAAATGTAACTATGCCCTCGACTTAATTTATTTAAATATTATGAGAATCATTTGGGTTTGCCATTGGGGCTAAAATATATTCACTAAAAAGTTTACAACTGTGTGCCCTCATCTCGACTGGCCTTTTACACATTTACAATTTACCAAATTTTTTATTCACTTGCATATGCGTTAATTAATCAATTAAGCTTCAGCCAGGACCAACAAAATTCCACTGGCGAGCTCCTTACTCCGGGTTGGCATCCTTGCGGGTCTTGTGGCCGCGGAACGAGGCCTGGATCTTGGTGGCAGCCTTGTTAAGCTCGGGATCGGTTAAATCTATGTCCAGCTCCTCGGCCACCTTCTTGGTGATCTCCTGGATGTCCTCGTCCTCGGGCGCATCCTTGTTGACCAGCTTGCGTGCCAAGTGACCACGGAAAGTGGACTGAATCTTCAAAGCAGCGTGGCACAGATCTACGGCGAAAGGAGATGGAAACGGATAGTTTGTGTAAATTAGTGTTCCAGTTCCGCTTAAGTGGCCACTTGGCCAACGCCCCGAAAAAACAAAGAAACAAAGAAGCTGAAAACTGAAATATATATAAAAAAGTTCCGAAACTTGTCTGGTGTTCCTTGGCCAATTGAAACTTTAGATGATACTCAAACATTCCCCTGAATTTGTTGTAAACTTTTTTCAATTAGCTCCGGTCCTTATGCTGGCTTCAACAGAGTTTGTATGGTGTTCGCTCTAATTTATTGTTATAGTTTCCCCTCCACACTATTAAATTCCCTACACTCAGAAAATGAATCGCCCTGAATTTTAGAAAATCGCCTATGGATTTGCTTCACTGGCGATTTTTTTCTTTAAAATAAAAAAATTTTCTACTGGTAAAGAAAATTTTCTTCCAATTAATCAAAATTCATTAAATTCAAGAAATATTCCAGAAATATAGAAAAAAATCGCCAGTAAAGCAAATCCATAGGCGATTTTCTAAAATTTTTTTTTGAGTGTATCTGACCGCCGCTTCGTACTTTATAGCCCAGCACTGGCCATCATTTTTCCACGGCTCCCAGATTGCTTGTAAAAAGGGGAAATAATCGAAATCACGAAGCGAATTATTCCCCCGGCTCTCTTCAAAGTGTTTAGTATCCGCCGCTTTCGACCACGTTTTCCCCGGCTAATCTCATTACGTATACGCAGTGTGGGGCGCAGCGGGACGCATATTTCCTGCATGTATAATCCACACCAAGTGCTGGCGAGATGGATGGCAACTGACCACAAAATTAAGCTTCCAGCTGCCCAGGATGCATGTGGTTGCGGTTAAGTCACGCGTGTCTCCCACTACGTGCTGCATACCTTAACTCGGGTTTTTGCCCAGAACAAGCTCATTCTAATTAGCCAGTAATTGTGTAAAAATGCGCAGGAAATACGTGTGCTTGGAACCACAGGAAAAACCATTAAAATATGCATAGCTTTGTGGGAGTCTTTCGAGAACGCGCTTTTTCTGCGTTGTCAGCGGAAAGATTACATCATTGCAGCTGTCGTTCTACCAGTTTTGTCATCTTTTCCCATTGCTCTTGTGCATTTATGCAAATTCCGAGAAAATTCTCATTTAAAATTTCCCTTTTTTGTTGAGATTTTGCCGCTGCGAAAGTGCATACATTTAACTTGGCCAATTTCCGCTACGAAATCTCGCGTTCGCCTGCGGGCCGAGTTAGCCCACTTGGCCATGCAAATATTTCCAGGGGGCAGAACGGGAAGTGGGCCTGTGTTAATTCGCTAAGCGTAATTGGAGTTGGGCCAAGATAAGCATTTGAAAGAGGCCCACGAAGGGTCCTGCGCCAGGACTTATGGCATGTGCTATTTTATCAAATTACGCACACACGGCGGCTACGCAACGTGACCCGGCCGAACGGCACGTGCCATGCGCCACTGCTGCATTTATGTTTATTTATAAAATATTTAAAAATATCAGCAAGACGTGCAAATAGCTGTGTAGCGCCAACAGCCGTGCTGTGACATTTACAGGGACGCAGGATCTGCAGGGGCCAACTAGTTAGCCTGGCTAAGCCGAGCTGAGCTGCTGCGGCTGCCTGGTCAGTAATCAACCTGTTCTCGGCAGTTCCGCAAATAGAATGTGTAACTCTTTCCAAGGGTTTTTCTGCTACCTGTAGAAAAATTCGTTATCTTTTCCTCTTTGTTTTTTTTTGGTCTTGAAAGCCCTGCCAAAAAATACACATAGAAAAATCCCCTAAGAAAAGCTTGCGTTTTATAGCACCAAAAAAAGGAATTTGGAAAAAATATGTGTTTCTTGTTTTTAAATACAACTAATTACTTTTCTGAAATCTATGAAGGTGTGGACGCCAGACGCCTGAAACAAACTCAATGTGGAAAATTCTATGTTTATAGTACATTAAAATTTTTTTTTTGTTCTGCGACCATTGGACATTTATTTATTTTCTAAGATGCTGAAAAAATAAGTATACATTCTCATCGTCTCATTTCTCACTCCATCACAAAGCAGTAACATTTCCGTAGCACCAATTACTCTGTAGTGCTTTTTCTTAGTGAAAACTTTTTTGCGAGAGATTTACACATGTCGCCGGCCATGCAACACATGTTAAAAGCCGATCACGTACGCTGCGTGTCCTGTCACAGGACCGCATAAGTCCAAAATCTGAGCTACAGTGTCGGAAAAGTTGTCAGCAGGCCGCATGCATGTTGCTTTTTCAGTACTGTGCCTTCGCTTCGGCGTAACTGGGTTTGTCCTGGTATCTGCTTGAAGTCTCGGTGTCCATGATTTTCTGCCTGCTGGCGGGGCATACAAATTGAGTTTGCTTTTCTTTCTGGCAAAATGTCACTGCTTCTGTGTGGGCCTTGCATGCACTTCCCGGGGGGCGGGGCTGCACACCTTGGCCGATGTTGGCCAAGGGATTCGGATTTGGATTTGCATGTGCAGAGCTTCGGGGCAATCGGTCACGTCGCCCTGATTGACTGACTAACACGCTGTCCGCTTTTCGCTCTCCCCGGACTTTGCTTAATTTGCATGCTCCCGAACACTACTTTCAATTCAAGGTTTTTTTCGTGCTCTTTTGGTTTTATTTTTATAACCCAATTGGCAGCTTCCATCGAGCGGTAATCCCCAAAAGGATATGAAATCAATCATAAGCCACATCAACTGCGCTTTTCACCTGTCCTTCGCCATCCTTTTATTGCGAATATTGAGTGGGGACAGCGGCAGGGAACTGCAGCACACGTGTATCATTTTTCCCCGCATTTGCATTTGTCTCTGTGTGCGGGGGACTCGACGCTCTTGACCCACATTTCTCGCAACAATGCAAATTTATATTAAAACAGAAGGAAAATAAAAACAAAGCGACTGTGTGTGTGTGAGTTCCATTAGCGAAAGTGCAAATCCGTGACGTGTGCTTAGTAATTGTGTCAGAAATAATAAACAAAAGGCGTCCCAGACACGCACATAATGAGCCTAGGTGAACAAACAAGATGTTTTGATTTGCAAAGCATGTATTCAGGAATGCTCTTACTTAGGTTTGGAAAATATAAAAAAAAAATTGATTCTTCAAAGAATTTGTAACCTTCAAGCAATGTAACTTTTAACAGACCTTTATTTTTCGCCTAAAATAAACGATTTTTAAACGCGAAAGAATAAATTTAAGTGATCGCCGAAATTGTGGTATATGAGTTGATTCTCAGCCGACTCCGCCTCGAATATCTTCAAGTAGCCCCAAATGCGGAGAGTGACCGAGAAGGCATTGGCCAGAACCAGAAGCTTGAAGATCAGGGCTGTGACCAGTTGGCAAAACACAATATGGGTTTTGCCACTCTCATCCAGCTGAGCCACGTCAAAAATGGCGCATGTTGTGCTCGCGATGCTGAAGGCCCAGCAGTAGAGGAAGGACACACAGTAAGGAGTCTTAAAGATCAGGAGACGATATCCCAGGGGCTTATCCACTTCTGCCGTAAAATATCGGACTCCAACGAAGCTGCAACGGCAACAGCGGAACAGACTGTACAGCAGCACGAGCACCATGACGTAGATGTACATCTCGTTCTTCATTTTGTACTCAAACATGCTCTTATAGGTCAATATGTACTTCAGTTTCTTGGACCAGAAATTTGCCTCCCAACGCTCTAGAGGAATCGGCAGGATGGCTGCCGCGTGCATCATCGCCCAGAGATAGAAAGTGGCCCACAGGCAGCGCAGCAGCACCATTATCGAACGGGTGTAATGGTAGTTTGTATATTGTCCAGGCATTTTGGAACTGATTCAGAAAATAAAACGTAATAATGAATTTCTGCGATAGCAAAAGTAGAAAGCGTATGACACATATTCCAGTGCATCCTAGGGTGTACTCTTAATGTAAAGGATTCTTGAATAGATTACACAGGTCAACAAAATGGACTTTATTAAAAGGTGCAGGCCTATTGGCATTAAAACATGTTAATATAGACGTATATAAGCATATCTGCATACTTAGTTTTAGCGTTTAACGGGTGGTATTTGGGCAATCGCGATTTGAAAAAAATAGCAACATTTAATTTTTTGATTTAAGATATCTTCGAGGGTCTGTGCTCAGTTGTAATAATACCTATGCCAAAAAATTGCTTAGATGCCCTTCTACATTATTGCATTTAAGTTTCCATCATAATTTGAGTCAATCACAGCCTATGAGCCATTGAAGTAATTTGTTCACCTCTATTCCCAACCAACTTGATGCGGTGAACACGCTTAAAAAAATACAAGGAAAAATATATGCCCTAAAATATTTTACAGGCATCTAGAGGCGTCTTTCACCGAATTTTTAAGACAAATAAGACCATTGTACGTTGAAGGATGGAATTTATAGAATTTTTTCCGTAAGAACTTAAAAAGTAACAACTATTTTTAAATCCCGTTTTACATAAATATCTGACACATTCGTAAAAATGTGCCTTTCAATTTGGTTAGCAGTAGGCGCCGAACATAGACAAATTATATTTTTAAGGGGTTAATATGCCTTAAAAAAATCCCCACCACAATTTTAAGGCGACGCCACTGTTATCTTTAAAAAGCCTACTGTGTAAAATCACGACAAACTCGTTACGTAAGAGTGACTCTAAAATACTTGTTACTTTTCCCATTCTTACGGAAATAATTCTATAAATTCCATTTTTTGAAGTACAATAGTGGGATTTATCTCAAAAATTCGGGAAAAGACGCCTCTAGATGCATGTAAAATATTTTAGGGCACATATTTTTCCTTGTATTTTTTAAGCCTGTTCACCGCATCAAGTTGGTTGTAAATAGAGGTGAACAAATTACTTCAATGGCTCATAGGCTTTTATTAACTCAAATAATGATGGAACCTTAAATGCAATTATGTAGAAGGGCATCTAAGCAATTTTTTGGCATTGGTTTTATTACAACTGAGCACAGACCCTCGAAGATATCTTAAATGAAAATATAAAATGTTGCTACTTTTTTCAAACCGCGATTGCACAAATACCACCCGTTAAACTCGAAAACTAAGTATGCAGATATGCTTATATCCGTCTATATTAACACAATTTAATGCCCATAGGGCTGCACCAAAAACACTGTTGGCCTGTGTTATTATCAAAATAGCAAAAGAAAAATCAATAGAAAAACTTTCAATCAAGGAATAATTTTATCGTATAATATAAACTTCAAGAATGACGTTTTTAGCCCAGCACTATATATTTTTTTATGGAAGTTTTAAAAAGTAAGTAAGGAAAAGGAAGTAACAAATGGCTGTAAATAAATTTCAACATAAATACTTATCCCCTGAAATCTCGGAAAAACTTGGTAATTTATTACGTGTACCACATTTTCTTGCAGAGAGTGTTGTTGGGGCCTGCGTTTGTCACTGTCATAATTACGTTGTTAAGTTGCTGTCGTAAATATACATTTTAATTACCCATCCCGGACGCTTTGCACTTCGCCACCGGACATCGTCATGCAACATCTGACAGCTGCGACTCCATTTTGATTTAAATCATGCAAAATGGCCGTCCGAAATGTCACATGCCAAACGCACTGTTTACCGTTGCCTACTTTCGGGGGCACTTCCGAATAACGACAAATTGTGACAAATGAAGCACGATAGTAAGCCATTAAATGGCATTTTTAAGCCAAACGCTTTTCCTACGCAAACGGAGATGGAGCCTTTGCGGTTGCCAAGATTTTGCCATTTCACTTTTGGCCATCTACTTTTGCTTCTTGCTTGCGACCCAGCGGCCATAAGGACTAAGCCCATTTTTCAATTTCCGACAGAACAAAGTCTTGTGGTTTGCCCACCGCAATGCTCAGTTTTCGTCCACTTTGGGTTTCTCCATCTTCTAGGGTTTTTCCCCATTTCCATGGGGCTGTTATTGGGGCAAATAAATCTCCTGGAAGGACAAACACAGACCCGTTGAGAAATACTTATTGGTTTCTCCCCTCTGTGTACCTTTCTAGATTTTGTGCAAATTTGTCTATGACGTACTTAAACCAACTCTGGATAATATGTATTTTACACCAATACTCGAATACAGATGGGCTCCTTGCCCAGAAATTCAAACACAACTTTAATTAATATTAATCCTTTGCACAAAAGCTGATTATACAATATGGCCAAACCTTGCCGTAAAACTCATTAAAACTTTGCTTGAATTCAAGTTAATCCTGGCCATAATTAACTGGATTAGAGCGATGCGTTAATTATTCAACGGATTGAAATTGAAATTAGTGTGGCACACTTTAGAATCCGTGTAATTTGAAAACATTTAAATGTGTGGCTCTATTAATTGTTTACCGTGAGCCTCCGGTGAAATTTGCATGCCTCGACAAGCAAAGCAAATGGCATTCAAACGGGCAATTAAATATTAAGCAAGTGAATTTTATTGGGGCCTCAATAAACACGTTGGATAAGGGCCACGAAAAGGTGCTAGGCATTGTTGAAATATTTAAAAGGACCAACAAAGTCGGCACTTGCTAAACGTTTAGCAGTAGCTAAATAAATACCTGACCTCCACCTGTCACCCGTGAAAGTCCATATATATAAGGTATACTAGGTATACAAGCATATTGTGGCCACTGGACGATATAAATACGGGGTCCAAGCTGCCTGCCTCCCACATTTTCCTGTCTATTTTGACCTGCTTTGCGGGCAGCACCTGTATATATCTAAATATATATAGTATGCTTGTCGGGGTTTCTTGGGGCTAGCAAAAAATCGCCAATTCAGCGGCCAAAAACATTGTTTTTAGCTGGCTTGCTGCTTATTGCGTGTTTCATGTCAATGCTGTCGTCTCTCCTTTTGTTTCGCATTTTTGTTTTTTCTTCTGTTTTGTCGCATGTTTTTTCTGGATCCGCCTTTTTGTTCGGCCGACAACAGGCGGAGGGAGCACTTAACATTATACTTAAATGGCTTGGCCCGACATTGTTGGTTTTTTGTGGGTCTCCCGGCGGTGTAAATGGAATTACAAGCTTGCTTAAAACCGAAAATCCAATTAGGAGAACGCGCTGCGCTGCTGTTTTATCGCAGTTGCTGATGTAGTTGATGTTGCTCCTGGTCGTGTTGCTGCTGGGAGAACTAGCAGCAACATCACGAACAGGTCTTTAAAAATGACACATGAATTTACGGTCATGCCTTTGATATCCCCAAGATGACAAGGGGGCTTATGTGCTCTCAAGATATAACAACTTTTACTGTTGATTATAATTAATTAAAATATGTGCCGTGAATGTGAAGATTATCCTATATTTGGAAAAACGCCACGAAGTGGTATTTTTAGTCTCTATAAATCAACTGCACTCGCAATCCAATTAAGTTTCGGCAAACAACAACGAACATATATCGAATTTCCAATAAATTAAGCAAACCAAGCCTAATGTTCGTTCATAATTCATCATAATCGAATGGAATCCGCCAACAATTAACGCAGACAACCATCCGGATGCAGTTCAATTACCATGCTCTTTGGGTCGGATTTTAGCCCCAGTGCTGTTTTGGGGGGCGGCGGAATGCTGACTTGTTGGTGGGCGTGTGGCCCAAGAACTATAATTAGTGGGATCGCGATTATGCAAACAGAATTGGGGGCAAAACAGGACTAGAAACCAGGACCCACAAACAAATTGGTCAGGAAGGCTTTGGGCCAAATGCGTAGGTGAGTTGTATCTTCGCATACACATGGCTCCGGATGGTCTGTGCACTTTCGGCACAAAGGCAAGGATTGTAAGTCAAAACCCCAGGCAAAGCCGCAAATGCGAAATGCGAAATGCAAACTGCACACACGTACAAGAAAATATCCTTAAATGGCTTTCGATTTCGTTTTTCGTGCACATGCAGAGTGTCCTTTGTGTGCGTTCGTACGTGCATGTGCTTGTCCGCATTTGCATACCAAATGGGCCAAATCGCAGTTTTGGGCTCAGAAATTGCTTTTGCTCGGCCATATGTGTGTGCCTCATTTTTTTCCCCCCCAACTTAACAAAGTTCTTTGTGGCCGTTGTTTTTATTGCTTTACAATTTCGCAATATGCCGACGGCGAGTTTACAACTAGGCCAACACCATTAGCTTGTCGTTGTTGGCTGCGAGCGATAACTGTGAATAATGATGAAGTTCTAACTGGTTTACTTCGGATAAGCCGGGCGTGTCTGCCATGTGTGTTGTTTAAATATGGGATAAGGCCATGAAGTGGATCTAATTATGGAGTACAAAAGAGTTCAGTAATCTGATTGGGAAGTCCTCTGGATTTTATATACTCTTTTGTATTCATAAAAAAAGAAGTTCCTTGTGCTAAAGCGTTGTTGAAAAATAATAAAAAATGTTAGTACAAATTACTTTAAGTTTAGGTACCTCGTGAAATGATATTACATAGACTTTCGCCGTGTTTAGTTTAATCTCAGAAATGAAAACCTAAATATATGAAAGTCTAGATCATCCCCCTGATTATGACTATGAATTATTAAAATCCCTAACGCCACCAAAAAATCATTTGAGATTTATGAGCTGGTCCTGATTAGGACTTATTCGGTCCAAATTTCAAAATTAACTCACCCCCAGAAAGCCATTCTCGCCACTTCCATTCAACGCCTCTAATTGAGTATGTGCTCGGTGGCCAAAGAGAAAGGCTCTTCACGTACTCATCGCATCCTTTGAGTTCTCAGGCGAGTCTAATTAGCCGTCGCACAAATGTACGTATGAATGGCATGCCACATAAGAAGGATACGCCTTTCGAGACCCACCCCGGCACTATAATTAAGCCCGTGGAGGCGGCTCCTCACACGTGAGCACTGTTGTCTGGCTGAGGAG